ACACAAACTCTTTATTACTGAATATTAGACCAAGTGACAGAGGAGTAGAGACCACTATACTGACAGTACTGGTAACATGTATTGAAAAGTCGTTACTCCAGAAGACAGCACAGGAGACGGAACATGTGATGCTTCAGAAGGTTTAAAATAAATTCTTTGTGTTTTTATGTTTTAAGCACAACCCCTGGTAAATGATGTCACAAAGTACTGCTAAAAATTAAATTTCAATGATTTTTTAGTTAAAAACCCTAAGTAATGATGACAATACCCATCCCCCTCCTCTGCCATTGGTTATAATTTAGACCAAGAGATACGAATTTAGTTAAATTGAAATCAAAGTCGAGATACTTCAAGATACTCTGTCAAACCTAAACAAGCCAACCAAAACTTAAACAAAAAAAGTCTGGCATTTTCTGAGAGAACAAGTTATTTCAAGGACAGCTCAGTATACAGGGAGAGCTACTCTTGTTTAGTAGCCAAAATGGGTGGGTGGTATTCTAACATTGAGTAATGACTACCTAATCATTCATCAATTCGAAAGTGTTATGAAGTGCCAGCAAGAGTAAAGAAAAGGAAAAGGAATCTAAATATTTATTTATTTATATTTGGGATCTCAACACTGTCTAATACAAATGTAGCTTTCTGGTTTTGCCTTATTACGGATAGCCTCATTTATTTCTTTTTTTTAAAAAATTTTTTATTGTTATGTTAATCACCATATAGTACATCATTAGTTTTAGATGTAGTGTTCCATGATTCATTGTTTGTGCACAACACCCAGTGCTCCATGCAGTACGTGCCCTCCTTAACACCCATCACCAGGCTAACCCATCCTCCCACCCCCCTCCCCTCTAGAACCCTCAGTTTGTTTTTCAGAGTCCATCGTCTCTCATGGTTCGTCTCCCCCTCCGATTTCCCCCCCTTCATCCTTCCCCTCCCGCTACCTTCTTCTTCTTTTTTTTTTTTCTTAACATATATTGCATTATTTATTTCAGAGGTACAGATCTGAGATTCAATAGCCTTGCACAATTCACAGTGCTTACCAGAGCACATACCCTCCCCAGTGTCTATCACCCAGTCACCCCATCCCTCCCACCCCACCCCCCACTCCAGCAACCCTCAGTTTGTTTCCTGGGATTAAGGATTCCTCATATCAGTGAGGTCATATGATACATGTCTTTCTCTTTTTGACTTACTTCGCTCGGCGTAATACCCTCCAGTTCCATTGATGTCGTTGCAAATGGCAAGATCTCATTCCTTTTGATTAGCCTCATTTATTTCTGCTTATAGTGATTTTTCATAGACTCTGTTTACATTGAGAATTTCAGTGTTTACCATTTTTGGTGTGCTTAACTTAGATCTTAAATTTGCCATTTTACTTTTTTTGCTTGGCTGAAGAATGTTATCTTCTGTAGAAAATAAAATTATAATAACTATAAGTTATGAAAAGTGTTTTTATAAGGAAAGTGAAGCTGTAATCTCAAATCTGTGGAAGCAGTTAGGACAGTTTTAGTGTACACCTTTAGCAGGATTAAGTAGCTTATTTGGTAGAGTTAACTAATTTGTGACTCTGTAAAATGATAAAGAAAATGTTTGTTTCCTTAGTTTTAAGTTGTTTTGCTTAACAGTTAATAAAAATGAAAACGCCTATTTTTTTTAGGAAGACTTGAAGGTTCCTCTAAACTATATATATGGTCTACATAGCTATAATTTGGATATGTCTTTTAAAAGCCTGAAGGAAAACCAAACATTTGTAATTGTCTCCTTTGCAAGGTGTGCACTCTAATTGCTATATTTAAATATTTGAAAACTCCATATTGCTACATGAGCATCTGTGACAAGTGACACTGTGATTGCCAGATAGGAAAAATTTCTATATTTAAAATTCAATTTAGCAAATTGACATTTTCTATTCCCTTTTGTAATATTCTCTTACTCTGACAGATCACCGTTTTAAAAACAAAACACAAGCCATGCATTTATTTGACTGTCAGGAAGAATTAAACATGAAAATGATGAGATGCTGTGGCTATCACTCTTTATTAAAACCAGCTGCTGTGGTTTTAAAATGCAAACCAGATCAAAATCAGTACAAACCCTGGGGGTTTAATTTATATACTGAACGAACCAGCTTGTTTTGAAAGAGTACTTAAAAAAAAAAAAAAAAGAAAAAAAAAAACTTTAAAAGAAACTTACACATCCATCATTTGATTTTTCACTAGCTCTGTGAGTTAGAAAGACCCAAGAATTATCTCTAGTTTATTGATGAGAAAATTGAAACAGAGGCTTAATTGACTTGTGTAGCTAGTTAGTGCCAGAAATAGAATTATAGGCTTCTGTGAATGACTGTGTCTAGCCATGGGCTCTAGATCCAGAATGTTATTCCAGGCCCAACTTCTAGAATGTAACAATGATGTGCTCTGTTTGGGTCCTATAGGCATATGAGAACCAACTGTGGGATATTTAGGAATTTTGTAAAAGTATTGATAGCTTGAGATGAGCCATAGTGGAAATATTTATACCATGGAAGTCACTACAAATCAGGATTTAATTTTTCCCCAGAGAACTGGTTTATCTGTATACTGATCATATTCAAGTATGATCAGATCACAAAAACAATGCAAACAGAATATAACAATGTAATATAAGTGTAATGTAATTTTGTAAATGTAGTAATTTTGTAAATTAATGTTATGTAATTGTGTAAATCAAGGGGAGAGGTCAACATTTCTTTGTTCCTTAGTTTAGAAATTTGCTTCTAAGCTGTGAATAAATATGAACAGGACTATTGGGAAAGCTTGAATTAAACTTGAGTGTTTTGAGGACCTTTCTAAATCCTTAACTCTTCTTTAAGAAATAGGTCAAGTCTCACCCCTTCCAAAAATTATGGCAGTCAGCCTGGCTTTTCCCTTTGAATCTCTAGTAGATTAAAAGTAGAGCCACATACATTGGGACTTATTTACTCTGTGTTCCATATGAATTAATTTTGTATCATTAAGAATGCAATAAAGTCTTTCAAAAGCGGGACACGGACTTCCTTCTTTTTTTCTTTCTTTGAATAAATATTTAATTACCACCTATTCTATGCCTGGTACTGTTCTTTTTTTTTTTTTTAAAGATTTATTTATTTATTTGAGAGAGCGAGAATGAGAGAGAGTACATGAGAGGGGGGACGGTCAGAGGGAGAAGCAGGCTCCTCGCCGAGCAGGGAGCCCGATGCGGGACTCGACCCCGGGACTCCAGGATCATGACCTGAGCCGAAGGCAGTTGCTTAACCAACTGAGCCACCCAGGTGCCCGCCTGGTACTGTTCTTACTGCTTGAGAAACAGCATTAAACAAGTCTCTGCCTTTATGGAACTTCTAGTCTACTGAAGAGTCAAGAATTAGTTTAAACAAATGAAAAATTATAACTGTGATAAGTACTTTGAAAAATTGCTTATAGTTTGAGAAAGTACTTTGAAAAATGGTTTATAGTCTGAGAATGTCTGATAGTGGACTTTTACCTATTCAGGGAGGTCAGTCAAAGCTTCCCTGAGGACACTGTGATTGAACTGGGATCTGAAGAATGAAAAAAGAATTAACTTGAAGTTACTGGTCTTGAATGTAATTTCTTTCTGTAGGCCTTCTACGGCCTCCTAATCTGAATGAAGTGCCCTTTCAAAATGGACCCCATATCATCCTTTGTAAGAGAAAAAAATTTTTAACGAAGTGAATGTTTTTCCCACTAGACTATTGACCCAAAGCTGGGACTGTTTTGTTCACCTTGGAAGTATCAGTCATATTACCTGACACATAATAGTCACTCAGTAGTTATTAATTCTACTGCTCCCTCTGTCTTTGTCTTATAATAAAGCTGGGATGTGCCCTACCTACCTCTCCATTATTGAAAGACATAGTAATATAATGTATACAAAAGTCGGAAAAGTAAGGTAATATCCAGAATTGTTTAGTGTCACAGAACCCAAGAAGGCCCAAGTATCCAGGAGTAAATAAAAACAAATCAGGTGTAGGGTGCCTGGGTGGCTCAGTCAGTTAAGTGTCTGCCTTCGGCTCAGGTTATGATCTCAAGGTCCTGGGATCAAGTCCCGTGTCCAGGTCCCAGCTCAGCAGGGAGCCTGCTTCTCACTCTCCCTCTGCCTGCCACTCGCTTTCTCATTCCCTCTCTCTCTCTGTCAAATAAAATCTTAAAAAAAAAAAAAAAGAAATCAGGTGTAAGCAGTACTGTCTTGGAGAACAAAGAAAGAAAAAGCCATTGGATTTAGCAAGAAGTTTTACTTATTCATCTTGTTTGAAGGAATTTGTTCAATTTGTGAAACATATTAAAAATGTTTTCTGAAGTTAAATATCTGGTGTTAACTTTAAACTTTAAACTTTAAAATTGCTTTCTCACGAAAAGTAAAAGGAATATGTAAATGGATACCTTCTTGGAAAAAAGGTGTATCCAAGTGTGTGTGTATAGGATTTTGTCAAACATGCTTTGAAGGAAGGGAGAAAGAAGAAAAGTAGATGCAAGAAAAAGACTGGAGGGAAATGACAGGATTGTTAAATGATAGGGCTCTGGGTGCTATTTTTCCCCTTTGTGCTTTTCTGCATTTTGCACTTTCCTGTTCTCAGGTTTTTAAATTTAATGAACCTATATTACTTGCATAATGAAACAGTAAACAAAGTAACATTTCATAAAACCAAGAATTGATTATGAGTTAGAGCAGAACATACAGTTATGCCTTCTATATGTAGAAGACTCAAAACTATATCTTAGATTTTTCTTTTACTTGCCTAAATTTGCTTACCGTTCTAGTACATTAATGTTAAAGGCCAGTTGAATCTTTGTTTATATGTCCATCTGCACTTCTGGCGCCAGAGCACTTTAAGGGTGGAGATCGTTCTCTTTGTATCTCTGTCATCCCGGCAGTGACATGTATTTGTTGAATGAAGAACTTGAAACTGAAATGTCTTGACCTTTTTATTACCTTTAATCTATGTACCTTTCTTTTTTCAGAACCCAGGAGTGAAAACCACAATGAATGGTCATATTTCTAATCATCCCAGTGGTTTTGGAATGTATCCAGCTCAAATGAAGTAAGTTGGAAGGTTTATATTTAATTTGTTGGGGTTCTTTTTTTTTTAAGATTTATTTATTTATTTTAAAGAGACAGAGAGACAGAGTGCATGAGTGGGGGGTGGGGCAGAGGGCGAGGGAGAGAACCTTAAGCAGATTCTGCTCTGAGTGCAGAGCTCCATGTGACGCTCCATCCCATGACCCCGAGATCATGACCTAAGTTGAAATCAAGAGTTGGAAGCCCAACCGACTGAGCCACCCCGGCGCCCCTGTTGGGGTTCTTTTTAGATTTGATTTGATGGCTTTGTTTTATATTTTTACTGAAAAGATTAATTCCAATTCTTTATGTAGTTTATTCTTCATTAATATATAATTTCTTTCTAATTCTAATTTAAAAGTTTACTGTGTCTGGAAAGAAAAAGATGGTTAGGTAATATCCTCCTCTGTGACAGTGATCTAATAGAAGACAGTTTGTTCTGGTATTTTATGTATTATTTCTTTACTTCAGAGATTTCAGTTTCTCTGGAGCATTCTATTATATTTTTATTTATAAAATACTGGCATCTGAGGAGAGTTATATGTCTTCTAGTCCAGTCTGTCAAGCTACTTATCGGTATGTAAAACAAATAAAAAGATCAGGCAAGCAAACAAAACAATCCCTGTGGCTCCAGGTATAACTTGAAGTCACGTCCCTGACATAAGTTGCTGTTTCCTTATACAGTGTGGTTAATATTGTAGTTATTTTATATTGGCCATTGTGGTACAGAGTTCGCTCATCATTTTTTAGAATTCATAGGTTATTCACATTGTAAAGAGTTATACTTCATCTTTTTTCTTTACAAAGATCAATGCAAATCTCTTTAGTATTTGTCAGTAAGAGACACCTGGGGAGTATTGTCTGGTGCTGTCTTTATCTTGTCCATCAGTTATTCAAGCCAGAAAATTTGGCCACACCCTCAATCTTCCTCCCTTTTCTTACAATAAATATCCATGGGCGCCTGGGTGGCTCAGTTGGTTAAGCGACTGCCTTCGGCTCAGGTCATGATCCTGGAGTCCCTGGATCGAGTCCCGCATCGGGCTCCCTGCTCGGCGGGGAGTCTGCTTCTCCCTCTGACCCTCCTCCCTCTCATGCTCTCTGTCTCTCATTCTCTCTGTCTCAAATAAATAAATAAAATCTTTAAAAAAAAAACCAAAAAAACAATAAATATCCACTTAATCATGAATTTATAATATTTTCTTCTATAAAGGAACTCTTGTTTCTGTCTCTTCCTTCTTTCTATTCTAGCTCTACTTAGGGCCTTTTTCCTACCATAATTTTTGCAGCACCCTCTACCTGGTTACCTTGCCATTTGGATTATTTTCTTTAAAAATGTTTTTGATCATGTCATGTTCTTGTATAAAAATATTTGTTGCATCCAGAGAATAAAAATGTAAAATTCTTAAGCCCTCTATTTGCCTTCCCTATGTCTGAAGCCATTCCTCTAATCTAGGCATGCCCCATTAGATGCATTGTCCCCTTGGACACCATGCTAGTCATTGAGCCAGTTCCACATGCCTTTTCCTCATTTAATTTTCCACCTATCCATAGAGTTTCTTTCCAATTTATATTCTGCAAAAATGCCAACTTGGTGGTGAAGTCTTTCTGCACATCCTGATAAAAATTGAATCCTTCTTTGATCTTACTTGTAATATCTATTAGTTTTATCCAGATATCACATTCTGTTGTAATGGTTTTACTTACTTATTTTATTAACAGACCATGTCCCCTGCCGTAATCCTTATTCTAATAGATTTTTGGGGTTAATAAATGTTTACTGAATAAATTTTTAAAATTCAAGTGATACGTTTACTCCACCTCCCGTATTAGTAACAGGAGGCTGGAAGTAGGGTAAAGGTGGTCAAATTTAATGATAAAGTGTTATTTTACATTTTAAGTTTTTGTGAAAATAATGTCTATTCCATTATAGGTTAAATCATTGAGTACTTTTTATGCCTGGATCATTGCTCACAATTCAATTTAGTATGGCAAACTTAAACTCTTCTAAGATAGTTTCAGCCTTATTGACTTCTTAGGAAGGTTCTGACTTGGAGTTTGAGAGGAGGCTGTGATTTGCACCTACCTCGTCCACACTGGGGTAGTGTGGTTTATATTCTGTTTCTTGACCAGAGCAGGATCTGGCTCATTTTGACAAACCTAGTTAGCATTAACTCAATGTGTTTTTTTAAAAACACATGGTGATTGTGGTACATTGGAATTTTTATTTGTAGTTTTGAATTTTTATTGCTTACTTTGGACTTCAACCCAGCACAATGACCTTTTTTCTTCTTTTTCTTTATTACAGTGGCTATGGATCATCACCCACCTTTTCCCAAATGGACAGAGAACACAGTTCAAAAACAAGTGCAAAGGCCCTCTATGGTATGTGTGTTTATTTGACGAGGTATAATTCTACTTCTAACCACATTTTACAGATTACGTATTCAGATTCGTAATTTGAACCCATGCCTTGTTTATATTATTTGGAGTGACATAGTGAGAGATAAGGATTGTTTAAAAAAGAGTTTTTATAAAAGCTACTAAGATATGACTTCTGCTTACTATCATGTAATTTAGAACCACAGATGTATTGCAGTGCTTTCTAAGGAGTCTTTAATATGACATCAATGCCTTAGGTGGATTTTCCTAGCTAATTATTTGTGATATAATTGTTGATCTTCATAAATGATCCATTTTATTGTGGGCTGACAGTTGACAGAATTTCTTCCTTATAGGTCTTGAACTTTTGGGTAGTGTTATAGTATCATTTCTTTCTGTATTGTGAAACCAGTAGGCTTTCTCCTTGATTCTTCTTTAATTTCCCTTGTCCTCTCTAGATTGTCTCATGTGTAAATAATATATTCTTAAACTTTAGTATAAAATAGAAATCATTACTAAAAAGAAGTTCAGGACTCCTGAAATACACCACATATGTTTGGAAATGCATTTTTTCCACAGGATCTGCATGGGCTTTTATTTATTTATTTATTTTATTTATTTATTTTTTTTAAGATTTTATTTATTTATTTGACAGAGAGAGACACAGTGAGAGAGGGAACACAAGCAGGGGGAGAGGGAGAGGGAGAAGCAGGCTCCCCACGGAGCAGGGAGCCCAATGTGGGGGTCAATCCTGGGACCCTGGGATCATGACCTGAGCCAAAGCAGACGCTTAACGACTGAGCCACCCAGGTGCCCCTGCATGGGCTTTTATTATTGCACAATAATAAATAATAATAATAGTATTATGGTTAAAAGACTCAGAATAGTACTGTGGTTAAGAGCAAAGACTCTGGAACCAGACTTCCTGGGTTCAAATTCACTTCTATCATTTATTAGCTGAATGATCTTGGACAAGATTTTTTACCTAATTTTGCTTATCTATATAATGGGGATATCTCATAGAGTTGATCTGACAATTAAATGAGCTAGTACATGTAAAATGCTTCTAGCAGAACCTGACAAGCAGAAAGTAGTGTATATATTTGCTATTATTGTTGGAAGTATCCTTATTATTATCTGCCATAGGAACTAACACCCTTTTATAAATTTGGAATTCTCCCCCCCCCCCTTTTTTTTTTTTACATTATCTGGATCTACAGTGTCTTGGGTGTAGTAAGAATGAACAATTCTAAGGTTTTGTGACTCTTTTTCTGCCTGTGTATTGAGTGACTAGGCCTTAGGACTCAAATCAGACATTTATAAAATGGATTTTATACCATACACGGATATATTTTCTTATGGTATTGTCAGGCTGATTAGTGTTGGTTTCAGTTTTCTCCAGGACTGTATTATGACATCCTTACCATGTCCTAGTAGTTGTGAATTATAGATCCAGAGAATATATTCAACAGGTGCTTATTTATGATTAATATGTGAACAGAACAGAGCTAGTAATATTTGGTTCTTGACTTTAAGGGACTTGCAGTCTAGAGGATGACTTGAAGAAACTGAAAAAGAAGAGGTTTTTTTTTGGTTTTGTTTTATTTTTTTAAAAAACAAAATAATTAATTCCTTCAGTCTTTTCATTTCTAGGCAGATATTTATTAAGTACTTCTGGGTGCCAGGCCAAGGTCTTCATAGTCTCTGTTTCCATGACAATTTAGTCATTCCAAAGATGAATAAGACATGGTCATTGCTTATGCACTGTTTTGGTGAGGTAGACTCCATTGTTACAATAAAGAGCTAAATAAGCTTGGATGGCAGTGTCTGAGGTGCAGTGGAGTGGTCAGTTCTTCCATGTGGGTGGGGGTAGGAGTCAGAAGGGATTTCACAGAGGAGCTGAGCATTGAACTGAACTCTGAAATGTAAGTAGTGCGCTCCAGGCATTTGGGAGGCTGATGGGTGCTGTAAACAGCAGTATGAACCCTTTATAAACTAGACTGTGAGCTCTGTGAAGTTGGTGCATCTCTGCCTTGCTTACTTCATGATTCCCCAAGCATAGCACAGTGGCTAATGTAAAATTTACGCTCAGTAAATACTTGTAGAATGGATATAATGAATGAATGAACTGCAAACGGTTTGGTCTTAACTGAAGGGTGCAAGGTGGTGCATTGAGAAATAAGATTATCTAAACATGGACCACAGTGGGAAGAATCATACTAAGGAATTTGGACATTGTTTGCAGGAAATGCCTAGCCACTGAAGTTTTTTAGTCAGGGGTATAAAAGGTCTGTTGTCTTGGGTCACTGTCATAGCAGCATTGAGGATGGATATGATGAGTATGAATGGAAATAGGTAAGTCAGACATCTAAATAGTAGCCCTAAGACTTTTGTTAAGACGAAAGAGTCTTACTTTATCTTCTCACAAATACCATAGATCCAAAAATCTGTTTTCAGAGAGCGAAGAAAGGGGTAAGGGATAAAAAGTAGAATTCATTTGCAAATTTTAATGTTTATTTTGTGTTAGGAGCTTCTTCAAAAAATCATAGATCTGAGGATTGAAAATCACCAGGCTATAAGCAGTAAATTTCTGTTTTCCCCTTTTTACATGTAGAACAAGCTGAGGCTCCTTTCTAAGATGAGATGATTTGTCCAAGTCGCATAACTTTAAAAATCTTGATTGTAAGAAAATGTGACAATTTTGCATAGTGTGACAACAATGAACAGTGTATTGGTAAAACAGAGGATATAAAGAGAAGGGAAAGAAAAGGGCAAATCCAAGAGGCATTTATAAAGAAGAAGGAAAACTTGGCAAATGTATTTGGTTTAGAAACAAGCAGATTTTAAGTTCCTTGAAGTTGCAGGTAATGTTTCATTCCTTTTTGTATCTGATCCTCCCCACTTCCCTCCCAAAAGGGGCTCTCAGTCAATGCCCATGGAATGAATGGTGTGAATGACAGGGAGGAAATATGTTCAGATTTTGAACGAACCTTTGCAATAAGCAAGTTGTAGCTGAAGTTCCAATTGTAGTTAGTTAACATTGAGTGTTTAGCCTCCCAGTCTCAAGTTCTAACTTTTTTTTTTTTTTTTTGGCTAGGGAATTGATAAAGGAGAGGTTTTTAATGTAGTTTATCACAATGTATGCATTTTCTTTAAAATTTCTCCTTTCACAATGATTAAACCAGTTGAATAAATCTTTCAAGAATTAGTTTCTTTCCTGGATGGTACATGAACATCTTTGGTATGTGAAGATACTAGTTGGTGCACTGGAACATGAGTTCTATGGTAATGACCGTTGTTTTTTATACACTGGCCACAGGTTAGATACTGCCTCTAGAGTTTCATGCAGCTTGTCTTTTCATGAGAATGCTCTTCAGGTCTGACACCATAATGTTCCTCCCACATTGCTTCTGTAACTCAGTAACTTCAGTCTCAGAGAGGCAACATGGGTTCTGAGGGCCAAGCAATTTGGGGCTGAATCATGGCCCTTCTACCAAAGGGCTGCCGTTTTGGGCAAATGATTTTACTTGTTGGCCCCAGTTTCCTCATCTACAAAATAGAAATGATGATAGTATTGTGGTAAGTTTATATGAGAAAATAGAAGTAATGCGTCTGTCATGGTATTGAGGAGCATAGGAAAATCACTTTCTGTCCTCGGTCCTCAGATTAATCAAGGCCCTTAATATTTTGATGTTACCTCCAAATGATGTTATATGTGTAACCGCAGTGATACTTGGACAGGGTCAAGGAGTAATCTTCATCATATTTTTTAAGCTTATATTCCAGATATTACCGGAAATATTTTTTTTGTACTGTGAACTATACAATTATGATGATACATTTGCTTCTTTTGGATATGTGTTAATTTATTCAAAGAAAGCAGTTAAAATATACTGCAGTTTATTAATAACCCTGTTTTGTCATTTTTTCATTATGATAAAAGAAATTTCAAAGCCTGTTTTGTCATTTCTTCATTATGATACAAGAAATTTCAAAGCCAGCATGTGAGAGGCTTTATATCAGCAAAGTCCCTGATAACATAAATAAAGAGAAAATAAATATTAATTTCATTTTCCTCCACATACCTCATGACAGTAACATTTCATTTGGCTACTGTTACCGAGGAGTTGAAAGTTTTGTATTTTTCTCTAGCTAGGCTGCTTGTCAAAGTCTCTAAGCACTAAAATTTAGTATCATTTTTAAGGAAGTACTTGTAAACTATATTAAACATTCCCTTCCATCAGGGTGTGGTGCCTGTAATCTCCTGTTGATGACTCAGAGGGTCATCAGTGGGCGCGCGCCTGTGTGCTGTGATGTGCTCAGAGGCTGTAGTCTTTACCTTTACACCAAATCATTCAAAATCTTTTCCCTTTTGAATATTTGTGGCTACTTTTTCTGTGTGGCTGTGTCCCAAGCCTGTTACTTTTGCCTGTTGTTAACGTGCCTTCTTCTAGCATTGCTTCTGATACGTATGGGCTGAAAAACTAGAAAGAAAATCTTTGGTAGAGTAAGTTCTGAGTGGGGAATTGAGAGTCCCATTAAAGTCTGCATATTAAAATGTGCCAATTTCAATGTATAGACCTTGTGACATTGGTCTGCCACTCAGAGGACTTACTTAAGTGTGGGCTTTGCTGTGTTCTAAATAGCTGAACTTCCTAGAAAAGTAACTTCTCTTTATATTCGGTATTACTGAATTTGTAATATAACCATTTATAATAATCAGCTGTTTAAAGTCGTCCTCTATCGAGAAAAACTCGAGTTTCAGGGAATTACCAGTTAGCCTTTTTTTTTTTGGTCATTACCAACATTTATAGTAACTTTGAGATTTGTTTTGTCGGGAGGCCAAATAGTATTGGATAAATGTGATAGACAGGCACTCTCTCAACTCTCAGCCTTAAGTTTGAACTTTTTTGTGAAGCCAGCAAGGAGGAAAATATATTTGTGTCTTTCCTGTTTTTCTTTTTTCTTCTCAAGGAGGGACTGGTAAGAATTGAGTGTAAGTAATCTGTAAACCTTACGATCAGTTTCTATATGATTGACCTCACTATAAACTTTTCTGTATTTTTACCCAGTGCTTAACTTATCTTTCTCATAGCAATATTCCTGAATATAGCACTTTTCTTAATAGATATGTAGCCCACATATATATATATATATTTTTTTTTGTACCTACCTTTCTTCTCTTCCTGTCTCTTTCTATCTTCTGATCTTGGTTGGGAGTTAGTCCCTTTGTGTAACTGTCAGAATTGAAGCCCAGGTGATCTCTTACACATTCAGGTGGCATTCAGAAATGAAAATCCATTTCTCTTTTCTCTATCCTCATCATTTACGGTGTATATTTTACCTGGAGAAAACATTTAAATCCTCTTTTTAAAGAACAGTTGTTTTTTTTTTTTAATTCTTAAGAAGTCAGTGGCCCATGATTATATATTATCAGGAAGTCAGGCAGTGTTAGAGTCGAGGTTCAGCTTCATAGAGTGTGCTAGTGCTTTGTGACTCAGAAAGACAGTTTGGCAGTGTTCCCACCTTACCTGAAAATTTTAAAGCTTCTTTTCTCCTCATGGGATAAGCTGTCTTAACAATTTGTTGAACAGGCCAGTGAAATTAATTCTTAAATAATGTAGTTATGTAAAAAATGACCTTGTTTGTTTTTACAAACAGTATCTTGGTTTTGGTACTGATTTGTCAAACTGATTGTGGCGGCCTAGATAATGAGAGGCTGTACTTATTACTTGGTGCTCCTCACTGATTCCCATTAAGCACCTCACCTCTGTGGAAATTATACACTAAAATAGTGGGAAAGGAATTCTCCTTTACTGTGCTTGAAAGTGTAAAGTGTAATAGGAGCTGTAGCCCAATGTTTTATTTAGAGAGAGAAATAAATACTCAGCAACTGCTTTTATGTTACTTCTTTTTCTTTTTAATTGCCAAATCCTTACTTTGAAGCTATGCTTTATTTTCAGAGAAAGAGAAAATAAAATTATCTGAATATTAGCTCTTTTTTTTTTTTTAACGATTTGTTCATTTATTTTAGAGAGAGACAGAGCATGGGGGTGGAGGGGCAGAGGGAGAGAGAGAGTCCTCAAGCCGACTCCCTGCTAAGCGCAGAGCCTGACGTGGGTGTCTATCTCACGACCCCCGAGATCATGACCTAAGCCAAAATTAAGAGTCAGCCGCTTAACCAACTGAGCCACTCAGGCACCCCTGAATATTAGCTTTTACAAATCTTGCTGTATATGCATAAACAGCAATATCAACAAAAGGGAATTATGTTTAAATACTGAGACCTGAATATTGTTATAGTTGCCATTTTACTAATAGAAGTAAATGAAACCTACATTTTAAAAAAGATTTTACTTTTGAGAGAGAGAAAGAGAGAGAGAGTGGGGGAATGGGGGGAGAGGGAGAAAGAGAATCTCAAGCAGACTCCACACTGAATGCAGAGCCCAGTGCGGGGCTTCATCTCACCACCCTGAGATCATGACCTGAGCTGAAATCAAGAGTCAGACGCTTAACTGACTGAGCCACCCAGGCACCCCAAAACCTACATTTTTAAAAAATTAAGACTTGTAGTTTTAGGTTCATAGAAAAATTGAGGGGAAGCTGCAGAGATTTCCCATATACCACCTGTATGTATAGCCCTCCATTATCAACAGCCCGCACGGAGTGGTACATTTGTTACAATTGATGAACCTACACTGATATAGCATAGTCACTCAAAGTCTTACGTAACCTGAATTTAATGTCCCCAATCTAGAAGTGAATTACCACGTTTTGCCAGCAGCATATCAATCCAATAATGCGAAAATAATCTGTAAAGGATTTTCATCATTGGTTACTGAATTCACCTAATTCCATTTCTTTGGGTTTATGTATTCTGGTCTGTGGTATAAAAGCGAGTAGGAAAAACAGTAAAACCAAAACCAGTGGTACTGCAATCAAGTAAAGTTTGTTCCTGCCTCTAATCAATGCAGATTGCGAGAGATAAGGAGATAGAAACTGAGGCTTTTTATCTGCAGTTGAGTAGCCCATAGTACGAGAAACCCAAAACTCTGCTGCCAGATTTATTCAGTTATTATTTAATACACCATTTGTCCATGATTTACGCTCTTAATTCGGAAAGAAAAAATTTCAGCTTAGAGAAGTAACATGTAGTCAATGAGTTGGCGTTTGTACAGATTTTGGTTTTCAGTCCTGGCTGCACAATGGGATTGCCATTTATAAATCCCAGGGCCCAAACTGCATCCCACATCAGTCACATTGGAATCTCTAGCAGGTGGGACCCAGGCACTGTTTTTCCAAGTTCATTTTAGTGTGTGGCCAAGTCTGAAAACCGTTGTTAAAGTGGGGAACGTCACTGGAGGTTTTACCTTGAGTATCATTGAGACTTCATTTAGATTTCTCGTACTTTTTTAAACTTTTGGTGAGATTTTCAGCTTAAAAGCATAATTACTATTTACAACTGTACTTGAGAGTACATATGATTCTCATAAAAAAGAAATGTGCCATAATTGCCTCTCAGGAAACGTCTTTCAAAATTTTCCTATTAAAATGTTAATATTAACCTTTATTTATTCATTGACTTAAATCACTAGAACTACTAGTTTATTTATAAATCCATTTTATGGCATTTATATATTGTTAGGATCTTTAAAAGGTAATTTCTTGTAACAGCGTCTTATATATTATGTAGTATTGGAGAGAAAGCAGTTTAAGAATTTCTAAAATGGATTCTTCATTTGGAATATTAGAAATAACACCTTCTAGGCAGTCAGTGATCAGTTAATGTCATGTTTTTTTACAAATACTATCAAATAGGCAGTGTTTTTCTATTGTACTTATAAAATATGTTTCTATGAGATTAAGAAACTGTATTTGAAAATGTGGGAGAACACATTCATACTACTTCATAATGAGAATCTTTAATTACAAAACATACAGTTGAGCTTCAGTTGTGTTTACTGATCACTTATCTGAAAGGCTTGGTGAAGCATTTGAATGTCCTGGGGTTGCCATATCACAATTGGATACCATGGCAACCACTGCCATTTCTTTTGCTGTCTCGGTCAGACCACAGGAAACAGAACCACCTTCATGTCCTGAGTCTGCCATAGAGAGTTGTGCTAGAAAGTGATAAACCAGTGATTCTGAATAGTGATTATTTCTCAAAGTGCTTTTTGTCAGATATGTTCCTCAGTTATATATTGCATTTCAGTGGTTCTCCTGAGAACAGTTATCCATTTGTTACTATCTCACGTTGATTAATTCTCAGCTAATAATCAGAAAAAATCATTGTTTATTTTTTTAATATGTAGAATACAGTCATGTAAGTGAAGATTATGCTTTGTTATATTGGAATAGAAAAATTTAAGGTGAAACCAGATCTTTCTTTTTGATCACATTATTTTGGTAGGAACAGATGGATCATACTTCTTCAGGTCATCATCCAAACAAAAAAAGAAAGGTAGAAGATACTGAATTTCATAGTGTGTCTTTTTCTATTAAGTAACTTAATGCTGCAAAAGCAAAAATAGAATATACCGGAATAATATCAGGCTGATGTAATATAAGGGATATGGATATTTTTCATCTAAGGTTTAAGGTAAATACAAAAGATAATTACTTTTGTATGTATTGTGAAACACTGATTTATCAGTTTTCAAATATTCTGCTAACATTCCGAATCTATACATGTACTTTATATTTTTGTACTTGCTTTGCTTTCATGCTCAGCAGAACTTTTCAGCTTCTGAAGTTGTAGGAAGACCTAAAAGTTTCTATATTAACTGAAAAAAACATGTTTATTGTTGAAAAGCTGTTAGATATTAGGAAAGCTGAGGAGTGTGTGTGTGTCTGTGTGGGTCTGAATATTAGTACTGTAGGAGTCTTGAGGTTTGATCTTATTTAACCCTTTTGTTTTACAAGAAGAGTGCTGAGGTCCAGAGCTAAGCGTCTTGCCTTAATTTAGCATTCTACTTAGTGACAGAACCAAAGCTAGAAACAATAATCTTCTGGTTCTTACTTAGGGTTCTTTTTCATCAGAGCATTCTGCTTTAGAAAGAATAGGGCAACTCTGAATTTACAAATAAGCAAGTTACTTGATTAGAAAGAAACAAGTACAAAATACTGCCTCTGCATATTTTATATTTTGGTTTTGCAGCATTTTACAAAAGAAAATAAATGTCTATTTTTGCTTTTTTCAATAGTGTGGTGCAGTAACTTTCTACTTAACTCTCATATTTTCTAACAGGTGATATCTGCAATTCTGAGTATCACATTTGTTTGTTCGGTAGCTGTGTGGAAACTGTTAAAGTTTAATGGCTATCGGTATGATTAAATCATGTTTTGAATCTCCTCTGGCACTCTTCCAGAGTTTGGATGTTGTGAAAGGAGATGTTCCTTGTAGTGGCCATTATCTTGATAATGTAGTCTAACTCCTATAATACAGTATCTGTGACAGTATTTTGCAATTGTGTTTTGTTCTCAGTACATTAAGAGATGAAAGGTACAAGCCAGTTTTTATCTTTTTACCAAAGAGTAAGTATCTGATTAATAAAACCCTTAGACCAAATAACTCTTTTTCTTACAACATTAATAATCTAGATTTTACCTTTGGGATTCTGAAAATTTGTATTGGGTCAAATTGTTCTTGCACATCATTTAAGCTTTCTATTGGCTTTTTCATTTAATGTGAATAATGCGTGTTTTCAGATATACCACACAATGGTGACTTGTCAGCTACTGTATTTATATGTGAGATAGACTAGTTTTAGAGATGGCCACAAGACGCTGATACATGAACTTCAGCCTGTTAGTGGGTAAATAATGATTTCTTCAACTTCTCTTTCAGAACAAAGGAAGAATTATGCTCGGGACAGTGTCAGCAGTGTGTCCGATATATCCCAATATCGTGTTGAAGTAAGATGTTTTGGTGTTTGCTAAAATTTAGAATGAACCTTGAGGGACATAAAAATTTGGTGGTAAAATCAGAATTGCGTTTTATTTTATTCTTATGTACTCTGAATTGCGTTGACCTTTTTCTTTCAGATTTTTGTAAAACTGAGATGTAAAATAATGAAGTGTCTTGTTCATCTGGGGTCTATTTTCATAGAGAATAAATTAACCACTCATTTGTCATTGTCAGTCTTATTTTGGCTAAAACCAGGACAGAGGCTTCTATTTTATATTATGGAATCTTTTTTGAAATTACACCTTTGATGGTTTCACTGAGTGGTTTAGTTTTAGTTTTACCTAAAGTCGTGACTAGTCCTATTTAAACAACGGTTTTCTTGTTTAGTTTTTCCTGTGTTGTTATTTTTTAAGATATATTTGCTCTTGATTGGAATTTACATAGGTGACTATCGCTTATAGTAGAACATGTTTAAGCAGGGAGTAATTTTTAAATTGCTCTTATTTTCCATTTTCTACCCATAGCAGGCATGCTTCATGAGATTTGAAGTTTTGTTTCAGTACCGTGCAGTTTGACGGTTGCTACCGTGGTAGCCGACTACTGCTCTCGTTTATCAGTTTCTGTGGTTTTAAGCCGCAGTGGCTCAGCACTTAAGTAACCAACATGGAATGAGATGGGAGGGATCGGTCTTAAGAGAATGTTATTTAAGCTGTTCAGAATTTATGTTCTGTTTATGTAGCTCGACATGGCTCGGTATTAAACAGATTGAGGTATTTTATGACTCAAGGCACCCTTTCCTCAATTCAACAAAAACCTGCTTGACTTTCTTAATCTCAGTAAGAGAGCCACAAAGTTGTAGGATACCTTGTGTTGTTGGCTCCTCTCCGCTCCGGTCGTTGACTTCAGTCAGGTCACCATTGCTTTCTTTTGGAAAACGTGCACTAAGAGAATGTGTGTGTTAATAAATATTTTTTCCTTCTTGTCAATCGTAAGCACTTGACCACCTTTGTTCTGGATCGGAAAGATGCTATGATAACTGTTGATGATGGAATAAGGAAGCTGAAATTGCTCGATGCCAAGGGCAAAGTGTGGACCCAGGATATGATTCTTCAAGTGGACGACAGAGCTGTGAGCCTGATTGATTTAGAATCGAAGGTAAGTCTGTAAAATTTAGACTGTTTACTTCCAAGAAAGTTCCACAGATACTTATGTTGACAAGCAGGTCATACTGTTTAAAAGGGGATGAAAGTTTGACAAAATAAAATATTTTGTCAGTGATTTTAAAGAAGAAATATACTGTTGCATACATATTACGCCCACAAAATCAGTTCCTGAAACTGGAGACAGAGGGATATGTGTTTTGTTTTGTTTTGTTTTTAACCACAAATGATGAGATGGAGGAAGTGAGAAAAAAAATCCAAAGCACTAAAATAAGGCCCCAGTGGAGCCTTATTCTTTATGACATATATTAATTATATACTAGGCAAACCATATCCCAGTAAATGAGTAACCTGGGATGAAGGGGGTTTTTGTGTGTGTGTGTATGTGTGTGTGTGTGCCTATTAACTTTTCAGCACCCCTATGGCAGGCACCTTTATTTTGCACAACCACTGGTAGGTACGAGGCTAGAGCTCTCAACACAGGACTTTTCTGAGCCCCATTATCCAATAAGTATTTGAGTTGCTAAGATAAAGAAAACAACTGTCATAATTGTTTAGAGTATTCTGATAGGACTTGGAGTAAGATCTGCCCTTTCTTTTCTCACATCCATCATATACTGTGAGAGAACATCTTCTCTGATCCTCATGGTTTTAAGTATTATATAGAGAGAAGGGGGTATTATTTAATTTACTTTGCAAAGAAAGAAAATTTGTTATTTCTCTGGTACTCTGAGAAATTGCATTTTATTTTGAAGGACAAGTGCTTCTTGTTTTGCCTTTTCTGGATCTCAGGGAATCAAAAGTTAGAATAAAACTCATGATGTGTGTATGTGCCATCTGTAATCAGAGTTGCTGCTTTTTCCTTTTATTTGTTATTTATCTAATTTATTTTCATTTATTGGGGATATTATATTTTCTTAAAAAAATCAGTTTCTCTCATTAATTCATTATGACCCACTCACTATTTGTATAAAATCATTAGTATAATAATGAGCATTTTAAATATATCTCATTAAATACAGAATTCTAATCGTGAACAGAAAGCTCATTTGTTTAAGAATCCGCCAGTATTTTATTTAGGTGGCTGTTTATAGGTTAGAGAATATTTACTTTTATACTTCCAAACATCTTAATCACTTTGAAAAATGTAATTTTTAGTGAGATCCTTCTGGCCCAGCTGTTTGACATTTTTGACTAGAATGAATATATAGAGCGAGTGAATTTTTTCATCTGAAAGATTCATTGAAATAAAAAAATGTATAAATGATGTATTATTTTTAGCCTAACATTTGTGATCACTGAAGGTAGAAACTAAGAGTATGACTGTTCAGTGTTCAAGTAAAAGAAAATTCTGACACTATATAGCCAGAGGGAAAAAAAATACCATGTAAGATGGTGAATAATTTTGGAAATCACTTTAAAAGCGATTTGTACAGTGTCTAGAGCTCTTTGTTCAATAGATTTTAGACATACGATAAAAATTAAGGCAAATTATATTTTTACTTTGTTTACAGAATGAACTAGAGAATTTTCCTTTAAGCACAGTCCAGCACTGCCAAGCTGTGATGCATTCCTGTAACTATGATTCAATTCTCGCCCTGGTGTGCAAAGAGCCAACTCAAAACAAGCCCGATCTTCATCTTTTCCAGTGTGATGAGATTAAGGTATAAGAATGGTGAATTTTTTCCCCCCTTTAAGTAGATGTTCTGACAGCCATTGGATTATCCACTTCAGTTATATGACCAGTGGATTTTTAGTTTCTTAGGATTTTGTAAGGAAAACAAATACCTTAGTATTTTCCTGAGGGGTTCCAATAAATAAAGAGGAAATAGAGTGGTATTTTAAAAAAGAAAGATGCATTCTATTTATTTAAAAAAAAAACAGGCATAGATAATATATTAAATTCTTCATTGAGTTACTTGGACTTATAATTAAAAATTGATTCTTCCAAAATCATGCTTCATGGACAATAAGTAATCACGCCATCCTATTTTATTCTGCACTAATCACATAACATGGATTATTGCAGTGAAACCCTCAAGACATTTTCAATGATACATATTTAAAGCTCACCATTTAATTATGTGACTTGAATAATTGCTCAAGATATGTAATCCCCAAGTGATAATGTGAAAGTAGTTAAGCATGGTTACCAGTAAAAACATGCTATATCCTGAAGATTGGTATTCAAAGTACACTGTAATTTTCAAATGCTTATCACTTGTGATGCTTTGTTGGACATTAGAAATTATCGTCCACCTTGAATATTTTTAGATCATGAGTTGATTTCTTCAAAAGGGAATTCATTTTGGGTTGAGTTGATTGGTGCTTTGCCAAAGCAGTGACTTATCACTGTGACTGTATATTACAAAATATACAGGTAATTTTTATCTTATAAAGAAATGTTAGGAGATTAGCATGAAGTGTCACTTGATCTTTTCTGTATTTCTTTGACATTAAAATATGATAGCTAAATTAAGATTGACTGTCAACAGTGCATTTCATCATTTTCTTTTTCTTGCTTTATGTATAGATGACTTTGTAAAAATCTTACTTGAAAATAACTGTGGCATTTAGATAATTTGCATAGTGATGTTCATCAAATTTTATGTAGTGCCTTTTGAAAGTCATAAAGGGTATTAAGAATTTTGCAAGGTTAGATTTGTTAAGTATTAAATAAGTATTAAAGTGAATATTTTTCTCTGAAAATATATTGAAATTAAAATATTTTTGAAACAGAGGACTAAACTAAAAGACATTTTAAATCTGGTATTTGCCTCAGTGCTCTAAAACTTAGCCTGAAACTAAGAGTTATTATGCTGAGTAAAGTTTCTGGGTTTAAGTGTTGAGAATAAAGGGCTTGTTTTATCTGATAGGGGATGCTGGTATTGGTGGGTCTGAAACAGATTTACTGAATTACTGTTTTGTCTAAAAGCTCAAATACCACTGTGCAGCTCTTTGTTTTTACTCATTAGTGCTATCTACATGAGACCTTCTTTTTCCTTGACACATTAAAAATATAAACACAATGAAATATGATGTAGTTTCTTTTATATGGGTCATGTTGCAACATCACTTTTGAGTTTTAAAATTTCTTTATTATGGGATTTTACACTACGCTCCTGCCCACCTCTATAGTAAAATTTTTCTTAGAAATATGATAGCCCCCCCCACAAAAGAAGTTCAGGGTTCCTAAGCATCTTCAGTTTTACTTAATATCCCACATAACAGAGAGTCTTTGACATGATGTTTATAATGTCTTCCTGAAACTAAGATAGTCTTACTGAAGTAACACTGAGCTAGGGTGCATTAGCCCTCACATTTAATTAGGAATGTGACCTTGGCCAAACCATCATATGAGTATTCTTCAGTTTCATTAATTATAAAACAGAGAGGACAGATTAGATGATCTTTAAGTTTCCTTTCAGCTCTAAAATTTTATGATTGTCTGTGCTTATGGTAAAAGAATATACAGCATACATATTTGAGAAAAACATACAAAATGACAGAGAACAAGCAGGAACAAAAAATAGGAGGTGAGTACATCCCATCAAGAATCTAATATGCAATAATAATCACTGGTCATAAGTAAACTTTATACCAAACAAAATAAACCTCTTAAGAAGCTGCTAACTTCACACTGTTTCCCAAGAAAACCACATCAAATATTCTTGTTGGAAAAGTATTAGAGAAGTTAATTGTTTGGAGAAAGTTAGCTTTTACCTGAAATGACAGAATAAAGTGGTTATCAAAAAAGGTACAACCTAGTGTTGGGGTTCGTCCCACGATTGTAGTGTATTTGTCCCAAACTGGGAGTATCTGCTGGGACTGAGTGATTTGTTCCAGTAGGTTAATGGGTGCCCACCGGAGCCTGAGGCTGAGAAAGGGGAAGGGCTCTGCTTGACCAGCATGCACTTCTAATTCCTTCATTTCTTTTTAGGTAGAGATTTTCTCCCAGTTACATTTTCCACATATACTTACATTTCCAGCATATGCAAATTCCTTTTCTCTTTGCCTGTATGCAAGGATAGCTTTTGTCTAAAGTAATGGAATCTGGATGAAATAACCTTTAAGAATTTCTTCAGTTTTTAAAATTTGTCATTATAAAATTCACCATCAAAAAACTGCAAGAGTCATGTTTTGAAAGCACATTTTAAAAAAAGAAAACACTTTTCTTTTGCATCAGGACACTTACTGATTCAGATAGGGAATGTAATCCATTTTGCTGTTGCTGTTTGAAACTATACGTTAAGACAAGAAAAATCTATGACCTCACGGGTAACTTGTCTTGCACTGCAGGCAAACCTCATTAGTGAAGACATTGAGAGTGCGATCAGTGACAGTAAAGGAGGGAAACAGAAGAGGCGGCCTGAAGCCCTGAGGTAAAAACATTAAAAGAAATTAAGGGGTAGAATTGTTTTGTTTTTAAGTTTTTTTATTTGCGTTTTTCTTTTGTTTTTTGGGGTGTTTTTTGTTGTTGTTGTAGTATCTGTTCTAAAGATTTAGAAAAATGATCTTCGATGAAGGTCTATTTTACAGATTACAACCTGTGATTTCAACTCATTAGCTCTTCCTAGTTTATCAGTATATGTGTGCACCTTTTCTCTCCGCGTTTTCTGGTCTTTCTCTGAGAAGCCTTCTCTAGCATGTGTTGTCAGAGTCAGGACAGATGAGTGGCATTTTAAGGGAAGGAAGCCTGGTACAAATAGATATGAGGAATATAGTTAGTTCATAGCCTCTCCAAGTCACAGGAGACCCAGAAAAAAATTAAACCTAGTGTTCAGTTGAATTAAAATTTTCCTGTGTTTTTATATTTCATATACATTTGTAAATATACATAAAATGAAATGGTTAGGAAGTCCTTGTTGTCCTCCCCCTTGACATCGTTCTTAAGGTTGAAGAACTAATGCCATAAACTGAGAATTGATAGACACGGAGATGGTAAAAATTCTATTTTTTCATCTTTTTTAGGATGATTTCCAAAGCAGACCCTGGTATACCGCCTCCGCCAAGAGCTCCTGCCCCGGTGCCCCCTGGGACTGTTACCCAGGTGGATGTTAGAAGTCGGGTGGCAGCCTGGTCTGCATGGGCTGCTGACCAAGGGGACTGTGAGTGTTTCTGAGGATTGCTACTTATTGACCATTGACTTTGGGTTGTGACATAATTCTTGCTCTCAAATTCTGATGCTGATTTCTGAGCTGAAGCTTGAGGTTAGCTTTTTTAATTAAAAAAAAATCATAGATAAAGGAAATTTAAAACTTTGACACTATAAGACTATTGTATATGAGAGTTCACACCAGTCATTTAAATAAATATGGTGTTAGGATTACTTTTTTTTTTTTTTTAATGCAATCAAAGATGGGAAGTTTGACTCAGCTGTGAATCAAACTCTCTACCAGAGAAGAGACTGTCAGATTTTTTTGCAAAGATTGTCCTTCAAAATTCTTTCCATTATTATTATCTTACCACTTTCCTGTTTGGGAAAATTGTTGTGCTTACATGAAAAGGCTGTAAGGGGAGTATTAGGACAAGAGTAAAAGCATCTCCATCTCACTAAACTTGTCAGAGGGGCCCTTTGTGTGCATCATCATTTTACCTTGACATTCTTTTTCAAAGACAAATAATCCGAGCATAGAACTTAGCATAACTTTTTATATGTCAGAATGTTTTTGTTTTGTTTTTTGTTTTTGTTTTTTTTACCAAATCTGAAATTTTTATGACTGAAAATGCCTTAAAATATGTTTAGTCCAATCTTTTTATTATGAGTGAATAAATTGTGATCCAACGAGTTTGAATTTGATGAAGACTAGAGTCTCACTGTTCTGCCTCATTGTTCAGTGGACTTAAATCACTTATCCTTTATCTAATAAAACATTATTCATGCAGATATCTAACAATGTAGTTAAACAATAGAACTTGGTGGCCATAAATAAGTGACACTAGACTTTATTTTGAGTCTGGGGAGTCAAAAGTTGGACTCTGGAGTAAGACCAGGATCTGCTGTGTGACCCTGGATGGTATCTCTTTGTGTTTCAACCTCACTTGTAAAGTGGGGATAATGATTCATGGGTTGCTGTGAATCTGAAAGCAAATAATGTCGACAGCAGTCCCTACTGTAGTGTAAAACACATAACGTGTGGTTCGTCTCATTTTTGCCAAATTGAGTTCATTTTATTTCTGAATTGCTTTCCATTTTATTTATTTTTTTTGTATACTTGAAGTTATTTTTTAGAGATTTACATGTAAGCCCAGCTACCAGACAGATGAAAGAAAAAAGTCTTTGAAACATCTGTTTATCAAAAATGAAGTAGCAGAATATTTACCTTATAATAATTTGTTTTTAGAAATCATACAAATTTCTGTTGATCTGTTTTTTTTCTGTAATATTTTGTGTTTAAAAAAACTAATAGGAGTTTGTAGTGTTTTCTACTTTTTGTGTTCACATAGTGTTTTGTTGTTGCTACTATCTTGGTAGAAGAGATGTGGGTTTTGAGAGAGATCAAAATGGTCTTCCTTGAAGTTGAGGAAGGATAAGAGATCTTAAGTTTATAAATATTCTGAATAAATTTGTGAAAACATCTGTAAAACCTAATATGATTTACAACAAAGAGATGTTTCTGGGCTCTCATTAGATTTTGTCTAAAATATTCTGTGCAATCTTACCTATTTAAATGAGAGTAAGAAAGGGTTTTCACAACTTCTAATTTTCTACTAGGCCATACGGAACATAGCACTTACCATGTGAGGTTCTGTCTGGACCCAGGCCAGTTTTTGGTTGGAAATCCCCCCAAAAGGAGTATCTTTTTGGTCCCTCTGAAGGCTCCAGCTAACTCAGACTAAACATCTCCTTTGAATCCCTGACACAGCCTTACCCCTGACTTCCAAAAGTGATCTCTGTAGAGTAGTGGCAGTGGGGTTCGTAGTGGCACCAGAGACCCTGAAAAAGTCTGTGAGATACTGCATCTCCCCTTACCTCACCCTCCAAGTGATATTTTGGGGCTTATCTGGACTTCTTACTAGCTGCATTTCAAGTTCAACATGCTTTCTGTAGTATACTGTACTCAAGAAAGCCGCTAACTCCATGTAAAACAGCATTTAACTGGCAAGAGTTCATAAATATAAATTCTAATTATTTTAAAGTACTTAAGAGCCACTAATTAAGTTTCAAAAAACTCCATCATAATTTCTTCTTTTTTTCGGGGGGCGATATTCCATTTATTGGGAAAGGCATAGAAGAGGTATAAATACAGAGTTCTCAGTATTTTTTGTAGTTTTCTATATTGAATATCATGAGTCATGATGATGTATCATGAGTTTTTTCCATTATTGATGATACATTTTTCCAGTTTCATCTGTACAGTTTTTCTTTTATTTAATCTACTGTGAAATATATGTAGAAGTATCTGTGTTTAGTGGTAGTATTAACCAGAAGGGAGTTCATTATAGTGACCTTATGATTAACATCATGCTTTAGCTAACTGAGCTAACTTAACATCTTGAATGCTCTTAAGATATGTATTACTTAATTTGCAAATCCTGTAGAGTATTTATACTTATAAAGTATAAATCAGTGAGCCCAACCTTGTGGGTTTTAAGCTTAATGACAACTAGAATTTGAAAGAAGCACTTTACTGTCAGAACCCCCAAAGCTTTATTGTAATCACAGTGGTGGAATGTATAAAATTGGGAGGTTGCATTAGAAATTAGTTCACCACTTTTTGAGGAGCGGGTGCTTAAATGTGAGTTTATATTTCTTTCTTGTGTAGGAATTATAGGGTGAGAAGTTAGGGTTGGTTCTACAGGCAGCTGTCATTGGGAAGAGGGAGAATAGAAGGGGAAGTTACAGGGTAAATCATAAAGGCTAAAGGCAAGCCCTGGCCAAGTGCTCCTCAATTAGTGGTGGCAAGGATGCATGTCATTGATAGATGATGAGCAGTTTTCATTTTGTATCCAGTGAAGGTGTTCCCTTTTGCAAATGGCACTCTTTTCTATCCACTTTTCATGTTTCACTACCTAGATTGATCTTGCTTCGGTAACAGGTTGAAAGACTTGTGATTCTTTTTTCTTTAGTTGAGAAACCAAGGCAGTATCATGAGCAGGAAGAAGCACCTGAAATGATGGCGGCCCGAATTGACAGAGACGTGGTAGGTCCAACAGTCCTCTTTAGGCCATTGCCTTCTTTTTAAAGAGGAAAAAAATATCAGCAGGGAAAATGAAGTTGATTTAAATAAAGATGTTTTATGCAAACTGTATTTTCTCTTTCCATTGGTGGTTATGCCCTTTGAATTATTTCTTTCTTAACTATTTTTGCCTTTAGGCCAATATTTAGTTAGTAGGATAGGGCTCTGATAGAAGAACTAGCATATTAACTAGTTTACAAAGGAACCTAAACTGAATTATCAGATTTGGGGGATTTTAACTTTTTTCATAACTTGTAATTCATAATTGAAATGTCTTCTAAATATCTCTTCATGACATTTATTTTTACTAAACAATTTTACAATGCCTGAAAGATAAAAGTTAAGTGGAATTTTTTAAAAGTAGATATGTAAATTTTAATGTTTTATAAAGAATAAGGCTGTGTTTATTTTTATTAGTCCATAGTAATTTACTTACAGAATGACAATGCCTTCTGATATAATAATAAAATATAATCTCAATATAATTACTATTTATGTTATACGCAATCCTAGCTTATTTGGAAACAAATACAGGAATTTGAAGTTTGGAATTTAATTTTTATATTACACCATTATTTATTATACTTAAAAGTTTACTTAATCCCGGTTTCTAGTCTTTTAAATTAGAAGAATGTCACGTTTCACACATACTAGAGAAAGTCAGCTAAGACAATCAAAACTGATCCAATAATCCCTGAAAGCATAATTCATCATTAATTCTATTTTACCATGTGGCAACTCTCATTAATGATTATTATTCTAGATTATCTATGTGTTTATTAGGTAATCAGAACATTCTATATACCTTTAATTCCATGAAATAATATTGTTGGTACTTTATTGGCGTATTTATTAGAAAACAGAAATGCTCATTCCTCTTCTAACAAGATGTTTCTTAGAATTTTTCCCCTAACTTTATGTGGGAGAACCCTATGAGAAAATTAGAGTAGTTGAAAATAATTAATAATCTGAATAGATATTGTGAATGCTTTCTTTATGGTATTGAAAATAGAACAAGATTAAGCTAAAGAAAAATGTAAATGTCAGACTTTAGCCACCGGTATGTGTATATTTAGTTCAATTCTTTTTCTTAGAATTAGTGATAAACTTGAAATTTGCATGTGGGAGGTATTTTTTTCTTTTTTTTTTTAACTTTCTGATTTTCCTTTACTGACTAATAGTATTCAGTCGAGGCAAAAATGGTTTTATTTTGTCTTAAATCTTATTCTGTAATTTCTAATTCCAGCAAATATTAAACCACATTTTGGATGACATTGAATTTTTTATCACAAAACTCCAAAAAGCAGCTGAAGCATTTTCTGAGCTTTCTAAAAGGAAGAAAAGTAAGAAAGGTAAAAAGAAAGGACCAGGAGGTAAGTTGGATTTTCTCTTCTTTTTAAGATAGATAGATAGATTATTTATTTATTTATTTATTTATTTATTTATTTATTTATTTGACAGAGAGAGACACAGTGAGAGCGGGAACACAAGCAGGGGTAGTGGGAGAGGGAGAAGCAGGCTCCCCACTGAGCAGGGAGCCCAGTGCGATGCGGGGCTCAATCCCAGGACCCTGGGATCATGACCGAAGGCAGACGCTTAACGCCTGAGCCACCCAGGCGCCGCTGGATTTTCTTAAACTTCTAAAGACCATTCAGAACTCCAGTGCTAGGCAGAGTTTCTGCCCTTGTGAACTGCCCCTTTTCTAGTTTTGGGATAGCACCTGGGAGTTAGGCAGAGACTAAGAAGACCCCAGGGAATGGTCCATTTTGGTTCCAAGTTGGCTATAGTAAGAAAAGACTCTAGGATACTTAACCTAAATCACAGAGACTCTGAGATTCAGCTAACAACCATCTCTTTGTAGTTTTAATTAGTGACTGTAAAATTAATGTCTGTTAAAGAAAGTCATGGCCCTATTCTTCCCCTATTTTGATTTATTTTATTATAAATATAGAACCTCATTATTTTGTTAAAAGGATTGATTTTTCTCATTAAAATAGTTACAACTATCAATGGATTTGAATTTTTATATCACAGAACTCCCAAAGAATATATTCAGGTCACGTACAAGCTGTTTTGGGGTATGCTGTAGTTAGCTATTTAAAATGGCCTCAAAATGTATAAACTTAAAACTGTGGAACAAAATTAAAAGAATAGTGAGTAAATATCCCTTTCATGACACGTGACCTCCCAGTTTTTCTCTTGCTCATGTCTACCTCCTAAGCATGTGACCTGTAGACTTGTCTTCCAGATGTGTACCTCTGGGTGTACGTCACCTCCCTATATTCTGAAATTAAGTATTACTGCATCCTTATGTCTCAAACCACTTATTCCTGCTGTATTCGTTATGAGGGGTGTTCTATCCTCTTGGTCATCCAGATTCAAGACCACAGGTCTAGTATGACTTCATTCTCTAACTTGCAGCCAACATCGATTTTATTTTTTCAGTGTGTTTTATATCCAGTTGTTTCCCTTTTCATTTTCATAGCTAATGTCTGCTTCAAGCTGTCATCATTTTTTACCTGGCTCTCTAAGTAGTCTTCAAGCCTCCAGTCTTTTATTCTGGGAGGACAGTTGTCGTCATCTAATGTAGTCACTTCATTCTTCTGAACAGCATGTTAATTCCATGTTCTGTTGATTTACTTCTGCTCCTCCCCCCGCCCCCCTGGCAGTCAAGGTCACCCTCAGTCCAACCTTGGTCTGCTTTTCCATTCTCTTGGTTTCTCTGCTTTAGTTTGTTGTTTCATGTACATGCAATTTCCTTTTTCCATGTTTTTTTTACTTATACTGCTGTATCCAACTATGACATTTTCTTACCAAATTGCCGTGTAACAGACCTTGCAGATCCCATCTTAAAAGCTACTTTCCCCATGGAACATCTGTTAGGTGTCCATTTTCCCATCTCCCAACCAGGTGCAGTCTCTTTCTACAACATTTCCTTGGTGTATCTTGGTTACTTACCGATTCGGGTTTTCTAAAGATTTTAAGGCCCTTCAGAGCAGGGCTTATAACCCGCACATTTTTGTAGTCTTTGTGATGATAAGCGCAATAATTGGGACATAAAAGGGCTACAGCATAAATCTATGGAATTGGTGAGGAGTCAGTAGAGCCTAAGGGTAGAAGGGTCCATTTCAAATGTTGGATCACCTTAGTTTGTTACAGTGAGTCTAGGAGATGTACTAGAGTAGCTAGGAAGCATGGTATCTGGAATGATCAAATTTTACAGACACAAATGGGGCTTTTTATTTTTTCATTTATTAGATTTTCTTTTTTTTTTTTTTAAAGATTTTATTTATTTGACAGAGAGAGACACAGCGAGAGAGGGAACACAAGCAGGGGGAGTGGGAGAGGGAGAAGCAGGCTTCCCACTGAGCAGGGAGCTCGATGCGGGGCTCAATCCCAGGACCCTGAGATCATTACCTGAGCAGAAGGCAGACACTTAACGACTGAGCCACTCAGGTACCCCTACTAGATTTTCTGACAGCTTTGTTTTCATCTGTCCCCCTTCCGGTTTATTTCTTTTAGAGGGTGTTTTAACTCTGCGGGCAAAACCTCCCCCTCCTGAGGAGTTTGTTGACTGTTTACAAAAGTTTAAACATGGATTTAACCTTCTGGTAAGTGGAATTTATTTGTATATAATCAAAAGAAACAAACGAAGGAGATCAAATTCTAGCCAGGAGGTTCCTGATTAAATGAAGAGATAAAATTATTCTTATAGATTTTTTGGTATGTATGTTTTGATTTGCTTTTAATTGGGACAACAGATAATAAAACCTATGTATCCAAGCAAATTATCAAAAAAGAACAACTCCTAACTTGTTTTGTTTTTTTTTTTATAATTTTTTTTTATTTATTCATTTGAGACAGAGAGAGAGCAGGAGCAGTGGGGAGAGGCAGAGGAAGAGGGAGAAGCAGACTCCCTGCTGAGCAGGGAGCCCGATGTGGGGCTTGATCCCAGGACCCTGGGATCATGACCTGAGCTGAAGGCAGACGCTTAACCATCTGAGCCACCCAGGCGCTCCTCCTAACTTGTTTTTAAACTAAATTCTCTTAATCTGACTTACCTAGGCTGATTCATATATTAAAAGTTAAACTAGTAGTAAAGAACTCTTTCTCTGAGTCTGTATCAGACCTTTATGAGCATCTGTTTTTTGCTTGATTGCATCATAGTAATCTGTTTGTCTGTTTTCTTAATGCTACAGGCCAAACTGAAGTCTCACATCCAGAATCCGAGTGCTGCAGATTTGGTTCATTTTTTATTTACTCCATTAAATATGGTAAGACTGTTAATTTAAGAAAGTAATCACTCTTAGTATGTTTTTCAACCCCAAGTGTCTGTCTGGAGTATCTCGACAGTTTTCCTTCATTACTTTGCATGGATACGATTTCTCTTGGCATCTGTGTCAACATCGAGAATGTGCAATTTGGGAGTTTGAAAGAACCTTAGAAATCATCCTGTTCAAGCACCTTTACTTTATTGCTGAGGAAGCCGATGTCTCTGACAGAGCTAGGAAGATGAAAAGAAATATTTATTAGATGCTAGTGTTTCAGTATATACTAGGATATAATGCAAATGGCTATAATAATGTAAAAGTTTTTCTCTTTCTCCCAAAATAGGCTGGGTGTGAGGAGGTACTGGTACTGGATGGAGGGCTTTGCTCATTTATTTATTTATTCAGAAATACTAATTGAGAGCCTGTTACATGCTTACCATTATTAGTAGCTTATCAGGAATAAAACAGACATAAATTTTTACCCTCTTGGAACTTATATTGTAGTATGGAGGGGCAATCAGTAACCTAAATATATGCATAAATAATATATTTTGCTAAAAATAAGTGTTATTTGAAAAAATACAGCAGGGACAGAGAACGGGGAATATTTCAGGTGTATGCTCATGCAAGTGTGCACACGTATGCAAGGTGGAGTATTACCCTTTTTGAATAGGGTTGGTTAAGGTGAGAGGTGTCATTTGAGCAAATGAAGTGAGGAATGAGTCATGTGGATTTCTGAAAGAAGAGAATTCCAGACAGAGAACAGCTATTGTGAGTGCTCTGGGATGGTAATTGCAAATTATGTTCTTGGAATAAATAAGTATTGTGACTTGAACAGAATGAGGGAGAGCTTAATTAGGAGATGAAGTCAGCAAAGCAACAGGAGGTCATATTTTGTTGGTCTTTATAAGTGATTATGAAATCTTTTACACTTTTGGAGTGTTTTCAGCACAAAAGGATTGCTCTGGCTAGAATACTTAGAAATCTGGGGAAGAAGGGACTAGGGTGGTTATTAAAATAATCCAGATCAGAGATTATGGTGTTTGGACCGGGTGACATTAGAAATCGTAAGAAGTTGGATTTTGGGTATAAACCATAGAAGCAACATTTGCCGGTTGATTAGATGTGCTATGCAAGAGCCAAGGGTATCTCCAAAGGTTTTGGCCTAAGAGTGGAGGGATGGAATAATTATTCATCGAGATGGGGAAGACAATAGGTAAGACAGATTTTTTTGAAGGAAGATAAGGAATTCAGTTTTAGACATGTCAAAATTTTGTTACATCTAGATGGAAAAATTTGGTAGTTGAATATATGAATTTGGAGTTCAGTGGAGAAATCAAAGCTATAGATACGTATTTAAGGATCATCTGCATATAGAAGGCATTTAAAGCCATGATATTATCACCAAGGTAGTAATCATCATTGAGGAAAAAGGACTGGTTGAGCCTTGGGCAATTCAGTGTTAGGAGAATGGAAAGAACCAACAAAGAAGATTGAGAAGAAGCAGTTAAGTCAGGAGAAGAAACATAAGAATATTATGGTATTCTGGAAGCTAAATGAAGAAAATGTGTCCAAGAGAAGAATTGAGCAACTGTGTCAGATGTCTCTATGGTGGAAGCTGATTTACCTCCATGCCCTTGTTACAGCTGTGTACAGGGGCAAAGAAAGATGATTTATCTTTAAGGAGCTGACTCTGAACTTAAACAGATAATTTCTGCCTTTGTTCAGTTGGCCTGAATGTTTTCCTGTGGCCATACTGAACACCAAAGGAATATAGTCTCCATCTGCATGCCTGTAGGTTCATCTAAAATGTAGAGGCTTCTCTTTCTAGAAGGAAGAAGAGAGCGGACACTAGGGAGCAATTAGTAGTCTTTAGCATGCTCACTCTGTGCCAGGTGGAGTGATATCCACATAATACATTTTTTCCCCCAGAAAACTCCCTTCTCATACATGTATATTTGTACAAAAGGTATAATTTTTAAAGCTAACAAAAGGATGTGTTGGGAACAATTCCCTTTGTGAAGGAGTTGGATGTTCCTATGAGTTTATCCAGCAAAAGGTTATACCTCTTGTGCCGGAGGCCAGGATCCAAGATACACATCTTCATTTTCAAGATTTTCAGTATGCAGCTATGTTCTTTCCTTATGTGGTATGGTAATATACTTCCCTTCACATTATATATTTCTTATATCTGCAAATGGTGTAATAGCAACTTGTCTAGGCTGACGTTACATCCAACCATCTTGTCCTATGGGGCAGTTGGGAGAACTCACTGGAATATTAAAGAGTACACAACAAAAAAGTGCAGGGGTTTGGGAAAAGCATGTGACAGAAAGCAGATGGAACAATTGTCGCCCTCCCATACAGACAGATCTGAAAAGAGAGTAGGCTACAAATCACCCTTTTCTACAATTTCACCAGTTAGATGGGTCATTCTGGTTTTTGTGGGAGGACAAGTGAGTGAGGAGTGGAAAGGAGGTGGAGTCTCTTTTAAATACTTCCAGGAGGACAGACTTTCCTCCTTTGTGGGCTAAGGTAGGCATGGGTGGAGTGTTTGTGAATGGCTGTCCCTGTCAGAAGGGCAAATGATCACTTTGTGGGATGACAATGGCAGTAATGATAATTGTTAGTAATGTGTGATTATCCTGTGTCTTATTTCTGTGATTGTTTTTTTTAAAGACTAGACGAAGCAGATAAATTTCATTATTTTGGTTGAGGGCATATGAACACTATGGTTTGAGTACTCTAATATTTATCAAAAATGGGGCAAATTCAAATGCATTTCCCATAGGTTTTACTTGATTATCAAAAAAAAAAGAAAGTGCAAGTAACAAAAAGGGATAATAAATCTTCTCCTTCTTTCCCTAAGGGCAAATAGACAAGACCTGAAGTAGAATATGAAATGAATATTGCTTTACAAACATAGGAAAGTAACATTATTAACATAGGTGTCAGAACTGGGCAATAAGAGATTAGAAGATGAAAGTCCAAGACTACATCAATAATTTATGAATGCTTCCATATGTTGTTGCTATATATATAGAACATCAGATTTCTACTTGTCTAGTTATTGTTGAATAATCCTTGCTTTATAAGCTCTTTTAAAAATTAAATCAAGGCCATTCATATGCAAAGAAGCCCATAGAATCTCATTAACAAAGTTTATATTCCTTATTCTTTAACACATTTGATACTGTCTTGGTTTGAATATTAGGAAGTGTTGACTCTAAAAGAGTTTTTGCCATCTCCTCATTCTTGGCATACTCTTTCACACATTATAAGTAGATATGTAGATATGTAGTCGTTACATGAAAGAGAACTATAAAATAATGGGACTGGTTTCCCTCACATGTAGAAAGTAGCCTTTGTGATCAAGCTGTGTATCTGAAAATAGGATTCATTTTATCTTTTTTTTCATCAAAAATGACTCCTTCTTCATGGTCTCTCCAATCAGAATATGTTTGTTACTCCTTTTAATGTTCTGCCTACAGTGCCCCAGACATATTACTTGGACAAGAGACATGGGAAGGAACATTTATTTAGGGCCTACGACCAGCCACACAAAATTTAGTGGCTTTAAACCTTGCAAGACCCGCCCTCTGCCCTCAGCCTCTCCACACACAAGCACATCCACAGCAACCATACATGCATACATGCTTAACATCCGTTCTTGAGAGGGAACTATGTCTTACAGCTTTTTATTGACATTTCTTCTCTTTCATTCCCAAAGATTTTAAAGTTCCTCTACTCCTAGATTTTACTCCTTTACTTTTCCCTCTTAATCATTCCTCCATATTTACCAGAAGTGCTTATAGGGCTTGGAAGTAAGAAAATTACTGTACCAGGCAGGGTAAATTTTGTTCTCAAGTAAGAGTCAGCCTCCCTCCTTACTTCTCATCTTTTCTTTCACTGATTCTCGGTCGTCCCTCTAACACTGTGTCTTCTGCAATTGACTTGGTCCAAGTCCTCACAGGAGGGAAAACTGAAAAATAAGCCATAAGTTAAAATGTAACGTGTTACTTATATGCATAAATTGTTTTGGGGACACTGAGGTGCCTTGGAGCTATGCTTTGGGATTAAGGAGGGCTTCTTGGAAGAGGTGGTACCGGAGTAGAGTTCTGAGTGATAAAGGAAGGGCCTCTTGGGGAACTGGGAAGCAGCACGTGCAGATACACGGAGGCATACAGCAGCATAGCATGCTCAGAACACTTGGATGACTGGGGAGAAACTGAGAAACTGACTCTTGGTCTGGAGCCATTCAAAAAAAAAATCCCTTTTTTCTTGTGCCATATCTCTGGGAAGGTGAGATTTTTATAAAAGGGCTCTGGTTTCTGCTCTAGGAGATAACTACCATTCTTTAGCCAGGAAATAGCCTCTGAGAAGTCCATTTGGAGCAGTTTCCGGACAGACACTTATCAACCTTTTGTTTATCAGAGAGGTGCACCTGTTTATTTGTTTCTGCTAATCATTAAATTATCCATTTTAAATCAGGACAATTTCCTAGAATTAAATCCTGGGGAAAAATACCATAGATTCAGAGTACCAGTTCTCATTCTTCTCTCTGGATCCTTTTATTTTTGTATGTCTTTATAGGCACAGCCATGGACTGTTAAGTTGAGCCTTATTTCTCTCTGTAGTATTCATTTATAGAACCATACTTTTCAAGTTTGGGATAATAGATTTGCCAGGAAAGATACATGTACTTTTTTTTTTTTTTTTAAGCAAAAAGCAGAGATTGTTAAACAACCTGACTGAGAATTCTTTGGATAGCCATTACTATTTTCCAGGGAAAATACGGTCATATGCAACCAATAGATCCTGTGAAATTTGTTAAGCTACTAACTTTTCCATTCTAGATTATTAGTCACCTTTGGGCTGGGCAGGTTGACTTAATAAGCTGTTTTTCATTCAGTAAGTAGTACACTGCACCACGTCAAAATCTGAGTATATAAAAACAGTGCTTGTTTTGGCATGGATTTTACATATTTTGAAAATATACAAGTAATCATCATCTTCTTGCTAAAAAATGATTTATTGTTATTTTAGGTGGTGCAGGCAACAGGAGGTCCTGAACTAGCCAGTTCAGTACTCAGCCCCCTATTGACTAAGGACACAATTGAGTTCTTAAATTATACTGTCAACAATGATGAAAGACAGCTGTGGATGTCACTGGGCGAAACGTGGATGAAAGCCAGGTAGATGTATATGAGTTTAATACCTGTAATACTTCAAGTATTGTTCTTTGTTATTACAGGAATCTAACGAGATGTTTATTTTTAGCCTTTTGCTTATGAAAGACTAAGCATTACAGGTGAAAAAGCCTAAACCCTTAAAAAGCCAGTCTAGTGGGGAAGATATAAAATGTAAGGCATATTAACTGCCCGGAGTGACTTATAAACTGCTGTTGTTTGGTAAGGGAGAGCCATCAGGAAGAGGATTTGAAGAGGGGGGTAGTTAGCTTTCAAAGAAGAGCTGGCATTTAAAATCAATAGAGAATAAGAGTAGTATATTACGTAATATATATGTACACACTATACAGATAGTGTTTGCCAGGCACCCTTCTATGAACTTTATATAAGTACTGTTGTTATCCCTATTTTACAGATAACAAAACTGAGGTCTAGAGTGGTTAAGTAATTTGCTCAAAGCCATATAACTCTTAAGTGGCAGATCTGCAATTTGTACCTGGCAATCTGGCTCTGGAGTTGATGTTCATAATTATTTTGCTCTGCTGCCTTTCAGCTGGATGAGTAGGATTTCCACAAATACATAGTTGGGAAGGGGCCTTCCTAATAGAGAAGCATGAATGAGGGCATGAAGTAGGAAGTCAAGAGAATGGAGACTGAATATGGGTTTAGCTGGTATATAGACTTTGGATAGCAGGTGCTTGTGGGGAAGGGGGCGAGGAGGGATGGTGTTAAATGAGGCACATGGAAATAAGCAGGTGGGCTATGAAGGCTCCCACTGCCATGCTAAAGAGTTGGAGAAGATTCTATAGGCTGTGGAGAACCAATAGCTGTGTGAATAGGAGTGTGACATAATCACATCTGCATTTTAGAAAGATCAGTCTGCTAGTTGAGCCTAGCAAGGACAAGGACCAAAGTGAGGCCAGGAGGCCCCTTGGGATGCTGATGCTAGTGTAGAGATTCCTTAGTAAGCAACATTCCCTGGGTCTGGAACAGTAGTAGTGGGAATGGAAAGGAGGAGGGGATCATTTTAAAAATCGTATTTTTGTCAGTAGTGATTGTGGAAGACAAATCATTTACATTGCCTCATTTAACATTGCAGTGTTAAAGTTTCCTAGGCAAGGCAAAAAAATATTTATCATTTTATGATATGTGAATAAATAATTTTTGCCTTCCTAACCATGGCCCAAATCATTTTTTTCTCTCACTACTTAGAGTGAGTCATTCAGTGTGGTCACTTAGATGCTTTTCTTCCTAATGCTTTTGAATGGGCTAGCCTAAAAGTAATGGATCAGTTCATAATTTTTTTCCTCCTCCTTTTCTTCTATTGAAACACATATAAACGGTGTTTATATATAAAATATAAAACTTACATTTTGGACTTAGGCAACAGCTTGTGTTGGGATATGGTTTACATATTGAATGGTTTACCAAGCAAAAAATTATTTAAAAGCCCTGTAGTTGTTTTTATTTTGAAAACAATATTTAAATTTATTTATATACTAATATAACCTACTGTATCATGCTATTTATATATTGTACTTGGTTAAATAGATTTCTTAAATCTATTAGATTTTCATAGTTTATAGTCTTATGATAAGCCTAGATGGAATCTTTTAGTATTTTCCCATGAAACTTACTAAATTCATCAGATCTCCTAGTACAAAAATAGCTCAGACTTTCTAATTTCTTGATTTTGGGTCCTACCTCAAAATGAGAAAATGAATGACCATTGGAAAAACTACATCAAAAGGAAATATATCGTTAGCTCTTGACAAGAGAAAAGGTAATTTTTTAGATCCTAATTGTTAAGAGTATTAGGAAATGAATATACTGATTTAAAAATTCATAAAGATAAAAAGATCATGAAGGTACATAATAATCTGAATAAAAAGACTTATTTCATCATAGTAGAAATATAACCTGAAGAATTGATCTTTCACTTGTGAAAGATAAAACAACATAGTATAGCAGAGATGAAGCTATAATTTCTGTCCCAGTTATTTTTGTGGTTCATGAGTGATTAGAAGCTTGTAGAAATAAGCCTCGCTTAGAGTCATTAAATAATGAACGGGTAATGATTATGATTCCAAATTAGTCCTAACTTGATTTTACTGATTAAAGGCTCACTGATAAATTTAATTTATAAAATTGGTAATGTTTCATTTAGGGGACTTTGTAACTTAAAAAAATCATAAATGTTAAGAACATTCTCTGTTGTTTCTCTTTTGAAAGATATATCTGATACCAGGAGGGTTCATACCGAGGGAGGGGAAGGAAGGGAAAGATGAGAATCTGAAACTACTTTAGATACAGGAGAAGTTCGTGTTCTAAATACTTGTAACACTTCTAGCCTCATGCTCCTTTTCCAAATTTTCAAAACCTATATCCATGTTACATAGCTGAATTAATGGAGAATTGAGGCAGTGTACTGAAAACAGATCATGAAGCAGGATTCAATCTTGCTTTCGTTTTGTTGGCATTATAGACTAGTATAAGCATGTTCACTTTCCCTTTTTGAAGAGAGAGAGGGCAGATGAGGTATGCTTTGTTTCTGTTTGTTGTTATCTGTTTTTATTTTTTGTGGCTAACCTTATTGAAAGTAATTTTGAACATGGATACATTTCTTAATTTTGTGCCTTACTGTCCCTCTACAGAGCAGAATGGCCAAAAGAGCAGTTCATCCCACCATATGTCCCGCGGTTCCGCAATGGTTGGGAGCCTCCCATGCTGAGCTTCATGGGCGCACCGATGGAACAAGATCTTTATCAGTTGGCTGAGTCTGTGGCAAATGTAGCAGAACATCAGCGCAAACAGGAGACAAAAAGATTATCCACGGAGGTACAGTTGTTTAGCATCACTTTTTGTAGAAAGTGCAATAACCTGTGCATTCTCTTGTAATTCTGATTGTGAGTTCTCGTTTTATCGATCTGAAGATTGTTCTAGAACCAATGACTATATGTCCTGCTGCCCTTGGTTACCTCTCACCTCTTTGTCATTGCCGTGACAGTTGCTTTGTTTCCCTGTGAAGCCTAACGCCAGCCTTAGAGTCCTGTTAGCACTCACCCCTACCCACCTGCTAGTGTTCCCTGAGCCTTGGTGATCCCGTTTCAATTTGTGAGTGCCTGCTTTCTCCCCCTGTCAGAGAATTGCCCCACTGTTGCTTGGCTTGTTCTTTCTGTTTTTCTCTCCATCATCAGACCCTTAAGACAGCTCCCTGAACCTAGGTCCCTGAAGCCTGTCCCAAGCAGCTCTTTCCCAAATGTCCCATGTCTTCCCTCCTTCCTCCTTCCTTCCTGCCCTCCTTCCCTCCTTCCTTCTACCTAGTTCTAAACCCCGAAACCTTCTCAGCCTGGCTAGAAGGCCAGAGTGTCTTCTGGACTCAGTCCCCAGGCTCAAATGATCATTTATAACCCTAATACACCCTGAGGAGATCACAAAATTTATTGTGCCTTTTAAGTATTTAGTAAGCTTTAGAGTATAACCTATTTGGGGAGCAAATTGAGAGATTGAAATTGGGTAAGTTATCTCTGCACATTTCTTAAAAATGATTTTCCTGTGACTCTTTCTTGTTCTGTCAGAAAAGAAAATCAAACATTGCTTAAAGCTGAACCAAACCAAATAGAAGGATCAGAACCCAAGGAATCAGATTAATGAGGTCTAGTTTGGAGAAGAAACAGTAAATGATGACTAGATCCTCCTTCAAGTCCAGTTCATTTCCTTTATTTAATTCCATAGATTAATTTTCTCAGTGCTGTGGGTATTTATAATATGGCAAACATGATATGAAGGAATGATTAACAAACCAGAGTAAATCTTCACTTTTAAGGAAAAACACATAAATTAATTTTTTAAAAATCAGTCCCTTGGACAGTAACCATAATATAGAAGATTGGTTAAATTTTGAAACTTCAGAAATAAAGCAAATACACTGCTTTGAAGACATACATTTTTTTCTGATGTAATTGTTTTTTGCTCTGGTGCATCGAAGGGTAGAGTCTCTAACTGCTGTCCCTTCTAAGTGATTAAGACAATGACCTCAGAGCCTTTGCATTGGTTGGCAGTCCCTCTCCAGACCTCAGCAGTGTGGATTTTATAGTTCAGACCTCAGTACTGTGGATTTCCTTTACTCATAGAGGGCAACTTTTTTAGAGGAAAAAAGATGTAATTGAACATGAAATTATGACACACTTGTTGCTATAGTTACAGCCGACTATTTTCAAATCACAGAAATTTCTAGCTTACAGTCTTTGTATCTTAAATAAGAAAATAGATCCACTTAATGTATTGCCTCAGAAATTCACTTTCGTGGGTTCTTTTTCAAAAACTTGCATATTTAAAGAGAGAGTCATGTGTTCTGGGCTTCCAGTGTAAAAGTTGTCTACTCTCTTGGAAGAAGTAATTTTAAAGGAAGAATTATTGAGAATCTTTCCTTGTGATGAGTTATCACTTTCCTGTTGTAAACTGTTTTCCATTTTATGGCTTACATACTTATCCAGAGGTGTAAAAAAATGAAATGAAAAGGACCTGCTAGCTGTTTAGGGGATTTTTATGCCTTAAGGTTTTGTTGGAAAAGAGGCCAACTAATGGTGATTTAAAATGCATAAAAAATGCAATCATCCCCAGAAGAGGAACTTTATTATACTTTATTGGTACTAAAATAAATACACTCAGGACAAGACTTGGATGATTCAGGATCTGGTGGTTTTGTGTAGAATCGAAAGGCTTGGGTGACATGGGGTGTCAAACATGGGTGGCAATACTCAACTTTTTTACTTCCTCTGAACCAGCAGCAGCCCTAAACAAGCTTGTGTAGTCATCACAGGTAGACGTACGTCATCATTTCTCTCCTCCCTTGCAATATTTCTAGTCACTCTCAGGACCCAGTGATCTCATGCTGACTGACCTCACTCGGTTCTGTTCAGAGTTAGCTAAAGGTGAGGGTGATTCTAACACCCTCTTTATAAAACATTGCCTAATCATCTAGTGCCTCTCCTCTCAACTAGGAAATGATAAACTGAATTAATTAAGCTACTTATTTGTCTTTTTTAAAAGGATTTTATTTATTTATTTGAGAGAGAGAGAGAGAAAGTGAGCACAAGCGGGGGTGGGTGGAGCAGCAGAGGGAGAGGGAGAAGCAGACTCCCGGCTGAGCAGGGGGCCCGATGCGAGGCTTGATCCCAGAATCCTGGGATCATGACCTGAGCTGAAGGCAAATGCTTAACAGACTGAGCCACCCAGGCACCCCCTTATTTGTCATTTTTAATTTCAGCTTTATTGAGGTATAATTGACAAAATCATAAGATACTTAAGGTGTTCATCTGGTGATTTGATATGCATTGCAAGAGGATCCCCCCCCCAATCTAGTTAATTAGCACATTGACACATCTGTCAACCTCACATATTTATCTTTCTTTCTTTTGGTGAGAACATTGAAGTTCTATTAGCAAATTGTAATTACACAATACAGTGTTATCAGCTGTACTCACCATGTTTTACATTAGATCCTCAGACCTTATTCATTTATAGCTGAAAGTTTGTACCCTTTTACCAACTTCTTCTGATTTCCCCCAGCTCTTGGCAACCACTTTTCTACTCTGTTTCTATGAGTTCAACTTTTTTTTTTTTTTCGGATTTCACATGTGAGTGATACCATGCAGTATTGTTCTTTTCCTCTTTGGCTTATTTCACTTAGCAGAATGCTTTCAGAGTCCATCTGTGTTGTTGCAAATAACAAGATTGCTTCTTTCTCATAGCTGAATAATATTCCGTTGTATATTTATACCATATCTTTACCCATTCATATGTTGATGGGCACTTATCTTGTTTCCGTATTGTGAACAAAGCTGCAGTGAACATGGAGATGCAGATATCTCTTCAAGATCCTAATTTCATTTCTTTTACTATTATACCCAGTAGCAGGACTGCTGAATAGTATGGTAGTTCTATTTCTAATTTTTTGGGGAACCTCCATACTGTTTTCTTTTTTTTTTTTTTTAAGATTTTATGCATTTATTTTGAGAGACAGAGAGAGAGCTTGTGTGAGCTGGGTGTTGGGAACAGAAGCAGACAGAGAGAATCCCAAGGAGACTCCCTGCTGAGCACAGAGCCGGACACAGGCTCAATCTCATGACGAGGAGATCCTGACCTGAGCTGAAATCAAGAGTTGGACGCTTAACCAACTGAGTCCCCTAGGCAATCTCCTCCATACAGTTTTCCATAGCAGCTGCACCAATTTACATTCCTACCAACAGTGTACAAGGGTTTCCTTTTTTTCCCACATCCTCACCAACACTTGTTATCTCTTGTCTTTTTGATGATAGCCATCCCAACAGGTGTGAGGTGACAACTCATTGTGATTTTGATTTACATTTCCTTGATGATTAGTGATGTTGAGCACCTTTTCATGTACCCGTTGGCCATTTGTATGTCTTCTCTGGAAAGATGGCTATTCAGTTGCTTTGCCCATTTTTTAACTGGATGGATTTTTTGTTTTTTTTGTTTTTTCCTCTTGAGCTATATGAGTTCTTCATATATTTTGGATTTTTAGTCCTTATCAGATACATGATTTGCAAATATTTTCTCCCATTTTATAGTTGCCTTTTCATTTTGTTGATGATTTAAGCTAAGGTATTTAAATGGTGAAAACTGTTTCTTTGCATTTGTGTGTTAAGCATATTCTAAAGGAGTAATATAGTGTGGGTATTTTGACATCCATGCTAGTCCATTGGAGAAACCTCACCTACACCATCTGTGTTTAAACATATCCCTACTCCTGCCAACTCTGTCATTAGGATGAACTATAGTAAACATGTATCTAAGACTTTTCTAAAACATTTCCAGTTTCAAATATTTTACCCTAATGAGTTCATAAGCAATTTAAATAGCCAAGGACTTCCAGTACTTCATGGTCTATTGTGCCTCCTCCATACTTGATTACATATAAGGAAACAGCATAAAATCTTTACATGAATGGGTTTTTTTTTTTGGTCTCTGTTTCTTATTTTCCCCATAGCTTTGAAACCATGTGCTCACTGGGGCCCGTAGACCTCAGTTCCCCCTCCTAGTAGCACCCAGTGGGCTCATGTTGGAATTGGGTAACTACAAAAAACAATTACTTCAGCATTGTCTTATCCTGTATTGATTGTCAAGATTAATGTGTTTCTGTCTTTCTGTATTTCCTTCTGTCTTTCTGTATTTCCCTCAACAGTAAATCTGATAATAGTAGCTGCCATTTTTTAAAAAATAAAAAAAATAGGTTCTGTGTATCTTTAAAAAATGAAATGTAGTATAATTTTAATGCAGGGTTTAGATGATTTTCATGTGGTATTATTTACTTTGCTAGAGTGGTAAGGGTCTGTTCCTTAAACACAGAGAGCAAGGGGGAAGAGTTTTATTGTTGTTTTTAAACCAGTTTTATTTTATGTAAGCCATTAAAGTCTACCTACTACCAAAATCACTTATTACTGAAATTCCTGAGGAAAGAATATATTGCTTGTATACCCACTTATTTTCAGAATTACAATTTAGCTTTGGTACTAATGACTTTCCTGTTATAAATAGGTCTTTGACCAAAATATATCACCCCCTTTTCATAACTTGTTAATAATGGTCAAACACTTGAAATTGAGAAACTGATCACAATATAGTGGAAGATTTTGTTGACTGATATTAGTGGTCATTCCAATAGCCTTAGCGACTCTTTAATCTCTCTTCCCTCTGTCTTTCAGCAGTCCAGTGTATCAGAGTATCCTCCAGCTGATGGGTATGCATTCAATAACATGTACACAAGAGGGCCCCATCCGGACCAAGGGGAAGCAGTTGTGGCTTTTAAGCCAACTCCTAATCGCCACGTAGATAGGTAACATTTCATGGGCACCACTTGGAGAGCTGTGGATAACTGTCTCTGATTTAGTGCAAATAGAGGTCCCGGTGTCTGCATTGTTCACTACTTCTTTAAACTTTCCATCTGTTAATTGTTTCAGTTGTTCCTTTATAGAATTGGCTCTGATAAACAAAGCCTCTATTCTATAATTCTTACTGGAAAACCTCCAGCCTATAACTCTAATTTAGTGCAAATGCCTTTGGATGACTTTCCCTTTTCAAAAAGATGCTCTGACAAAATCTGAATTAAGAAAGAAGAATTGTTTTTGAAACTCTCCATTAGTTTATACCAGATGGTCTCTAAGGATCTTTCTAGCTCTGTAACTTTTAAAGGAAACAATTTCCATCATTCTCTCCCCCAACAAAAACAAATCCTCCTTTAGATAGACCTATTTCTAAGTATAAACTAAATATTTAGAAGGAGTCAGTGCCTTATTTGCCATTCTTGCCATTTCATCTTATTATATTGTATTTTTACTTTCCAGTTTTATATTTCATTTATTTTCCCATAGTTTCACTCTTGAAAAAAATTCAGTGTGGGCAAAGATGGAGAATTGAGATGGAGGAGAAATAAAGGCACTGGAGTAGGTTCACCTCTTCAGTCTTGTTTACCAGCCTCAGCTAATGAGGTTGACATTGTGGCCAACCCGTCTACAAAAGAGAAAGAACAGGAAGTGAAAAAAAAAATATGGGAGAATGGTCATTCAGATGAAGTGGGGTAGAGAACTTGCCCTGCTACCTTCCTACCTCAAAGCCTCACTCACCCTGAATGTTGCATTCCCTTTCCTTCTTCTCATTATACCTTTTTCTTAATAGAATCTAAAGAAGATGGGATTTAAAATGTTTGATTTTTGTTAGGAATGATAACGGAGGTAGTACTTAAGTAACTGGTGTGGAAATTTTACAGATATTACCTAAGGACACCAGTAACATATTAGATTGAGTATAAAGTCAGCAATGAAGAATACATTTTGAAAATGCCAACATATGAAGGAAGTTTTAATTATAGATTCAATTTTTAGTAGATAATACATGAAAATTATTTTTGAAGTTTAAAAATTATTTCATTGAAATTCTTCTTGACTAACTTACTACTCATCCTAATATTTTCCTTTTCTTCTTTGGAATTTGCTTTTATAATTATTTTTATTACCCTAAACTCTGTTACATCCCTGGAATGCAGTAAACGCCATGCAAAGTATAGGCATTCTTCAGTGAAACTTACCATGCCATTAGGTAAACCACCTGTTGAATTTAGAGCCCTCACCTTTGAGGGGTTATAGTTTACTGGTATCCAAAAGCAGTTTGTGTTTTAGAGTTGTCTCCAATCATTGCAGACTCCACATCAGCTCTCTATCAAGTGCATATTTATTACTCCAAAGCCATACATTTTGATACATTATAGATCTCTTAAGAAACTTTCATGTATCTGAAAAATTACAAAGTATGATTTTCAGATTGATTACTGTGGTCAGTATCATAGCTAAATTTAATCTGTAGTGGACAAGAAATTGTAAACCATGAAGATTTGTAGATTCTAAAGCACTTTACAAAGTGCATGCTGGGCAGTCACCTCTGAGACACTCAAGATAACAAAGACTTCAAGAACTACAGCAAACTTTTCTTTTTAACTTGCTGGTTCAGATACACAGTGGCAGAGAGTTATTCTATCTTTTGTTATAGTGTACTCAACTCTCTATTATTAATAGTGATTGTTTTCTAGATCACGGAAGGGGGGAACTTGAGGGGAAGGAAGAAAGGACACTGGAATTACTGCTTTTCTGACTTTTGAAGTGGTTGAACTCCGCCCCCCCCCCCCCCCCGCAAATGAAATCTAAGTAGAATGTAAACATATAAACTAGGGAATAGGGGTGGGAAGCCCATGGAACAGTTTTTAAATTATTATTACTATACAATAATTATTTGCCTATAATGTTACTTTTCTCACTTTTTCTTATTTTTTAATATATCAAAAATGGCCAATTGGTAGCATAGCTTAGGGGCCATTTTTTTCATTGTCCCTCATCTCTTCTGGAGTTGCTAAGAGATTGCAGATTACCTGTGATGACATGATACATTGTGTCCACAATTATAATGCTGGCCCTGCTGTGATTCCAGAGGACCCTGGTGGGCCACTTGACAGGGAATGATGAACAAACATCTTTAGTTCCTTTCTGCTTTTTCTCTTGTAGAAATGAGTAAGGAAATGTGGAAAGGTAAATGAAGGAGAAGAGGGAGTAAAATTAATAAGAAACAGTTAAAGTTATTTTATTACTGAAATGAATAAACTATTATCAGTACATTGTTGATATACCAAGTTTTATTGTATTATATATAGAAGTATTTTTAAAATTATGTTAAATCTATTAATGGTCATTTAATGATTAAAAGGAAGTATTTGGTTCTTTGAGAAAGTTTTGTTTTTAAAAAAACATAGGACTCTTGGACCTGTTCTTACTATTAAAATAAGTTTATAGGGAATTAATTAATTAGGAAGTGTTATTAGTCTTGTACGTAATCTACACCTTCCCTTGCAATTTAGGAACTGGACAGAGCTTTCATGGTCAATAAAAATTGACAGTCATAATTTTTTAATATGAATTAAAGACATTGCTTGAATTAGTGAAATAAACATATAATTTAAATTACCACCATGGAAATTATCTTCATTCTCCTTTAGTTTTATAAAAAATGCTATCATTGATCTTTGTCCCAGTTCTTCCATGGTGGAGATGCTAACTGACAAAGCAATATCCCAGTATATTTAATGGACAAAGAACTCATAGATTTGTGTTCTAGATTTGGCTTAGTACCCACTAACCTTGTGATTTTGCATTATTTATTTTTGCCCTAGCCATAGTTTGCTCATTTTAATAGTGAGAACTCCAAAGTTTTTTTTTTAGTTCTCATATTCTATGTAATGTGATAAGCTAAACTACTCTTGAAATAATTTCTCAGAATGTTTTCTGGTAGGAATTAGCTTGCCTTGATGTTTTACTTCTATTTTTAGCCTTTAGGGAGAACTAGCTGAATGATAATTTCTTTTTCTTTTTATAGAAATTATGATCCACTCAAAGCACAACCCAAGAAATATGCCAAATCCAAGTATGACTTTGTGGCAAGGAACAGCAGTGAGCTCTCAGTTCTAAAGGATGATATTTTAGAGGTAATAGAATTTTACCTTTTTTATACTCTTAATAAAATGGATTTATTGTATTCCTCTTTTGGTATATATCTAAACCTTCCTCAAAGAAATGCGGAGGTCAAGAAATTATTCTTCGGTGTTATTTTATTTTATCAAGGATAAAAGTATATTATAGATGCTTATATCTATTTAGGAGGGGGAGCTGCTTTATCTTATTTTTTTGTTTGTTGGGTTTTTCTGGGGGAGGGGGTGGAGGACAGAGATGGGGATGTGGAGGACAGAGGTTCGATTTCTTGGCTTACTTTGTCCTCTTTCTTCTTCTGGGCTTTATTCATTTTGTAACCAAGGCTAGTTATGTAGATGCATCATAATATTTTAATAAGAACACTTTTTTTTCTTCCTGTCCTAGTACCCTCGCACAAATATACCATCAGCGAGTAAGCTAATGATTCTGGGAATAATCTACCATGACTCCCAAATCTCTTTCTTAGGTCATAACGGAGAGTTCATCTTTGATAAATAATGTAGGATAGTGACAATGGTTTTTGTGAAAAGTAGTGGTTTTCATACTGTCCCTTCCTATTCAAAGGATGTAGACAAAAGACCTCTCCAAGCAAGTCATCTTAGTCATCTATAAGTACTTCAGATAATGCAAATAGTTCAACATTCTTGGCAGGTAATGAGGACCTCAGGTATATTCATGATAGTGGTGGTTCCATACCTGTCCTATACTAGTGATTATAATTATTAGTGTAACTCCTGGGAATCATTCAACCCACAGTATGTTGATAGTAAGCCAGTTTATTAAAAGTGAAAAGAGTTTCTTGGTCTAAGGAATGAAAATTGAATTTCTTTCATAGATTGGTTTTGGTATGGAATGATGCCTTTATCTTTTTGCGTGATGACAGATCCTTGATGATAGAAAGCAGTGGTGGAAAGTTCGAAATGCAAGTGGAGACTCTGGATTTGTGCCAAATAACATTTTGGATATTGTGAGACCTCCAGAATCAGGATTAGGGCGTGCTGATCCACCTTACACGCATACCATACAGGTATTTACGACTTTTTACCAAAATTTAACTTTTATAAACTTTCATATTCATCACTTTTCAATGGTATTTAAATACCTTTTGTGTATTAATCATTTTGAGACTTAATTTGTTGTACAATTTGTATAGTTTTTTTCCTAGGGTAATTGAAGGGCAATGGTGAAAGATACAGGGAAGAATATGTTTTTTCTGATTTATTTCTTCAGAGAATTGCTCACAGTGTTTACCAGCAAGTGACTGTTTCTCTGAATGCTATTTTTTTCCCATCCTACAATGCTCCTGACATGTGGAGAAGCAGTATTTCTGCCTCTTCACTCTTGCCCAGAGCCTTCCTATCCAGTGGCTTCCTCTGGATAGTGGGTGGCACTGTGACAGCTGGGGTGTCCAGCAGCTCATCTTCTCCATCTTTTGCCCTCATTCTCTTAAATGTTCCGCCACTGACTAACTTGAACTTGCACTCTTCTCACCTTACACTAACCCATGAGTATTCAATTGGGCTATAATACTTTTCCTGTCTTGATTTTATGATTAACATACACTTATGATATAGGGTAGATAGGTCAGGCTCTCTCTCCTTGGTCATAAGTAAGTTTTGCCACATTTTCAGGACTTTGGTGACCCTGGGTATCTCATTCATCCTATCATCTGAACTCACTCATTATTAAACCCTTGGGATTTTTGACCTGTGACAGAATCTCTAGAGTCTGGTCTGCTAGCAGAGGCAGAATGGAGGGAAAATCTCAGGTGTAGCCTGTGAACCTATGGTGGCTTCTATATCGGGCCCCCAGGAAGAATTATTTTAATTTTCAGACTCTTGAGCAAAAGATCACAGCTGATGTTGTGCCATAAATTTGAGTAGAAGCTACATAGAATAAATATGCTGTGAAATAGTTAATTTTCTTGCCAGGTCTAGGCTTAGTAAGATACAGATTGTCCAAACCTAGAATTGTGATCATACTCTGCCACTGCCATGACCATTCATTTAGTTATTTTTGGCTCCTCATGGCGTTCAAGTTGAGTACAGGTCCTGTACTTATTTAGAGTGACCTTTGGCCTTATTAGAATCCAAGAGTCAAGCAAACTTAAAATAAAGAATTCGTGTCCAATTTATGTATCTTGATGACCTAAAGTGATCGCAGTGGAAATTCTGTTTGCTTGTTTTGTCTGGTCTGATGTGCATATGTATTATGTACTTAATTTATGTTCATCATTTGTCATTAGCTGTTGATGCCAAAGAAGGAGTTTGAGTTATTCAAGGTATGGTCTGCTCTATTTCCTGTGGATTTTTGAAGTGAATTTTCTCACTTAGTCTGAATACCTTTTTCTTTCTTAACTTCTTTTCTGATTTTGAGTTGTAGTTACTTGACATAACATAGGCTCCTGCCTGGTTTATAAATGCCAGTTCTTTACATTCTTTCCTGTAGAGATTTAGACCAAATGCCTTAAGCAGTGTTAAAGAGTATATGCTTGAAATATATGCCTAAAACGGTGATAGAGAGTATATACCCTTTGAACTTATGGAATGTTTTTAGCAATTAGCTTGTGAGAAGCTATAAGAAACACTGTTCACAAAGGTTATCCCTGGATGCTGCATATGATAAGGAGCCAAGAGTTTATACTTTAGAGTTAAAAACAATTACTCAAGTTTGTGTGTGGGGTGTGTGCGTGTGTGTGTGTGTGTGCATGGTTGCTAGGAATAAGCAAATCCAATACAATACCTAAAACTTGTAAATAATATCAATTCTAAGTATTTTCTCCCACCTGAGATTTCCTAATGAATTTAACCTCTTTTACCTTTGCCTATTTATGTGCAGTCTTGTCTTTATCTTCAATTCTGACTCTTGGCCTGAGCCATCAGTTGATGTTTCTGTTTAATGGTTGCTTCTGTTTAAAACTGAAGTAAAACTATTAATCCATATCCTAGGTAAGGAGAGTACTTTTTGAGAGCATAAAAATCTATCCCTCTTTTCTTGAACAGAGCCTCATCTTATATTTTTGTCAACTTTGGCACAACCAAGAAATTTTTTAAGTGCTCACAAGTTTCAGGAGTTTGTTTTGCTACTTTATGTAAATAGAAATGTGTGGGTATTGCCTGCTTGGGCTGTTTCCTTTTAAACTTTTCAACACTATCTGACTGTCTTCTAAAAATTTCTGGATGCAACTCTGAATACATAATGCATGTGGAAACATTATAGAAGCTGTGTGTGTGTGTGTGTGTGTGTGTGTGTTTAGGTTAAGAGCCCTACTTTAAAAGATTTTATTAAACGCAGTTTATTTTTTAACAGCTCCTGAAAACTTTGGGCTGAGCCCAACAAAACCACCAAAATTTTGTAAAATTTTAATAAGTAGGCTTGACAATCTGCTAACTGGCATAAATCCTACTCTAAAAGAATTCCTCTTCTCAAAGCATTTGTAATAAACACACACACAGTGACTAGATAAAGTAAGCTGGAAAAGAAGAGCATCCTTGGAAATATATGCCAGCCACTTTATATCTGTAATAACAGCGTTAGCAGTTATTTATCTAAAATATCTAAAATATCTAAAGAAATATCTAAATCTTTATCTAAAATATCTAAAGAAAACTCTGTAGCTTATTTTGAGATGATAATTAAAGGTACCCCCATATTTATGTAGATTCCAGTGATCCTTAGAGAACTCCACTGGATTATAGACAAACCAACAAGCAATTCTGTGTCTTATTCATCTCTTCATTCATTCACCTCCCAAATATTTATTGAGTGCCAGGATCTTGCATTTGATGAAAAGGAAGGAGGACAGAAAGCCTAGCATTGAGCAGATCCTCCAAAAAAGCCTGCACCCCATCTGCCACGGCTTTGCTCCTTTGTGCTTGGAGTATGACGAGCGGTGACCCTCTCTCTCCTCAGAAATGGATGACATACTTTTTCCCTGGTATCTTCTCTTCATTGAAATAAAAATTTTGAAGGAATTTAAGGAAACTACTTCTTGCAAAAACATTTTAGATCCCTGTACTGTGCTGCAGAAAGATCTGTAGTGCTGAATTGCTTCAGATCCCTTCACGTGCACAGATAGCAACAGTATTACCTCCCAAGTAGCAAGTGCCAGTGGTCAGTGCTCACGCTGTGGGCCAGGCATTGCTTAAGGACTTCACAAATACTCAGTTCCCACAACAAATCTGACGAAGTTAGGCGCATTTTATATATGAAGAAACTGAGGTATGGGAAAGTAAGTCACCCATAGTTACATAGCTGCTTGAAGCCAGGATTGGGAACCCAGAACTCTGGATTCAGAGCCCATGGGGAATCGGGCTTAGAAAAGAGTGTTTTCTCATTTTGTATTTACATATGGTTTTCACTACATGAATGCTTCAGGGACATTTTCTCAAAATAGTTTTACCATGCATTGTCCTGTGATAAAAGTTAATCTGATAGTTAACCATCCTCAGAATGGGATTTCTGCCTTACCCATCAGTTCCTTGGATTTCATCAATTCTTTCATTTTTTTTCATCGTTTAGGAAAACAATCCAAGTTACATAATTTACTTAGAAAGTAGACATTTTGTGAATGGTCAGAATAAGGGAATTAGCTGTAAACTGTTCCATGTAGCATCTATAAGTCACCAGTGTTTTGAAAATGCACAGAGTTGTGACTCTTCCTTTTTCATACCCCCGTGTTTCCTGTGAGGACTAATGGCGGTCCCTGGGCAGGGGTGGGGGTGGGGCAGCACTTGTCTGTTCACACACTTGGGGTTAGAGATTCTCTTCTGACAGCAGGGATGCTAGTACCTGCAACAGAAGTTAATAGGTGTGGAATTGCCACCTGATGTCCCTGAGAGTCTAGGTTATTTAATATCCTCACATTTGGAGTGATTTTTAACAGCTCTGTAAAGACTGCCATTCCCACCGAATGTGTTTCCCCCATGGGTTCCACAAAATTTTAAAAATAAAAGGGAGGGAGGTAATGAAGAATTTATGAAAGATTTGGAACACTAAAAAAGATTTAGCGAAATCACAGGGAAAAGGAAGTAGGTGCTTACGAGAGATTATGGAGAAATGAAGATAAATGACATACGTGTTGATAAAAATTTTGTTGTTGAGCATTCTAGGACTTTGTTGTATTTTAGCTGGGCAACAGATGGATATCCAGGGTGCTTTCTCCCCATCTGGAATCTACTTGCCACGTAAAGTTTCCTGATATTTCTTTTGACTTGATTCCCAGACCTCTGGCACTGTGACTCTTCATCTACTCGCATTACCTTCTTGCCCATATAGATTCTCTTGATGTATGAGAGCAGAAACTGAACCCTCCCTGCTATTATTTCTGGTGTACTCAAAGGCTTGACTAAAGTCTTTCATTTATTATTATTAAGTCTATGTGCTTATTATTATTATAGATACTCTTACTCTACCAAGGTGCAAATAATTATGATTATTTGGTCACTACGGTCCCGTGAATTAAACAGAAAGTTTCCTGTCTTCTGTTTCCTAGCAAGAGATACTGTGATAGTACGGAAAAAGCCCCAATCTAGATATTGATAATCCAGGATTCTAGTCCTGGTTCTGTCACTAACGAGCTGTGTGACCTTAAAGAAAGCGTTTTATTTTTCTGTGCTCCAGTTTGCTCAGCTGTGAAATGGAGGGGGTTGTCAACTTTCATGATCTCCACACTCCAGTCTAGATATAAACATTTGGTATTTTTCTCTATGCATGTTTAAATAGCCCTAGATTAGAAAGGGAAATATTTCCTCTGGGTGACTTTTAAACCCCTAGTGGTACTAATTTCACCCCATGTTATGAATGCTCTGTTTTTCAAGCTCAGTCCCGATATTCAGATACTGCTAGATAGACAGTGACCATTTTACTAAAGATGTTTTCATATTCATTCCAGCAGACCAACTTCCTGATAATATTCAGTTCTTTAAAATGTGTTTTTTAAAATTAATCTCCGAACATTCTATTCATCTATTAATTAGAGGCATGGTTTTTAGATAAGCATGCTTACTTTTTACTTTGCCTTATGTGTTGACATTTTCCCAAGTATTTCTTGTAATAATTTGAATAGTCTTCTCCCTCCCTCTCTGTTGTGTGCTCTCTCTCTCTCTGTCTCTCTCTATATATTATATAGATATAGATGACCACATATGATTACTATTTATATATAGTAATGACTGCCCAACATGCACATGTGCAGAATTATAAAATTTTGTTTGTTTACACTGCTTACAAGTTTAAACCTAAAGCTCACTAAATGATATATATTTCCTTTTGTAAAGTCAGCTTTTAAAGAGGGATTAGCCTTATATTTAATCTGCTCTAATTGTGTTCTTTATAAGTTGTAAGAATAAGATGAGCCTATCTTAATATTTTAAAAACACAGTACACTAACGTACGAATAGTTACTGAAATACTCTATACTCTTTATACTGTAGCATGATTCTATATAATTAGTTTCCATGGCTAGATAAGAATGATGGAAACTAATTATATATTTACAAGCACCTTCACTGGTTGATTGGTGGGCAGGTAATTTTACTGTCAAAAAACTAATTTGCGCACGTGTTCTGATATTTGATGTGAATTGTAATTGATATTATTTTAGTTCCATCTCCTGTGTTAACTTTCTCATTTGATTTGATTTGCTCCATTTTCCTAATAGCAATTACTTGGCGAGCTGTCAGAGGTAACCCACATTTGTTCCCTCATGGCACTTCTCTCTAATAACATTTTTTGGATTCAGTTTCTGGACTTAACACCCTCCAAATGTTCCAGCTGTGCCTCCCCCCCGCCCCCCCCTGCAGAGTTCCAAAGAAACCAAATTTAGAGGAAAAATGTGTAGGTTAAATTTTTAAGAACAGTTCCATTTCAATGGTTTTGTTGGGCTTGCTTGCATAACTTCCCCTCTGAAGCAGTATCTTGCATGAATCAGGAGCTTATCTCTAAATAACTTTCTTTAATCCTAAGAGAATTTCAGCTTTAATGGCTAAAGAAAAGTGACTCATTCTGCCTTAATTATCAGTAAGAAAGTAGATTTGCCATGGGGTCTAGTAATTCTGACTCCTTTCAGAGAAACAGAAGACAAAGAGAAAGAGATTTTGTTTTAAACAGAATTTTAAATATATTTCTGGAAGATAAAAAGCAAGAGTTAAGAGGGTGACAGTCCCTGTACAGAAGCTGGTCCACATCAAGGTGACCAGTCATGTTGGCTTGCTCAAGGACGTGGGACTTTCAGTGCTAATACTGGGAAAGTCCTGGGCAAACCAAGAAGAGTTTGGTCAAGATTGGGGGGGGGGGGCAGGACTTAGAGCTTCAGCACTTGGTTCAAGAGAAGAAAATTCAGTGTAGTTCTGCTCTACCAGACTTCCCATATATTGAGGAGCCATCGATTTGGATCTACCTCCAACCAAAAATAACCAAGGGACAAATAATGAAGGGAGGAGCACTAAGTGGGTGGTAGGTAAAGGGGAGTGAAGGAGATTGGAAGGGACATAGAAAAGTGATTTCAAGAGTCAGTACTGATCCTCTGGTTCCTCCACACCAAGAATGATGAATCAGTTTCCACAGAAAAGCTGCCTTGGTTGCTGTTTCAGGGCAGGTTCAATGATTTGAACACTTTCCCCCCTTTTCATTCCATGGATTGGAAACATGAGGCAGGAAGAAAGGACCAAGAAAAGGGGAAAATATGCAAGTAAATTCATGACAAGTTTTCATATGGTTTCTTTTTAATCAAATATGTATGTTTTAAGCCTCTTACTCTGTTAGGTTATATAGATAAAGTTGCATGATACAGCAACGCCAGATGAATGAGATGAGGCACAAGAGTTGGTGAGTCTGTCTTCAGGCTCAGTGGTGACAGTCACACAGCATATCCCATTTTTTGCAGTATTATTTGATGGATAGCAAAACACTAGCTGCTCTTGTTTTTATGAAAGCAGGAAATTTGAATCATATCTTGGAGTGCAGGGCTGATAACATTTTCTGTTTGTTTAAGCTTTAAAAAGAGTAATTTAAACTGACACTTTTGAGATCTTAATGTGGGAATTCACTAACCCTTTATGAAATTATATGCAAAGGATATTCTTGTCAAGGGAACATTGCATATACATTAATCAGATGACTTTGGTGTGTGCTAAGTATACCATTTTGGTGATATTTGCTGTATTTTGGTTGCTTTTAAATATCTTATTGGCCCAAATATAGGCATGTTGTTTTATGGGAAATAATAACAATAAAAGTCTATTATTGAATATATTAGGAATGTTTTTAGGCCTCCAGTGCCGAGAGGGTCAGCAGTCTCTTTCTGTCCCATCTAACTTCATGGAGAGCTCTTAGCAATCTTACCCTCTATTTCTTCCCTGCCTCTTCCCCTTTCTGTCCTCTCTCCAATATCTACATCTCTCCAATATCTAGCAGCATTACAAACCCTTCTTTCACTTCTGTTTTCATGTCTGCTTTATACCCTTCCTGCTTCCTTCACCCACTGGCAGGTGAGTGGTAGTTTTTAAAGAAACAGCAGAGAAGAACCAGGGTTTCTTCCCACACCGGTTTCCACAGGTGTTACTCATTTGCTGTGAAGGCAACTATATGATGATGGTGTGATTTTTGGTTGTTTTGTTTTGTTTTGTTTTTGAGTAATGATTTAATTTTAAAATGGTGTGCGTGTTGTGTATTTTTATGTTTTTCATCTCTGTGGAAATTGGGGAGGCTTCTTCTAAAATCGATGTCACCTTATATTTGGGCCAATTTAGGAATTAAAAGTAAATACTGTTCTAACCAAAGGACCAGATTACCAAAAGGCCTGCTAATTTTGAACTTTGGCATAATTAAAATTGTGCCAGTGTAGTATCTAAACTTTACCTAAATTATAAATCATTGTTCTGTATCTTTGATTCTACCAAAAAACACCCAAAACAAAAAACAACCAAAAACTGCCTTTTGAGAATTTGGAACTTATTATAATGCAATTATCTATCAGTTAAAATTATTTTGTTTAAAGTTTTAACTCTTCTGTGGAGTTTAATAGGGAATATACAAAAAATACGGTTTTCTAATAGCCTAATGAACATGATTTAAAAATTACTGAAAGTTATTGTGTATTTTAACACATGCACCTTTCTAAATAGAAATTCCCACATGGACTTTTTTAAATACATGTTTTCAAGTAGCAGTCACGAACATTTAAAGACCATACCATTACCTTCAACACCACCTACCCCACAGCATTCCTATTGAACAAGGAAAGTTTCTGATTTTTATAAGTTAACATCAAGATGATGGCAGAAAGTGTTATGAGTTGAAAAAATTAATAGCATTTAAAAATTACTTATTTATTTTAAAACATAGTCCTTTTATCTACTGAAATATTACCCTTTTTCTTAACAAACTGCGTGGAAACAGCATAATTAAACATTATTTAATCTAGCATACTTTAAAACGAAGGAGTAGGGCGCCTGGGTGGCTCAGATGGTTAAGCGTCTGCCTTCGGCTCAGGTCATGATCCCAGGGTCCTGGGATCGAGTCCCGCATCGGGCTCCCTGCTAGGCGGGGAGCCTGCTTCTCCCTCTGCCTCTCTCTCTCTGTCTCTAATGAATAAATAAATAAAATCTTAAAAATAAATAAATAAATAAAATAAAACGAAGGAGTAAATAATGCTTTATGTTATTGATATTTAAACTTCCAGTGCAATTAGAGGTTAATATTGATGGAAATTATAAAATAATCAGAAATCTTTTGACTTGTGTGGTTCCAAGTTCAAATTTTATTTTTTTTTTTTTACATTTATTACTGTTTTTAATACTACTGTTTGCTATTGGTATGTCTTTTTGACCTCTTACTTTACATTTTGAGTTTGAGCAAATATGTGGACTATTTAAAAGATGATTTTTAATGATCATTGTATCATATAAGATTGGAGGCATGGATTTGTTATGGATTTGCAGGTAAGTTTACAAATAAATAGCCAACAATGTCCTGTCAAGTATGCACTGTTTTCCTAGCCTAGGTTTTATATTTTTGCAATTTCAAATTAGTTATTTGTCTTTTTATAGAAACAAAGGATGGAGTATGGTCCCAGACCAGCTGATACTCCCTCTGCCCCATCACCTCCTCCAACACCAGCTCCTGTTCCTGTCCCGCTTCCTCCTTCTACCCCAGCACCTGTTTCTGTGCCAAAGGTCCCGGCAAATGTAACCCGTCAGAACAGCAGCTCTGGTGACAGTATTGTGCGAGATAACCAGAAACACAAACAACTTCCCATGGACCGTAAGTTTCCCAGGGAGGCAACAATGTGCAGTTTCTTCTGTGAATTAAAAGCACTGCTAAGTGAAATATTGTTAGTTCTACTGGTATTAAACATTATGAAATATAAATAGTGGTCCTTTGTACTTGCACAGTACTTTGTAGATGGCAAAGACTTTCATCTAGTTGCTTGTCCTTCAAGTAATGCTAAGAAACAGGAAGTTCTCTCCACTCTCTGTTTTATTGTGTATACTTCTGCGCATATTCCAATATATTGTGGTGGTTGAATGTAGACTCTGGAGCCAGACATACTTGAGTTTGTAGAGTGAAACACCGTTTGTGGACATTGACTTTCAACAATTTGATAATCCTCCCTCTACTTCAGTGTCTGAAAAGTGAGGGAAAATAATGGCATCTTTTTCGTAGGATGATTGTGAGAATTTAATGAGGTATAATACATAGAAATCATTTAGATCAGTCATTCTCACCCAGAGATGGTTATACCGCCTTCCCGCAGGGAACATTCGCTATTGTCTGGAGGAATGTTTTGATCACAGTTGGGTGGATGCTACTGGCATCTAACAGGTAGAAGCCAGGGATATTTAGCAACATCCTACAATGAACAGATCGGTCCCCCACGACAGAATTATCTGGTCCAAAATGTCAATGATGCCGAGGTTGAAAAACTCTGATTTTGACCAATATGACACAGAATGAGCAGTCCAAATATTTGCTGCTCTCATCGTCAGTATGATCATCATAATTTTCCTGCTCCTCTTCCTCATATTTGCGACACACACACACCCACACTCGCTTAACACAATCAACCTGCCAATACCAGTTTCAAATTTGCCCTCTAAATTCAGGTTTTATTTGATTTAGATTTCATATGTTCCTAAAATTAACTTTGATTTGTAATATGAGTGATTTCTGTGAAAACCAGATTTAAAAAGCTTAAAAGAAAAGACACTGTGGCAAACTTTGGATTATCCTTGTTTGTACTGTTGAACAGCAGTGTAGAAAATTGGAAATTTGAAGGTAATTTTAAGATAATTTTTCTTATTATTTAATATTCAAATTATGTTTGTATATATATTATAAAATGACTTTGCTTTACCTATACTGGACATGTAAAAATTCTTAGAAAACTAGAGCCAGGAAGATATTTCTTCAATATGTGTGTATGCACATGAACGTGTGTGTATGCATATGTATAAAGGATGTCTTTCGTTCTTTCAATGTGGCTTCTCCTAGGGCTCAGTTCTGGGTTCTTCCCTCCATATAAACATACTTTTACTGTAAGTGACCAATCTATTTCCATTTCTTTTAATATTGTCCATATTGTTGGAGAAGGAATGACTCCCAAATTTGTCTTCGTATCAGATCTCATCTCTGCCATTCAAATATAAGTATTGAACTATTAACTTTATTTTTTTTAAAGGTTTATTTTTTTATTTTAGAGAGAGGAGGGGAAAGGGAAGAAGGAGAGGGAGAGAGAGAATCTCCAGCAGACTCCCCTCTGAGCACAGAGCCTGAGGTGGGGCTCGGTCTCAGGACCCTGAGATCATGACCTGAGCTGAAACCAAGAGTCGACTGCTCAACCCACTGAGCCAGCCAGGCCCCCCTGAATTATTAATTTTAAAGCTGAGATTCCTTGATTAGATTCAAAACTAAATTACCAAATCTTTTACTTCCATTTTCATCCGACATTTTTCTTATCTCAATAAACCATAGCTACATCTATTCAGTTGCGGTCATTCTTGATAAATTTTAAGAAATTTTAAAAGAAGGTATGTATATTACTGTTTAGTTGTTCTAGAAATTCTGGCTAAATGCAATAAGCATTAGCCTACTTTAATAAGTTACTTTCTTCCCCGAAGTAGAGCTGATTTACCACCTTCTTATCCATATCCCAGCCTTACCAAAAAGTAATGGAAAAGTTAAGCTTTAGAGAAATGATTAGCTGTGCAGCAAAACAACTGTGTGTGTGAGAATGTGTAAGTGTGTAGAAGTATGATATGCTACTAAATTTTCTTAAATGTTTGTGTATTTTTTAAAAGATGCTTTTAGTTTTTTCAAAGACACTTAAAAACATAGTTTTGAGATGAGAAAGTTCTGTAAATATTTTTATTGATTTCCCTAAGGAAAATTTCTCTCTCAGAAAGGACTGTTCTTTTTTTCATTTTTACCACAAGTTTATAACATTTCCCTTCTTTGATACGTCAGCACAGTAATCTTTGACACTGTGGTACTCTTTCCAGGCCTCGATCAGAGTTCATAGACATCTAGTCCCCATTTGGAACAAGCTGTGGGTCGGGACAGTTTATTCTTTGTCCTAGTCTAAGAAACTAAGAATAACCTAATGGGAAAGAGGCATAGTTTGAATACTTTAAAGATAGAGACCTCTCCTGATAATTGTGACTCATCATTTTTGAATCTGTTTTTCATAAGTAAAAGGGTGACATTGGTATATAAAATATATCCATCTCTCCCCAAATTAACATCTCTACTTGTTTCTTTGTAATAATAAATAAAATAATAAAAAGAGTTTACATTTACCTACACAAAGTTCCCTTTTAAAGATATCTAAAAGATATCTAAAGATAGTTTCATGTTAAATAAATGTATTTCTTTTTATAAAACACTTATTTTCACGATAGCTTTTTTCTGAGCACGTTTTTGGAGAACAGTTTTTCTGAATGAACGTGGGGGCTTCTCAACAGTCTTTTAGAACCATATAGCATATTTAAATGTATATTTGTCAATAGCCAGATTTCTCTTAAAAAAAAAGCCTTTTCTGTTTCCTACATTCTCTGCTTACTGCCTAGATTTCTGATGAAAATAAAATGGAAGGAACTGGAAAGTGAATACTCACTCAAAAAAAAGTTACCAAATAGTCCTAAACAAGGAAAAAAGTCAACATGCCTGTTTTTTAAAATGAAGCAGGTAGCAAGAGTGAGACAGGGACAATTCTTTTGCCTATTCAAACTGGCTGCTTGGAGCCTGGGTCATATAAGCTATTCAAATTGGTTTATCGCAGGATTCAAAAAGGTTCTCCTCTTATCACTTTTGAAGATACCAGTGCCTCAGGTATTTTGCATTTCTTCTACTTCCTTTGAAATGTTAGTCCTTTTATTTGGGTTTAATCTTTTGTAATCAGAAGTGTTAATTTCAGAAAGAGGTGTAAAGTCAGGCTGCTTTGTTACTGTGTGCTGGACCATGCAAATGGAAACCAGAAGCCAGGAGCACAGCAGAAGAGGATTTTGTGCTCTGTGGAAGGTTATGCGGTGGACTAGAGATGATCATGCAGAGGCTAAGTTAATTTAAGAGAAGAAAATAAATCTTTTAGTGTGGTGATACTTTTTCCCTTTTACTCCTTTGAGACATACTCGTATTCTGTGTGGCAGTTTGATGCGGTGAATTAAAAAAGCTAACTAGTGGAGTGCATGTGTGCACTTAAATGAACCAGTCAGCATTGTTCCCTCTCACCCTCTCTAGCCCCCTCAATCTTCCTCCCTGTCGCCCTTCATTTCTCCTGTTCCTGTCTTTTGACTTCTCCAGAAGGTTTCCTGAATACCTAGGCATTAAAAAATTAGACTGAAAGAACACTATTTGGTTATTTCACATTTTCATTTACTTCCCAAAGACATCAAACGCTTTATGAAATACTCTCCCTGAGGAAGGCAGGATGGAAGGAAGGAAGTTTAGAAGGAAGGAAGGAAGGAGGGAAGGAGAGAAGGAAGGAGAAAAGGAAAAGAAAAAAGACAAAAAAGATCATGAAAGAGTAGTCACAAAAAGCTCCCTTAGTGGCCAGGTCATTGCCACTTGCCAAGTTAATTAGTTAACTGAATTACTCTATCAGTTCTCTACTTAATCCTTGAAGATTATATATAAATAATGTATCTATGTGTGCATATATATATATAGTAAATAAATTATGTATGTCATTGTATATAATGTAGTGTGTCTGTGTATATATATATGTATGTTTTTAAGTACACAAGTACATTTTTCTCTTTCCATACAGTAATTTCTTCCCCATTTTTCTCATAAAGATATGTGCCTATACACATCTTTCCCATGAGCATAAAATGGGTTGGGGAGAGGGATAATGTATAAGTTAATCAAAGGTAGTTTCAATGACTTTGATCATAAAGCAGCCATGAGCGGAAAGTCAGGAAATCCAGTTCTAACTAAATTTTGCTAATTAATACTGTGATTTTGACAGATCATTTCTCCTCTGTGGCCTCCATTCTCTTAGCTGTTTCTTTTAGGGGTGTGTATATGATGCTTTTCAAAGTCTCTCTCACTGAAAAAGTCAGCAGAATGCCTTAGTCATTCCTTTATTCGGTGAGTATTTATTGAATCCCTACCCTGTTCTAGGTACTTCAGGGAAAGCAAACAAAGGAGGCACAAACCCGTTTTTCTCTTCAGGGATATATTTTGATGAAAGGAGATAGATAAGTAAATGATTGAGTTGATAGGGAATATTATAAGTGGTTTTGGAGAACAATAAAGCCATGTGGATAGGAAGTGCTGTTGGGGAGGGGGTTGCAGTTTTAAATACGGAAAATCTAAAGGACGGGAAGACTGAGCCAAGTGGATTCGTGAGGGGAAAGCATTCTAGGCAGAGGCCCCTAATTTTGAAGAGCACCAAGGAAGCCATTATGAGCTAGAGCAGAGGGCTCTGAGAGCAGTAGAGTTACCTCAGAAAGTGGTCATCTGAGGCCTTTTACTGGGAGTACTTTGTATTACTTGGAAAGGTTTAGAGCAGGAGAGTTGCAGTATCTGACATACATTTTAAAAAGATCACGTTAGCTGTTCTGTTGAAAACAGAAAGAAGAGCAAGGGCTGCCGTGGTCAAGAGTAGAAGGAAGGCAACCTGTGAATAGGCCAGTGGCTCAGACTGAGCTAGTCACAGAAAAAATGGAGTAAGTGGTTGGATTTTTGGTATATTTTGGTGATAGGACTAACAGAGTTTGCTGATAGATTGGACGTAGTAGAGAACAAAGGGGAGTCTAGCAGAGCTCTGTGGCATTTTGCCAGAGGAACTGAAGAAATGGAATTACCATTAACCAAGTTGTGAAGTATAGCCTAAAAGCAAGCTTTAGGAAGAAAAGTGGTTCAGATTTGGACACGTTCTATTTGAGCTATCTAATAGACATCCAAATGAATATATCAAGTAGACGGTTGGCTTATATGGGTCTAGAGTTCTGAGGAAGAGTCTGGACTGGAGAAATAATTTTGGGAGTCATCAGCTTTTTTTTTAATAATTTTTTTTAAATGTTTTATTTATTTATTCATGAAAGTCAGAGAGAGAGAGAGAGGCAGAGGCAGAGGGAGAAGCAGGCTCCCCGCCTAGGAGGGAGGCCGATGCGGGACTCGATCCCAGGACCCTGGGATCATGACCTGAGCCGAAGGCAGACGCTTAACCATCTGAGCCACCCAGGCGCCCCGGGAGTCATCAGCTTTTAAATGGCACACTGATCATTAATGGAGTGAGTGCAGGCAGAGGAGAGGTCCAAGGATTGTGCCCTGGGATACTTCAACATTACTTACTGGGGGGAGGAGAAGAATCAGAAAAGGATACTGAGGAGAGGCCAGTGAGACGGGAAGAAAATCAGGTGAGTATGGTGTCCTAGAGGCCACAGGAAGAAGGCGTTTTAAGGAATGATCACCTTCTTTGTATGTTGCCGGTAGATTAAATAAGACAGTGACTGGGAACTGACCATAGTGGTTTAGCAAAACGTAGTGGAGGGATGGGACCCGAAGCCTATTTTTTAGCCATGAATTCAAGAGAAAATTGGAGAACAAGAATGGGAGTCATCTAGTATAGACAGCTTTTCATGGAATTTTACAAAACGGGGAGCAGAGAAATGGGCAATATCTGGGAGGGACATGTGGTCAAGAAAGGGCTTAAACGGGAGAGGAACAATAACAAAATGATAGTTTTGTCTGCTGATGAAATGATTCAGCAAAAGAGGAAGATGGATACCCTAGATAAATAGAGGAGAAATTATTGTTGAAGTATTTAAATAGGCAAAGGACATGGGATCTAGTGCGCATGTAGGGGCGTGGGCCTTAGGAGTGTGGGAGCAGTTGATCCATAATGTAGTAGGGAGGGAGGGAGTAGGGAAGGGGAAGGGAAGGAAGGAAGAAAGGAAGAGAAGGAAGGCAGAGTGCATGGGGAAGGTGCTGGTAGGTGAGGAAAACCGCTGAGGGAACTTATGGAGGTTTTCTTCTAACTTCTTTATTTTATTTGACATTAGGAAAGTGAGGTCATCAGGGTGAGAATTGGGGAATGAATCTTGGAGGTTTGCAGAGAAAGAAGAGAGTAAATACCCGTCTAACATTGGGCAGCTATTTGGTCTAGGGCAGATTCTCAACCTGAGCCTTGTTGACATGGGGCTGGATAATTCTATGTAGTAGGAGACTGACGTGTACATTGTAGAATGTTTTGTGCAGCCCAGGCCTCTACCCATGGCCTGATAGTTGCATCCTTTCTCCTCCTCCTCTCTAATTGTGCCATCCAAAATTGTCTCCAGCCATTGGCAGATGTTCCCAGGGTCAGAATTTCCCCCCACTTGAGACCATAGACCTAAGGAAATGCAGTATGATTGTCAGTAAACAACAGCCTGGTTGAGGTTCATATTCATGAATTTAACATGAGATCATTCAGCATTGTTGTATTATATTCACTGTGCAGGTGCAGGCACAGAATAAGCAGAAAGTTCGATTTAACAAGGGTTGGAGTTTTGCCAAGTGAATACAATGAAGAGGGAGAAGAGCCAAGGAGTGGTTTTAATAATTGATCATGGAATTTGTCCTGGGTGAGGATGAAAGTGAGGAAAGATGATAGGAACACTACAAGTCCTTTTCATGTCAAAGGATTTGGGGCATTGGGGTTCTAGGGAGAGGGACATGTGTTAGGGGTTTTCAAAAATAACCTACTCCGTGTTGGTGTGCAGGAAGGAAATCTCAGATGGAGGAAGTCCAGGATGAGCTCATCCACAGACTGACCATTGGCCGGAGTGCCGCCCAGAAGAAGTTCCACGTGCCACGGCAGAACGTGCCAGTTGTCAATATCACTTACGACTCCACACCAGAAGATGTGAAGACATGGTTACAGTCGAAGGGGTTCAGCCCTGTGTAAGTCTCTCTGGGAATACTTTGCATTTCTGTGTGTAATATATACCTTATTTTCAGTTTGGTCGCTAAGATGTCACAAATGACACTTTAAAAATTTGGGGCCAGACTGCATTTATTCCATGCTCAGGAAATAACTATAGATATTTATAGCTAAAAAAAAAAAAAGAAAATTGGAAGAAGAAATAACTATAATTTGGTGCTACTTTGTTTTCTAGTTGATAATCAGACTGCTTATCCGTGGTCCCTTAAACAAACTGTCAGTGGTTTTGAGGTGGTAGCTTTCTTTTGCCCTCATCTGGTTACACAGGGTAGGACTAAGGTGTTAGCTGGACTCCCCAGACCTTAGAGGGTATATAGTGGAATGTTCTGCTGCCGGATATAGATTCTCAGCCAAATAAAAAATAGATAAATTACCTATCATAGATTATAACCTAATAGAGCTTTTCCCTTAGTAAACCCATGGCAACAATTCATCCACAATCTAAAAATTTGAAAATATTTTATGTGTATTTGATACAAGGAACTATTTCAATAATACATATTTAAGAGAATTTTATAAACTCATATACCCACATGACTGAAAAATGAGATACATTGGTTAGTCAGTTGCCTGGTTACTAGAAAGTTATCTGTTCCCCCTATGAAACACCATATTTCAGGGAATTGGTACTCAGCAATAATGATACTAACTACAGTCGGCTCCTTTTTGATACTTTATAATCATCTTCTATAGCCTCAGGGTCGTCATCATGAAAGTCCCTCTTGTCACTGCCTTGAATAAGCACTGTAGTACCATTTTACAAGAGTTTCATTGTATGGAACACTTAGAAAAGAGAGGTTATGGCATATATATATATATGCATATGTTTGTTTGTTTGTTTATTTATTTATTGAGAGAGAAAGAACGTGAGCTGGAGGGGGTGGGCAGAGGGAGAGGGAGAGAGAGAATCCCAAGCAGGCTCAGTGCCCAGTGCAGAGCCGGATGCCGGGCTCAATCCCATGACCCCAAGATCATGACCCGAGCCGAAATCAAGAATGGGACACTTAAATGACTGAGCCACCTAGGTACCCCTATCTAGATAATATTTTTAATGATATATTTCTCTTTCTTTCTTCATGCTTTTTCAGGACTGTCAATAGTCTTGGAGTATTAAACGGTGCACAACTTTTCTCTCTCAACAAAGAGGAACTGAGGACAGTCTGCCCTGAAGGGTCCAGAGTCTTTAGCCAAATCACTGTACAAAAAGCTGCATTAGAGGTATGACTTGTCAACCTAAGTTGGTGTTTGTCTGCATTAATCAAGAGTGTGGACTGTGAATTGAAAGCTCTGAAATCAACTGTTTATGTCCATAGTGGTCAATTTCCCTTTCATACAGAGCTGAATTAAATTTGACTCTACTTTTATAATTGATTACTGGAGACCATCAGTGACCATTTGCAGGGAGATTAATTTATCATAAATGCTCCTCTAACATGAAGCTTGGAACATATGCTTTTGGACATTTAATGAAAAGCCTAATGTTCTCATTTTATATGCATTAACTACTTCTGTAGGAATTTAAATTTTGACACAATAATGGACATTCACTTCCTGAGTGAGTAAATGCCTTAAGAGGCCAGAACTCTTTTGCCTGTTCTTAATATTTAGTTCGGAGATTCTAGTAGGCTACTGGTTACAAGGTCTTAAAATCCTGGCTGTGGGTCTTAGGTCTTGTTATATATTTAAAAATCAGAGGGAAAATATTAGGTAGGAATCATTGAAAGAGAGAATGCTGAAGAATAATTATTTAGTCATAGTTGCAGGTAGGAAAGGAGGAGAGGAAATGTTTTCTAGATTGAATATCCTTAAGCTTCCCATATCCTACTCTTCTTAAAATGGGCTGTGTAAGGGTAGTAGTTTCAAACTGTTATAGCTCACAGCTCTTAATAGCTTTCATGAAATTATACTTGGACTCAAATAAAAGGGTATTGGCTTTGGCGTAAAATTGATACATAGTTTTCTCTAGCAGATATATCCTCTAAATTCAACAGTGAAATAACTCAGAGTGAAATGGCTTCATGAATGCAACCCTGTAACCACTCTCAGGAGAAATTTTTATCTCTTGGAAACTTTTCCTACAACATTGATCTTGGGAGTTCCATATTAGGTGGATCTTGGGCGTACTCTGTATTAAGCTTTCTGTATATTGAATATGAATGAGGATTGTATCTTTTCTGAGGCAGTTTTTTTACCATTACGCATTTTAACTTTATTGAGAGTGTATGAATTTCCTTCTCAAGGGTATGATAGAAAGTTCCAAAATTTCTGAATTCCTTTGAGTCAGACTGCCTGTAATTTGCCCTCATCATACACTTCCTCTTGGTCTCTCGTTTCCTTTCCTCTGGATATGAATGGAGGTTCTTCATCTTCCTCAGCTGCCCTCCCACCACACCCTTCTCTTGCATCTAGTCCATCTTTTAGATGACTCACCTGGGTTGCCAGAAACTGACGAGAGCAGAATAAGGAGGGGTGCACAGGGATGGTAATTAGAGCGTGGCAAGGAGAAAAGCTGCCATGAGGTCAGAGGGTCAGAGCCTTCCTGTAGTCTGAAGCAAGCTTGCTGTACCCTGAGCCCAGTCTTTGAGCCTAATTTAGAATCCCCTAAGGGCAGATCTCGCTTGACTTAAGAGGGTTCTTCGATAATTTACCATCTTATTATGCTTATTGTACACATATCTTATTTCTCCCAGGGAATCTAGAGCATTCCACATACATTATTGATTTATCCTTATCATGTCCAAGTGAAAGGCATGGTGAATGAATTGCCTTCAGACACTTAATAAATGAAAAAATGATTAATGTGATATATTAGCGAAGTCCAGGAGCATCACTCTATATGAAGGGCAGCCTTCAGTTTTCCCCAAGAGATATTCGAAGAAAAACAAAGGACTCTTAACCCTGAACCATTTCATTACAGGACCCGCAGCCTGCACAAACCCATAGCCATCTTGTCTGAACCATGTTTGTTTTTCAGGATAACAGCGGCAGCTCCGAGTTGCAAGAAATCATGCGGAGACGACAGGAGAAAATCAGTGCCGCGGCTAGCGATTCGGGAGTGGAGTCTTTTGATGAGGGAAGCAGTCACTAATTTGTTTTTAAACTCCATTTAAATTTGTGGCATTATTCCAACATGCTTTGTTTTAAGAAGCCATGAAGGGAATGTCAGATTCTTATTTCTCAGAATACTTAAGTTATCGCCATAAAGAAACAATGCAAACATAAGTAAGCGGAGGACTTGTTTCCTGGCCCATTATTTTTATTAAAACTGAGTAATTTTAAATAGCTGTTTTGCCCTTGAGAAATATTTTGCCTGCTTTACCCAGGTGAGGTTTCTTTCATTGGATTAATTATTTCATCCCCCATCTCAGTGTATAAGCAGGCAGCTTTTAACAGCGGTGAATTTATTTACTGCAGCAAAACAGAGATATTGCCCGTGACTTAAAATCGAAATAATTTCAGTTTTGCCCATGACTGGTGTCTGTCATTCAGAGCGTAGCTTACTTTAGGCTAGCCTCTGCTTACTTAGGTCTCTTCTTTGACATACTCAATGATAGAATATTTAGATTTATTTAAAGTTCTTAATGCCAACAGTTTTTAAAAAAATATCAGAACATTTAATGAACTGTAAAATACAAGGCCTTGGACATGCAAATATAAACCTATGGAGCATTCCCAAGACAGTTCATTTGTCATGGCTCTGTTGATCACAATTCCTTGTATAGCCTGTATTTTGATTTAGTTTATATTCTGCTTATTATCTGTATTGTGTTCTTATATATGAGAAAGCACAAGTGGAAAAGAGATCAGATGCAGTCAAAATGTGTCCCAGAAAGTAGCCCGCATTGGTGTGCATTACAGTATTTTGTTTAATGAAGGCCTCGGTTCTGAATATTGATATGAGTAGTTAAATGGATATTGGGACCATTTTATGTGTTTATCTGTGTCAAGTTTTTCTGATAAGAAACAATTAATTTACGTATATTTTAATCCTGTGAAAGATTCTAGGTAGAGAAAAGAAAGATACTTAACCTTCAACAAATGTTATTTTTGGAAACACAATTTTTGTCATTAAATGTTATATTATTTCACATATATAAAACAGATGTTATGTAAGAATGTTGTATATTTTAACATAAATCCATTTAGAGAGATTATCTAGATTCATTAATTTTCATAGTGCCTTTTTCACATGAGTCAGCTGGAAAGTCTGCAATAAACAGTATTTGCTGTATGTTAATAAATGGCTTCTGTCTCATTGGCAAAAGGGATCTTTGGTATGTAGACTGCTGATCAGGGTTGAGCAGAATGGGAAAAACAGAGGCCCACTCTTTTTTTATTTTTTTATTTTTTTAACTGATTTCCAGTATAGTTTAGCATCTAGTAAGAGCTGGTCACAGTGGTAAAAACAAATGTATGACAGCAGTTATGATTACTAAGTGCTTCCACAGAAGTGCTTCCTTAGGTATCTATAGTAACTCTATGAGTTGTATTTTATAGACAAGGAAACAGCTTCCTAGGGTCTCATTTCCCCCCTAATTATGGGAGATACGGGAGTTGCTCATCTTCCCTAAAACAGTGTCCCTTGGACAAAGTGAAACAAACATGAGAACGATGAAGGTTACTCTAGATCTTTTCCATGTCATACGCACTGACACGCATTTATAACTTAGCCCTTATTGAAAGTCTCTGAAAATGGAGAGATAAGACAAGAGAAAATAGAAAAGTTAAAATAGCCTGAGTGGAATGTGGCATATATGATATTAAAAGAATTGGTGTAATTCATTAAGATGTCTTTATGCTCTCAGATTCCAGTGGAAAATAACACAATGGTGGCCACTGCAGGAAGCAGTTGTCTTCTTCCGGGCTGTGGGGACAGAGGGAGGAGTTGGGGGCGCCTGGGTGGCTCAGTTGGTTAAGCGACTGCCTTCGGTTCAGGTCATGATCCTGGAGTCCCGGGATCGAGTCCCGCAGCGGGCTCCCTGCTTGGCAGGGAGTCTGCCTCTCCCTCTGACCCTCCCCCTTCTCATGTTCTCCCTCTCATTCTCTCTCTCACATAAATAATTGAAAATCTTAAAAAAAAAAAAAGAAGAAGAAGGAGTTGGGATTCATGGAATTTAGAATCTTGAGGGAGAGGTACTGCAGAGTTTGGATCCAGACATCTGGGGAGTTTGGTCCCTGGCACCTGAGAAGTTTAGAAGAAAGACCCCACAGCTGGTAAACAGACCTTTGAGAAGGGGGCACACCCTGTCTGGTGCTGTGGCCTCAGGAATTCAGAGAAGAATTCAGTTGAGAAAACCCCACAGAGGTGGAAATCAGACCTCAGGAGACCATGCCAGCCAGCTGGTACTCAGATTTCTATGAGGGCATAATGAGGCTGCTGTGGGGAGTGCAGGAAAAAACCAACAAACTGGTAACTGGAACCTACTGGGGATCAACTGCTACTTATAGAGTGAAGAACCATTATTAGGGTGATGTTAATATGAGCGGGAAGTAGAACAGAAGGGAGAAGGTGCCTTGTGCCCCTCTAGCTTCCCGTCTGCCTATAACATACTCTTTGGGCAGAATCTGTTGGGAACACACCTGGCAACGCTCCAAATCACAAAGTTGAGAAAAGAGGGGCAAATTTGAAAAAGCTCAGTTAACCAACCCATTCCAATTCTGGCTACTTAGCCTGTATACTTAACTTTTCTATGCATATTTGAGATTCCATATAATCCTTCTGAAAAATTCATACTTTTACCTAACAAGATGTAATCATCCTTCTCTGTTACTTAAAACAGCACTTAACAGACAGAATTGGTTAAACAGGAAAAAAAAAACACTGAGCTATCACAGAGGTAGTGATGATAGGAAGCAGCTTCCATCCCTTGGGCTAGGGGAGCAAAGGGATGGTTTGGGTTTATCAGCGTGTAGAAGCCTGGGGGAAGGGCCCTAGAAAGCCTGGACTGAGAACCCTGGGGTACGTGCTGTCTGGTGTTGGTGCTGCTGGTGTATCAGGAGCACGAAGGTGAGATGCCCTGAGGAGCTGGGACAGAAAGCTTTGAGGAGAGGATTCTGGACAGTTGACGCTGGTATCTCTGAGGGGGTGTCGTGATGCTGGTTCTGAAAACGTGGCGGGGGGCAGAGACTAGAAACTAGAATCATCTGCTACTGAATTAATTGCTGCTGCCAAAGTGGAGATCTCTTCACTGGTGTTAAGCCATTTGATGATGGCGTGCCTTTGCATAGTTTTCTTCTTGTTTCTTGATCTTGGTGTTCATCGAGCTTCTTGGGATTGTGGGATCACAGTTTTTATTAAATAAGGCAAAATTTTCAGCAATTATTACTTTTTTTTTTTGGTCCCTCCTGCCTTTCTAGCATTGAAAGGCTCCAATTGTATGTATATTAGGCCATTTGAAGTTTGCATGTATGTTGCATGTATATTAGGCCATTTGAAGTTTCCCCAAGTTCATTAATGCTCTGTTAATTTTTCCCCAGTGCTTTTTCTTTGTGTTTCATTTTGGGTGGTTTCTGTTGCTGTGTTCCAGTTCATTACTCTTGTCTTCTGGAATTTCTAGTCTGCTTTTGGTCTCTTTCATTGTATTTTTCATCTCAGACATCAGAGTTTTCATTGCTGAAAGTTTGATTTGATATTTTAAAATATCTTCCATGTCTCAGTTTGTTCAATAATTCTTCTTTGACTTTATCAATCAGAGAATACAGTTAAAATATATGTCTTAATGTTCTTGTTTATGAATTCTATCATATGAGTAATTGAGTTTTGATTGATTTTTTTTTTCTCTATCATGGGCCTTATTTTTTTGCTTCTTTGTATGCCCAGTGATTTTTAATTGGATGAAAGACCTTGTAAGTTTTACCTTGTTGGATGCATTTGTATTCCTATAAATATCTTCCTGCTTTATTTTGGGATGCTGTTAAATTACTTGGAAAGAGTCTGGTTCTTTCTGATCTTGCCTCTATTAGGTGGAACTTGAATAGCATTTGCATTAAACCTAATTTTATCCCACTATTGAGACAAAACCCTTTTGAGTACCCAAGCTATTGTTCCATGAATTAGGATGTTTTCTATTCTAGCCGATGGTAAGAACTATTCCTGGTTCTGTGTGAGGTCTGACAGTTGTTCCTCCAAGCCTTTCAGGGAGTTCTTTCCTCGGCCTTGGGCCATTTTCTCATACACTTGCACTGATCCATACTCAACATAAGACTGTGGACATCCTATAAAGATCTCCCGAGCTCTCTTCCCAGCAGCGCAGCTTTCTCCTCTCGTTACTCTGGGCTGTGAACCTTAGTCCCTTTGTCCTTGCTACACTTTAAGCTTTGTGTTTTCAACTCAAGGAGTCTGCTTAACTCCACCTGGGCCCTCCCTCCCTGCACTGAAGGTTGGAAACAATCTCTAGGCAGAAAGCTGAGCAATTTTAGGGTTTTTTCACTTGATTTTTATCTTTCAATGATCACAGTCATTCAGTGCCCCCTGTCCAATATTTTGAAAACTGTTCTTTCATGAATGTCATACATTTGGCCTGTTTTTTGTTTCAGGCTTGAGGGTAAATCCAATTTCTCTGATTCCATCTGGGCCCAAACTTGGAGTCACCTTGCTTTTTAAAGTACATATTTCACTGAATACAGATATCTAGGTTGCCACTTTTTATTCTAGGACTTTAAAAGTGTTATTCCACTGACTTTTGGCTTACATTGTTCCTAATGATAAGGCGGTCAGTCATCATTCATGCTTTTCCTTCTGGCTGTTTTCAAGATTTTTTTCCAGTGTCTTTCATTTTCAGCAGCTTGATTATAAAGCTGATAGATGTAGTTTTCTTGGTATTTATCCTGTTTGGGATTCAATGACTAAGTCCTGTTTTCCCATTGTTGAAGCCCCTATTCCTTTCAATACTTTTTTCTGCTCCTTTCTTCCTCTCCTTGGCCTCCTATTACATGTATGGTAGGCCACTTGATATCATCCCAAAGATCTCTGAATCTCTTAATTTTAAAAAAGTTTTCCCATTCTTCAGATTGGAAAATTTGTTATTATGTATTCAGGTTCACCAGCTTTCCTACCCCTACCCCTGTGATCTTTTTTTCCAATATGCTGTTAATACAAAAAATTTTTTTGTCAGTTATTTTATTCTAGGATTTACATTTCATACTTTTATTTAGCTTTCATTTCTCTGCTAAGACTATCTGTTCAGTCATTAAAATATTTCTCTTTAATTTTTTTAATAACTTTCTTTTATTTCTAAGAATACATAAAACCTACTTTATAATCCTTATCTGCTAAATCTAGCATTTGGGCCATCTCAAGCTCAATTTCTATCGATTGCTTTTTTTCTCCCCCCACCCAATGGTTCTAGTTTCCTCTTTCTTAGCATGTGTAGTAATTTTTTATGATACACTTGGCATTGTAGAGATGTCTTTGATACTCTAGAACATGTTATCTTTCTTTGAAGAATATTCTTGTTCTAGCAAGCAGTTCTACACTGGCTGATCACTTTGAACTTGTATAGCTTTGGTTTTATACTTTTCTGGGATGGTCATGATGGCTCAAGTTGTTTCCCAAGGTCTTCTAACTTGATGGGACTTCATCTACAAACTCTCGCTCTTCTGCATATCTGGTGAGGGCTTAATATTCAGCTTTGTCTGTACCTGTCAAGAGTAGTTTTTACTGTGGAGTCCTTACTTCTAAGGAATTTCCATAAATTTTATGGATGAATTTCCAGGTTATTTTGTATCTCAGGTGGATTCCCTAAGTGTTAAAAGGTGTTCCTTTCAGTATTTTCCTCTAAGAAAATCTATAGGAAATTGAGATTCATTTGTTTTCTAAAAATAAATTTATGGAGGCTACACTAGGGGTTATGTAGAGATCTCACCAGGGCTGAGTCTGCTCACTTTCCTCTCAATGCTTACACTAGCAGACTGGAATAGTATTCGAAAGTCTGGATTCAATAAAGGGGTTTCTATAGAGACTGGCTGTTTGTAAGTAGGAGAAGACACTGTTCATTCAATAAACATTTAGTAAGCATCTACTTTAAGAATTGGATATGAAGGAGAATCCTAGATATAGCCTGTGGCCTCAGAAAACATATAATCTAAAGAACTGTGCAGCTTGCATTATTTATCCCTGGAGCTAGTCTTACTGATCTCCTACGGGCTAAAGTACACCCTAAAACCAGCAGTGGGGGGTTTCCTAGAGGCTGTGATTTTCTTTTGTGACATTTAGTTTTTCCCAAAGGGCATTCCTCCCAGTTAGTCTAGTCAGAGATCTTTGTAGAGTTATGTAAGAACCCCTAGGAAGGAGGTGGGAGGGGCAGGCAGGTACCATTCTACCACTCTTCTCTGGGGGCTTCTTTTCCTTATTTAAGACAAAACAAAATTTAAAAAACAAAAAGCTGCAGTTGCTATAGGCAACTCCCAGAGAAAGGTGGTGTTTCCAGCAGTCCTGGGTCCCGAAAAGAAATGTCAAGTCTGGACTCACATCTTCCCCCTCCTCACCCACTCTCTCTCCACCATCTTGTTTCCTCAGTGTCCTCTTGGCTGCAGACCTCTCCAACATCTACTCCCACATCACCTCACAACCTCCTTTCCTGGCCTCTTGGTTCCTTTCTGTCCTCAGAGTAGAGGACAGGAAAGAGGCTGAAGAAGCTGGTGCTCTGAGCTCAGTTTTATGGGAAGCGCTCAGTGTTTTGGTGGAGAAGGGGCATAGTTACCAGGCAAAGAATATCTTCCAGTATCCAAATATTTGGGTTTACCTTGTCAAATTTGTAAAAGGTGATAAAATAAAAAGCCAGTAAAATCTGGTAAGCTAAAAGGAGTTACTAAGAGCTACACTTAGTAGGCTGTAATCTGAATTGGGGAAAGATACAGCTATTAGTTGCTATGAGAGGACTAAAGTCCTGAATCTGGATTTCTGTATCAAACGAGATATTTTAATAGCTGAGATGCTTCCTGAAGAGCCTTAGGCACACCGCCTTTGCTTTGGTGTGGGGATAGGGTGGGCAATGAATCAGGGCTCCTGCCAGGCCCAGATGGTCCTGGTCCAGGCTGGTCCCATGGGCTCTTTCCTTCCTGAGTGTAGTTCCAGACTCTTGGCCCAATTCCTGCTTCTTTTCTTGTCCCTCAAGCCTGGCTGTGGAGTGAAACATAATTTGTCCTACTTTAGTTATTCCCATCATCCCCCCCGCCCAAATGAACACACAGTCTTTCAGATAATGGAAAAACAAGGAATAATATATTCACACGGTGAGAAATTAATATCTATACCTGGTCCTGTTTTAAAGTTTCCTACTTTAAGCCGGTATCATATGCTAAGGCTTTCTGCCTCCCATCTAGTCTAAGGGAAGGGAAAAAAAGAACTGAACTCAGTATTCTAAGATCTTTCACATATAACCCCACTTTACAGATGGGGAAATTGAGACTCAAATATGAGTCAAGTAGCATATCCAAAGTCACACAGTAAGTAGAAAAACTAAATTTGGACTCAGCTCTCTTGGACTTCTGTACAGCCTGCATTATCTTTACTCTCAGATATCATAGGTCAGTGTAGAAAAAAATTTAAAGCATAGAAAGCATCTTTTCAAGACCTGGAATTTTATATAGTATACCACTGTATAAAATAGGTTAAATCAGAGTTTCTCTTGTCGAAGCTGCAGAGAGGAGATTTGGAGCCTCGTTTGGAAATCACTGGCCCACTTCCCATAGATTCCCTCCTCCACAAAGACCCTTGCAGGTGAACGTGAAGGTGGATTGGGAGCTGACCGTTCCATGGCCACAACTAGACTTGGTCTCAGCAGTCATTTACATCTTTGGGAAATTTCAAGTGGCTGACCACCCCTTCAAAACAGCATAATAATGTCAGGAAAATTGCCTTTGGACATCCTTTCTTAGTTTATTTTTTTTTTTTTTAAGATTTTATTTTTTTGAGAAAGAGTATGAGTGATGGGGAGGGGAAGAGAGAGAGTGTGTGAGAAGCAGACTCCCCTCTGAGCAGGCAGCCCAGTGCCCTGGGATCATGACCTGAGCCGAAGGCAGCCGCTTAACCGACTGAGCCACCCAGGCGCCCCCTCTCTTAAGTTCATACTTATGCTTTGAAGTAGAAATTATAAAAGATGCCAATAAATTGACAAGTACTAGTTGATTCTGGTCCCAGTTTTCCCCATGATAGCCGGGCCAGAGCCAGGAAGAGATACACGTTTGCTGCAAGTTAATCTGTGGTGTGGTTTATGCAGGAAACCTAACAAACAGTGACAGGGTCTTCAGCTCCCGGGAGGCATGTGGTAAAACAGTGTGACTTGCACCAGGGAAGAGAGGAAAGTGGCAGAGCCACTGCGCCACAGGCTAAGACAATTACCCTGATCTGTTGTCTAGCTTACAAAATACAGCCCTTTGCAAGGTGAGGAGGTCTAGAGCATTAATAGCTTGTAGCAACCCAGGATCCTGCAGCCAGTGAGGGAAGACACATTTTCATTAGGAAAACAGCACAGGGAATTTAGTTTATTACCTCGTCTCTGTAACCAGTCTAATCACAGGGCAGAATTTAGGCATAATTCATTTCATTTGTCTTGCAGCAATAGGGGAAAAAAATGGAGGAAGTGACTATTGTTATTTTATGCCTTGGCAACAGCACAACGCATTGACAAAATGCAAATTAGAACAGCTATCGGGAATGGCTTGGATGCTTCTTGCTTCTTGTAGCATTTGTCAGACTGAGTCTCCCACAGCCCTGTGGGACATGAGTGTGCAGATGAGACAGATGCCTGTCTTGCAGAGCTGCTGACTCCAAGTTTGGCAGCACTGAGCCCAGAGGGTTGTCACCGCGAATCTGGGGAGCCGGGCTCGCGGAGGGCGGCGCATGGTCAGCGCTCCCACGGGGGACATCGCGGAATCACCTGCGCATGCCCCGTCGGGAGATGTCGCGGTGCTGGAACGAGTGGGAGGTCTGGCGGTCACTTGGAGAACTGGACAGCATTTATTCCGTGCCAGCTCTGCCAGGCCCCGGCTGGTGCTTTACGCAACCACAACTCCACAGGGTATTACTTTGTTTTTGTGGGGACACTTAGGCTTAGGGATGGTCGGGCGCGTCTCAGAGCTCGCTGCTCAGCGTGGCGGAGCACGGGCTGCTCGAACTCCAGGTCTGTACTTTTTCAGTGACGTCACTCTGCCGCCTCAGAGCACCAGGCACCACACCCAAGGCTTTGCATTTCATCCTCAACATTGTGGAGGAAGCTCTTCTGACCCCCATTTACGAACAAGGAGCCTGGTTCTCTGAGGGGCCGAGCGGTGTTCACAGGGGCGCGTGCTCACTCCAAGCCTCTATTCTTAACTCTACAGCCAGGAGAGTTGACTCGTAACTCTTACATCTTACACTTCGTACAGATTGGCGCCTTTGTCTTAGACAGAGCTTGCCTGCACAATGGCAGACGTTTTCACTGAATGTGGGTCAGGTCGTGGCACTGCTCTGCTGGGGAACCGTCTGTGTGGGTGATGTGCACTAGACTCGAAACACACATTGCCGATGCACTTGGCAATAGAGAATCAGAGCAGAAAGGCAGGCCCGGACAGTCCAGGACTCTGATCTGGAGGGTCAGCCCCGGCTTCGACACCCCGTGCCTATGACACAAGAGTCCACATTGCATCACAGGCTGCACCTCCTTTAAATTCTGAGCTGTGTGACTAGGTGGGGTGGGGGTGGGGGTTCACTTGTCACCCTGGGGCAACTGGCCCAGCCCAATTCAGGGACCGACTTCAGATGCTCTAATCAAATGTATTCAAGAATTCCAAGATGGCCTTTGGGGACAGTGGGTGGTTGGCTTGTCCCAGGGAGCCATGAAATACGCTGTGTTTTTCCACAGATTGTTTTCAGCCCCACCACATGTTACAGCATCTTCTTGAAGCCCTATACTACCATAAAGCCTCCATCACCACGTCCATTTCACAGATGAGACAACTGAGTCACAGGTGGGCAGAGTTTCAGCTCAAGTCTCTCTCTACCCATCGTCTCTTGTTCTAAGCAGCTCCCTTCTGCTATCCTGCTGGACCCTTGGCTGGCCTGTTTCCCAAGCTCACTCACAGGTTACAGGAGGATGTAATCTAGTTTGGTTTGGGACGTAAAGGAACCCTTCCAAGACCATTCCGTTCTGTATCTGTAAAGGCGGTAGTGGTTCCAGTGAACTTTTCCTAGTTTTCCTGAGCATCACCGCACACGCCAAGCCTCATGGCCTCCTGTACGTTGGGGCTTTTATTGATGTGAAACCACAGTGGGGCTTATTGTTCATAGGAATCCGGGACTTTGATTCAGAGCCAATAGCCTTACATGAGGCTAAAGAATTCAAGTGGGTTTCCTAAGTAATGGTCTTCTTATGATAGGGTTTAAAAAAGGATAACAAAGAGAAGGAGAGATCTAATGCAAGGTAAAACCACTTCTGGAGAAGAATGCATATATTTCCATAGAAAACTTTATTAAAAGAACCTTCATTGCTCCTGTGGCCTCTTCCTGAGCACTTGTTTGCATTGTGGGGTAACCTTGCTCTGCTCTGTTTCATTTCTCACCTGCCTTCTGGGAATTCTATGAGGAAGTACACACCACTGCCCTGGAAAGCTCCCATGGTAACGGAGGCCACCCACGGTCATAAAGCATATCCTTGTGCTGCCATGTTAGTTCAGAGCAGCTTGACTGCCCGGGCTGGCGATACCGGAATCACTGTGAGAACACAATGGAAATGTGTTACTTGGTCACATTATGGGCCTGCGGGCAGGTGTTCCTGCTCCAGGTAGTGATTCAGGGTACCAGCCTCCTTCTGTCTTTTTGGCACCATCATCTCGATCTGGAGGGGGGGAAGGGAGGGACAGAGAAAAACAGACAGACAAACAGGCAGAGATGGGAGTTTGCTCCTGGGTGATTTTCAGTGGTCACAGGCCAGGGAGTAGAGTTGACCATTTCTGCCTGTCTTCCCTTGCACAGCACGAACTGTCAGTAGCTGGCAAATGTGGGCTTGATGTGCTGTTACATCGGCAGTAATAGTAAATTCACTGGATTCTGTGGAATAACACGTGAGCTAGAGCTGTCTGTGGAGGCTTGGAAAGAAATTGTCACTTTGGAGTCATCTAGAAAGAAAAGTTTCAGAAGGCAGGATTGGAGGTTAAGTTGCCCATATGGGGGCTCTGGTGACTGATACAGTGGGTTTCGTGAATGCTTGCTGAGTGCAGGAATGAGTGTACATCATTAGTATTTCTTAACATGGCTCTGTGGTCTTTAACACTTTCATATGGCAGGGTAGTCTTTTTTGACCCTTCTAGAAAAAAAATCACCTGTCCCGCTCTTGGGCCCACATTGGATGTTTTATGTTTTTCTATCACAGCACGTGTAACACTTTGCTGCCTTTAGTTTCACTTCTAACTTCCCCCGAGAGAATAGAAATTCCTCGAAGCAGGAACCTTGTTTCATCCATCTTCATAGCCCCCGTGCCTCATAGGGGATGTTGAGTAAATAAATGATTTTTTGAGCGGGTTAGAAGTTGACTATTTCTCAAATGGAATGGTTTGAAATTAGACCTCTGTTCAAAGCAGCTCTGGGCCCTAGCACCCACACACAGCACCTGGCCTTTTACCAAAATGGGGACATGGTTTGGGCTTCGAGCCTATATCCACGAGAGGTATAGACGCGGACATTCTTAATGTTAGCAATAAGGTGGTTAGATATGTAAACAAAAGAAGGAAATGCTTTCTGACAAACGAAGGGATGGACTGCCCGGTGAGGGGGCAATTCTGCATGCCGGAAGGGCTCAGTAGAAAAGAACTCACCGTCCGCCAGCGACTATATGGTTGAGGAGAATCCTCTTTGGAGGAGGAGAGGAGGCTAGCTTGGTGATTCTCCTCAAGGAACAGGGACCATGTCAGGGTAGTGACGGATGAGCAACAAGAACAATGAGAAGCTAGTTCGCTGTTCTACAAGCCATGGGGAAAAAAGCCTGACACCGTTCTCTTGACTGGTAGGCACTGCCGAAAATACACTGACAACGTTTTGAGATATGTAAGTGAAACATGGTGAAAAAGACTTGACTACTGTTTTCTTGTTCCTTCCAACAACAACCGGATTTCATGGCACATTTTTGAAAGTGACCATATGGAAGCACTTGCGCTTCTCACAGTGCCTAGCGTATCGCAAGTCGTCAAGAAATCTTTCACTGGTCAATGGATTGATTCGTTCCACAGGATTCGGTCAACAAACATTTGTTGAATTAATGATCAAATAAACAAAGGACGCTACCTTTACTCCGGGCTTAAGGGCCCCACTTCTCTCAAGTTCTTGGAAACTTTGACCTGCTATTTCCCACAGGTGACTCTGCCCTGAACGGCCTTCAGTTTCTTAATGTCCCTCATGATACAACTCCTGGAGCTACACATCACACTCCGTCTTTCATCGAGTGAACCCACCAGGATCAGGCCTGGCCATAAGCATTGGCTGAAACCGAAAGCCAAACTTGCTGTTCTGAAGGACCAGGTGTCCGAGATACCATAGCTCACGTTTTTTGTTTGGTTTTTTTTTTTTTTTTCCAAATGCATACGAATGGGGCTGTGAAAAACTAGGGGTAGAAATTTGCATGTGTTCTGTTTTCGTTGCTTTTTACCCTTTTGGCCAAAGGAGACGTTCTATTTAGTCCCCGGGCATGGCCTCTGCACTTGGGGCCTGTGCCAAGTACCCGGCTCGAAAGCGGTGAGCCAGGAAGCGAGCCAGCTCGTTTGAAACACGTTATATCAGACGTTTCCTGAGGTGGAAAGGAAGGCCTGCTTGCTAGAAAGCGGGGAGGATTTTGGCTCTTAGAGATTGGATTCAGTAACTTTAACTCCTTGGCTAAGGGCCAGTCCTCCAGCAAGCAGCTATCATATGGTCTGTAAAAAAACTCAGATCCAACGTCTCCAGCCCCTGCCTTTTGGGGTGGGGTGCGGGGGGTGGGAGGGGAAGCTTTTAGAACAGGAGAGACCTTAGAAAATCCGATTAAAGATTTTATAAGAGATTAAAATAATCTTACTAGCTTCTCTCAATTTGAGGGGTCACGTTGACTTTGTAGTGGAAAATGATAAGCCTTGAATTAAAATGCTGTCCAAAAAAATGTTGTCATCCATCACTTTTGCTTCCCCTTTTCAAGTTAAATAAAATCATATAATGTGTAGTGAGGGATATATTGGTATTAAATATTAAATTTATAAATGAGGCCCTCATGGTAGTTTCTCAATTAACTTTAGAAATTGACTTTTGCAGTGAAGAAATTGGATCTCCACACACTGAAAGTTAAATATTTTGTGATTCCAGAGTCTTCCTCTCTTTCCATGCACCATGTAGGCTATTATGACCTGTATGTGCCAGCACCTCTAGGTTGAGAACATTGTAGCATGACTCAGATGATTAAACCAACAACAACAACAACAATAACCTTATTAATAATACAGAGGCCCTGGCAACCTCCCCTCTGAATGCTCACATTGAGTCCTGGAGTGGAAGTGGTTTTAGGGTACATGAGAGGACAAGATGCGAAGCACCTTTGGGTGAATTGTCATACTGATACTCTTCATATCTGAAAAATCTGGAGCTATGGTAAGACATTCTACAGTTCGTGAACGGAGACTCAGGAGAGAGAAGTCCCAAAGGCATCTGTTGGGATGAAAATCCAAGCCTCCTGACAGATGGATGCTTTCCTCACTATAAATTCTACAGCCTCAGGAGCACCCGTGTCCCAGTGAACAAAGTGACTGCTCTGGAGACCCCTGAAGGAAGGATCTGGTAAAGTGCTTTTGTGGGAACTTTCTGTGGTCTCAGCTCGGAGTCTTCAGTCTAAACTCTGGCTACTTTATCTTCTCTTTTGGGAAAACTGATCTGGTACCATTTGATCCCGACATTGAAGGGGATGCTCAAGAAAAAACATGAAATATTTACGAAGTGCTTTAAGTTTCAGGGGAAGTAATAGTCCAGTCTGCAAAGCCAAAACGAATTCCACCTTACCCGCTCCATCTTATCGGCCCCTTCCGAGGTTGCCCGTGTCCCTCCTGACCTGTCCTTGTGTGAAAATCTAAGAATGTCACACAACCCTTTGCCACCTTTCTTTAGCCCCGTGTGTTCCTGAGAATGGAGTGATACCTTATGAACATGTCCAAGAAGGGAAATGGAACAGGTAGGGGTGAGAAGAGGAGGTGGCAGCAGGGAGGCGAGAAGGGGAGGAAGGGAGGTGAGTGAGAACTCACAACGCCTGAGGAGCCCAAGCTGTTAAGCCACGGGGTCTGGGTGTCCTCTGCCTTTCCCCCTGCAAGGTGAACCTGAGACTCACTGACCAGCTCTTGCAGAGACCCGTGCCAAGGTCCGCTGTGGCCAAGCCTTCTCAGTGGCAGGAGACGGCGGGGTGCGGAGCTGTTCGCTTGGCATCCTTCGCCACCACTAAGGTCACTGATAAATTATTAAGCTGCTCCTAGGTACATGGCTTCGTGAAGATGATCAGGAGTGAAGGGAAGCCAGGGCAAGGGGTGATGATCAGATACACAGAGAAGAGCAAAGCCTGCGGAAGCACACACGGGAAGGCGGGACAGCCACATTGCCACAGTGAAGCAGTCAGCTTGTGTTTACTCTCAGCTCCAAATGTTTTCCTTTGTATCTCCATACCATCACCTCTTATTTTTAAGGAAGTGACACAAAGTAACAGGCTTCACGATGCTGTCAAGACTTCTTGACAGCATGAAGGTCACAATACACAATCACGTACTGTAATTATACAAAATCCGAAGAAGAAAATGTTACTAGTTACACTGGTTAAAATGAAACCGACAACCCGAAAGAAAACAAAACCAAAAGAAACCTCCGTTGGAATCCATAGAGACGCTTGACAATAGCCAAATTATCGTCCTAGCATGCTGCAGTTCGTTGCCATAACTTCATAAATCCCCAGCTCTTTGAGGGAAAGAAAGTGCGTTTTTCACAGCCTATATAGTTCTCAAAGAAATAGCTTTCACATGTATGCAGGTCCACAGAAAAAGGAATGCAAAGTCTAGGCACCAAGGTTGCTCAGACAGCAATGGAGTCTTAAGAGTCCTTCTTCAAACTGTTCCGAACCAGATCTGGTTTGGTGAAAAAAGAATCTGGACAGTGACATTAGTTCAAGAGGGCCCAGGAAAAAACAACACTTAACTGTTAATAAGGAAGAAAACCATCAAGAACTAGAACAATAAGACTTAAATATTTTTTCTACTCTACTTTGCAGCTGGATTACAGCTTTTCATATTTGGAAAACATATGCAGTTGATCTGTGGGTAGAACCCTTCTCTCTTCCCCCCACCCCCTCCGCCCACCCCACTCCTGATCCAGCAGCTTAATGTTGGAGGACAGATATCGCTGGTTCAATTTCCTTGAAGTGGAATTAACATTTCCTCATGTGTGACCAGGCCACTTTTTAACAATGAGGTATAATTTGATACTAACCATTCCTGTTCCCTCTTGGGCTACGGGCTTGGTCGGTCGTGTGGGTAAAAACAATTCAACTTCCTGATAAAATCACACATACAAAAATTATTGCACTTAAAAACAACAACAACAAAAAACTCAGCCCAACCAGCCAAGGGCCAAGGAAACTCTTCGGAAGTGCTGTGCTTCCTGCCCTTTGCAGAGCGTCTGGACCTTTGTGGTGTTCAGTTGAATTTGGTCCGTTATTAAATGTCCAGAAGTAAAGGAGTCCAAAAGACACTGTAGGCTCTTTAAGGCTAAGTCTTCCCAGTGCTTCGGTGAGATAGATTATCTCCTTGGCCACAGACTACAAAGCAGGGGCCCTTCTTAGCAAAATGGCCAGCAGGGCCCCTAAAAAACTCTGGAAGCAAGGGAGGCATGTCCTGTCCTGTGGATGAAAGAGAGAGAGAGAGAGGGAGACAGTAAGCAGCTTGGCAGGGACAAGGCACACACTGACAGGTCGGGGGCTAGAAGTAGAGCATCTTCCTCCCGATTCCACTACTTGCTCTCTTCACACTCAACCCCATAGCCCATGTGGACACAGGCTTATCTGTGCATCTTTTTCCCTTTAAGTCCCTTTTGTGGATCTAAATATCTTTCCCTTTTTGGCAAATTTTTTTCTTAGTCTTTACCCTTCCTGCCTCCTTGGGCTTTCTATGTTTTGATAGATATAAAGGTAGAATACTAATCCTATCCTGCTATCCACTTATCCATATGCTATTTATCCTTCCATATGAATGCTACAATGCACCCCTGTCCTCTCCCAACCCTGCGTATGGTCCCCCCACCTCACTGTACTCAGATACATTTCACACTGTTTACTGACTTGAATTGGCATATTGTTACTTCAGCTAAGAGTATAACACCTCCAAAATCAGATCTCCTGGTCAAAGTTGAGCACAAGGCATTGAATATGTTACTAATGTTTTCAGGAAGCTCTCAAGTAAGTGTTCACATAAGGGACGGAAGCAAGGCATTCCTTGACTTCACCATCCCGAGACTAGTGTTAATATTGTTTCTCTTCTTTGGGATGTGTACTCCAGCTCATATCTCCTTTGTAACCCCTTGTATGACCCTTGTAATCCATAAATATTTGCACAAAATATTGAGATAAACAGAGCGGCGGGAGGGTGGCATCCTGATATCTCAGGCACAGATCCAATATCAGAACAATTGAAAGTTCCGGATGCAGGGAAGGAAGGTCAAATCATAATGAGTTGCCGAAGCTCCTGCCTGTCATCCCCCAACCAAGGTGCACTGAAGCTCTAAGATCTGTATGGTATTACTGTCTCCCTATAACCACCTTTGGGGGGTCAGAATCAATACAACTGATGACTGCTGCCTTCTGTTGTATCCCATCACGTCCCCTTCCATGGTTCGAAGACAGAGTGCCCACGATGGCCTCGTCTACTTACTGCTCTGGATTCTGAACTAGGACTTGCTAACATTTTCATAGATGACATCGCTGATGCAGAACTGCTGCTTCTTCTTCATCCACATCAGTTGCACACACTGATGGATAAAAATGTACTGCTCCTGGAGCAAAAGACCAAAGCAGGGTTCAGAGCAAGGTATTGTGCAAACACATGCAAAGAGTTAGTATTTTCATACTACGGAAGGATTAGATACTATGATCTGATGTAAAAGGAAACAATATCCATTATTTATGAGATAATTTTATAACTAGAAAATCCAAGAGAATCGACTGTAAAAATATTTTGATTAATAATAGAGCTTAGGGGCGCCTGGGTGGCTCAGATGGTTAAGCGTCTGCCTTCGGCTCAGGTCATGATCCCAGGGTCCTGGGATCGAGTCCCACATTGGGCTCCCTGCTCCTTGGGAGCCTGCTTCTCCCTCTGCCTCTCTCTCTCTCTCTGTCTCTCATGAATAAATAAATAAAATCTTAAAAAAAAAAATAATAGAGCTTAGGTCATCACAATGTAACGCTAAAGGCAATGACTATCCAATCAATAAATCATGGGCCTATTTTGAAAAAAAAAATAGTGTATCATCTCATAATACACCAAAATGAATTCTGGGAAGTTTAACAAATTAAGCCATAAAATGGGGAAGGGGGGAAATACAGGTTAGTTTTTCTCTGATTACTTTTAGGAAGGACTTTCTAAACTTCAAAGCAATGTAATCACAAATGAAAATTTCAAACTACCGTTTTTAAAACAAAGTAAAATGAATAAAATAAAGGGTAAATTGGAAAATGGGAGGGAAAATTATTTTCTAAAATTATGACAAAATGTTGATACCACTTAAAAAAAATTTATTCAGTATCAAGATCAGACTATTACCTTTAGAAATCAACAGCATGGGTACAAAAAAAGGAAAAAGTCTACATTAAAACCCCTTGTTGGGATGCTTTCCACTTTCCACAGAACAGAAACTAAAATAACCTGTTATACAATTAGTCACAAATCCAGTCCTCGAGTTTTTTGCCCATGCATGCGAGTATTGTCTAAAACGTGTCTTCTTTGTAGCAGCTCAGCCCTGCCACCACTGTGCTTGGCTGAGGTAACAACTCCGTTGTAACCTGTAGCTTCCCTGACACGTCTCTGGCTCTCCGCTCCTGCTAAGCCTTGTTTCCTGGCAGTCATGAAAACCATCGCTTCTGCTGCTGCCGTAGCTACCGCTGCTGCTGGAACCGCCACAGCCACCTGAGGGGTTTGGTGAAGTACTTGGCCTCCACCACCAAGGGGCCAGAGCATCAGCCTCCAAAATTTCCTCCTTTCATGGGTCCAAAATTTGAAGATTGATTGTTGTAGGTGTCCAAATCATGATAGCTTCTGCCTCCTCCAAAACTGCTTCCATCATTATCAATCCATGATAGCCATCCTCACCACCACCATATCCACCACCACCACCAAAGCCGCCTCACCGGTTTCCTCGTGACCAAAGTTGTCATTCCCACCAAACCCACCTCCACAACCACCACCAAAGTTTCCAGCCCTCTCTTGCTTAGCTAGGGCTTTCCTTACTTCACAGATGTGGACATTCATGGTACGGGATTTTTGAATGACACTCTTGTCTACAGAATCACGGTCATCAAATGTTACAAAAGCAAAGCCTCTCTTTTTGCCGCTGTCTCGGTCAGTCATGATTTCAACCGCTTCAATTTTCCCATACTGTTCGAAGTAATCTCTTAGATGATGTTCTTCGGAGTCTTCTTTAATGCCACCAACAAAAATCTTTTTCACAATTAAGTGGGCACCAGGTCTTTGAGAATCTTCTCTTGAGACAGCCCTCTTTGGTTGCACAACTCTTCCATCCACTTTGTGTGGCCTTGCATTCATGGCTGCATCCACTCCTCCACAGGGGCATACGTGACAAACCCAGAGCCTCTGGAGCGCTTGGTGTTTGGATCTCTCATGACCACACAGCCCGTGAGCTCATTTCTCATTGCTCAAAATGGCTCCTCAGACTCTCATCAGTTGTTTCAAAGCTCAAACCTCCAATGAAGAGCTTTCGCTCCTGTTCAGGCTCTTGGGAGACTGACTTAGATATAACGGCGGTGGGAAGGGAGACTTTAATGACGCTTACTCGGTGGGCATCCACGGGCAGGAAGGAGTAACCTAATGAATGCATCTCGATACCTTTATTTTTGTTTAAAATTCCTCCAGTCAGTAACACACACACTTAAACTGGCCAATAAAATATATCGGCAATTAGACCAAATATTCCCGGAAGGCAGGGACTATATCTTTTTATTCCTCATGCTTAGCCCTCAGTTTGTGCTTATGAAAGGTTTTCTGAAGTAAACTGAGGAAATATTAAAACAGACGCAAAAGACAGTGACATAATAAAAAATGTAAGTTGAAACAATTGTGTTTCATCCATGATATGAGCAAAGCTAAAGGAAAATGGTAACGCTCGAAGAGGAGTTTGTTAAAGCTGTCATTTTTATCTATCTTGGGTGGAGGTGTTATTACTAAGGTGCTAGTAAATGACCTTGTGTACACAGATAGTAAACAAGTGGAAAAGGATCCAATTTAATGTTCTATAAAAAGGAGAATGGTTTAAATAAGGCACAGCAGATCTATACTGAAATATTAGTGTCCTTAAAATGAGATTTATAGAGTTTTGGACAATTTGGGATGATATGTATAGCAAACTGTTAAGTGGAAAATTACAGTGTAAAGTTAGCATATGTACATATAGCATGTAAGCATAATAGTATAAAAGTTATACTTGAATGAAGATGGAGATGAAATACATCAAAATATTGAGGAAGCTGTCTTGGTGCCATGAAATCCAAGTAACTTCATGATCTTTCACCTTTTTTCTTTATTTCCTAGAGCTTCTCTGTAATACCATTAGAAATAACCTTGACACAAAATCCAGTCATTATAGTCAAAGGATTTAAGGGGTCTTTTGTATGACAACTTTATAAAGGTTAGGTTAATACTTAAAGGTTGATACCTCAGCCTAATCTGTATTTTTCAACAAGCTTTGAAGAAAATATATTCCCTTATTTTGTGATAGTATCACATCCGTAGCTGACTACCTCTTCTCATTATCACACATCACTCCATTGTTTCTGGTGTTATCAAGCATCGAGCTCGGTTCAGGCCAGAGAGTGCCTTGTTTTTCAGTTCAGAACGACTCGGTGGCCAAACTTTGTGTCACAAAGAAAAAAAAGTAGCTGAACCACAGGAAAAGTAAATGAGAGACTATTTACAGACATATCCTTGAGAGCCCCTGAGAAGTCTAAGCTGCTGATCAGGATGAGGGCTGCTCAAAGCAAAGCCCTAACTGACCTCCAGGGAAAGCCTATTAGAGGAAAACTAAACAAAACATTTGATAGAAATAGAAGAGAGCCCAGAAGAGGTGAATGCCACCCATATAGAGCGCTGTATGGTTTCAAAGTGTACAGAGGCCATAAGTGATCCAGGCCGACTCACAGCGTCTGGCCTGCGGACCCGGACTCTCTAACTACCCCTTGCTGCTCCTGTGGAGAGGTTCATACCATGTGCCAGTCAGTTGAGAAAAGGGAAGAGAACATGTCAAAATGCAGCCCATGCAGTGCGTTGCTGTGACCTGAAATGTGCATCTCAGGACAGGCTGTTTTAATCAGTTAGTCTTGCTATTTCTAGACTGGGGCAGGGTGGTAGAATTGAGATGACGGGTGGTAGAATCGAGGAGGTAGGAAAATTAGAAAACCGGCCATGGGAGGGGACCTGGTCCACAGCACACAGGTGGTTTATATAGAGAATCGGAAATCAGCTGGAGAATCACTCTGGCCTCTTGAAAATCGTTAGTGTCAAAGGAGTACTGTGGGATGAAAAAGCTGAAGAAAATAATTTGTTTATTCCACTCCTTACTTGTTAACATCAGTAAGGTCAAAGGCAGCAGGACTGGGGTATTATGATTGGGCTCGAGGAGGATGTTAGGAAAACCCTAACATTCAGAATCCAGGTTGAACCATGAAAAGCACAGGAACCAGGAAAATACGAAGGTAAACGGACAAGATGTTCCAGACATAACTAACAAAACAGACATAAATAAATAACTCGAGCTAGAGAGCCTCCACTGCAGAATCCCGAGGGAACTCAAGAGTGAAGCTGGAACGGTTGGAAAAAAATCAGTAACCTGTGGTGACCTCCGCCTCTTTTGCTGACTTTGAGTTTTCCCACCAGAGTTCAGGGAAGGGATATTGTACTTTAAAAAGACTGTTTCCCTGGAGATGGCAACTTAAAAATGCTGCCATAAACAAAGAAGCCAAACAACCAAAATTTGGGACCGGAAAGTTAGGGAGAACACAAAACACTTCCTCAGCTCTTCTGAGAGGCACACGGTGGCTGCTGTAGTTTGGTGTGATTACCACACTTGAGGAGAGATAATGGTGTTGAAAACTGGACGGAGGGTCTGCCATGTGTAGGTAGTTTTTTTTTTTTTTTTTTTTTTTTAAGATTGTATTCATCCATTTGACAGAGAGAGAGCACAAGTAGGGGGAGTGGGAGAAGGAGAAGCAGGCTCCCGCTGAGCAAGGAGCCCCACTCAGGGCTTGATCCCAGGACCCTGGGATCATGACCTGAGCCGAAGGCAGACCCTCAACCGGCTGAGCCACCCAGGCGCCCCGTGGAGGTAGTTTTTAAAAAAAGGCATTAGGATTCTGTAATTGGGAAAGCCAAAGGCAACCAGGCTATAATCAAAGTCTATAAAGTTATAAGAGGCATACATTAAGTCAGTGGGGCAGACAATTCATCACATCCAAAATAATTAAAATCAGGAGAGGCCCTTTGAAGGCTGGGGATTGATAGACATAATGGGGGGTTTTAACCACATATTAGGATGTCAGTTTACGGCAGTGAAGATCAAAAATATGGACTGATTCATAAAGCACTGTTTAATCACTAGGTAGTGGGCTTCTCTGGGAAAGCAGAACATTTTGAGCTTAGGCTAATGAGGTCATGTTAACGTCCCCACCGGCGTAATTCCAAGGCAGTAGGGCTGGGATGTGAGTGGGCTCCAGGAAGTGAGCAGACAAACACATCATCAGTGGGACACCTGCATGTGAATGGGTCACTCTTTCCAAAGTGGTATGATCTTGCTGGAGCGCAGAAATAGATCCCTTGGGCTGGCTGTGTGGAGCCTTGGTCAGAGGGGAGTGGGGAAGCAGGAGAGAAAAGTAAAGGGGCGGGGGAGGGGGAACCAGAAGCGCAAACAGATAGCAGCCAATACTGCAGGCTCTTTGAGTTATGCTGACACCTAGTGGCGCTTAGTAGGAAAAGCATGGGGAAGACGAAGGCAGCGTTTAATCTCCTGGAAATTGAGTAAGAGGTCAGCCTAGGTTGTTTTCTACTCTGCAAGCGTTCCTCCCACACACACTCCTTGAGCAAAAAGGATTACTGTACGCTCGAAGCTGAGAAGTCGCAGGAGGGCATGGTGACGAGGATTATGAGCCAGCTATTGTGCGTAGGTTTAGGGGCTCACCCAGGTGCCCACCCGCGGCTGCTCAGAGGCGGTGTGATGCTGTGTGTGGGCAGCAAGCAGCCCAGGGCTAACCACTCCGGCAGGAGTGCATTCTGAGGCTTCCAGGCCGGAGAGGACTCGGTGGGAGAGGAGGGAGAGGGAGCACGTAGCACTGGTGGATATTTCTGGGGATGCTCCCGTGTTGTTACAGTGATAATTCCATTCCTTTAGATCAAGGGCACTGGCAGCACTGCTTGGATGGGAGCTGGAAATCCTTAAAATCATAAGGGGGGCAGAAAGCATAAATCCAACCCCTGATCATCATCCAAAGTGCATTGGGACAGAGAGTCACAGGGAGGACGAACTAATGCCAAACTTATTGAATCAAATCTAGCATTTCAAATATAAATTAAATCACGTCAGTTCCACAGTCTCCACTTGGTGGCATTTACCCAGATTGGCTGTCACCTTCACCGAACTCTCAGTCTGTTCAAAGAGGTTTTATTCTTTTTTTTTTTTTTTAACAATTTTATGTTTTTTTTTTTTTTAAAGATTTTATTTATTTATTTGAGACAGAGAGAATTAGAGCACATGAGAGGGGGGAGGGCCAGAGGGAGAAGCAGGCTCCCTGCCGAGCAGGGAGCCCGACGCGGGACTCGATCCCGGGACTCCAGGATCATGACCTGAGCCGAAGGCAGTCGCTTAACCAACTGAGCCACCCAGGCGCCCTCGAGCGAGTATTCTTTTTTTTTTTTTTTTTTAAGATTTTTTATTTATTTATCTGAGAGAGAGAATGGGAGACAGAGAGCATCAGAGGGGGAGGATCAGAGGGAGAAGCAGACTCCCCGCCAAGCAGGGAGCCCGATGCGGGACTCGATCCAGGGACTCCAGGATCATGACCTGAGCCAAAAGCAGTCGCCCAACCAACTGAGCCACCCAGGCGCCCCAAAGAGGTTTTATTCTATTATAGATAATATAGATACATCCATGTGCTCTGGGTTACTAAAGGACATATGAAACCACAGTGCAAGCGCTATACACTGAATGGATTTCTAGAGGCTAAGATCTATTTTTTTTTTTTTAAGATTTTATTTATTTATTTGAGACAGAGAGAATGAGAGACAGAGAGCACATGAGAGGGGGGAGGGTCAGAAGGAGAAGCAGGCTTCCCGCCGAGCAGGGAGCCCGATGCGGGACTCGATCCAGGGACTCCAGGATCATGACCTGAGCCGAAGGCAGTCGCTTAACCAACTGAGCCACCCAGGCGCCCTATACTTTTTTTTTTTTTTTAAGATTTTATTTATTTATTTGAGAGAGAGAATGAGAGACAGAGAGCACGAGAGGGGAGAGGGTCAGAGGGAGAAGCAGATTCCCTGCCGAGCAGGGAGCCCGACGCGGGACTCGATCCCGGGACTCCAGGATCATGACCTGAGCCGAAGGCAGTCGCTTAACCGACTGAGCCACCCAGGCGCCCAGATCTATTTTTTTTTAATACCTTGAAGCAGTTTGAACATGCACACTGAGAAACTGGGAAGAGCAGAGGCAGAAAAATAAAAACTGAGACACCTGTTTTGAAACATGAGACTGAATCATGGGAAGTTTCTCAGTCCAGGGCACATTTGAAAATGCGTTTTGAGTCCGTTCCTACCTCTGTCTGCACCATAGACATCCGGTAGGATCGCATTTCGGACACCAGCCCTAAGATGTCGACAAACTCATGATCCCGAATGTGCTGCAAGAGCCTGTCCAGGGCAACGAATGTTCCCGTCCGGCCGACTCCGGCACTGCAAAAGAGTGTTTGGACAGCATATTCCTCAGACAGTCCCTTTACACGGTTGCAAACACATGGGCCGCTAGAAAACCCCCCAAACTACAGGTAGCACCACTCAGAAAAAAAGAAGAAATACTCCTGACAATATTTTCCTGATTTTGAAGTACATGATTGTGGTTGGTATTTTTTTTTTTTTTCGTTTTTAAAGATTTTATTTATTTATTTATTTGAGAGTGAGAACACAAGTGGGGAGGGCCAAAGGCAGAGGGAGAAGCAGACTCCCCGCCGAGCAGGGAGCCCGATGCGGGTTCGATCCCGCGACTCCAGGATCATGACCTGAGCCGAAGACAGACGCTTAACCGACTGAGTCTTTCAGTGTCACGTTTCTGACTCACCCTGCTGCCTCCCTCAAAGAGGTGCATGGGTGCACAGCCTTAGCCCCACCCCGGTCCAGCCACAGGGCACCCTGCTTCCTGAGGAAGGTAAGGATTCCAGAGGGAGCCGGCTGGAGAGTCGCTTCCTGCTCTCAGCGGATACACAGAAAACAAATCCAGTTTTCTGTGTAGCCTCAGAGTTCGGTGCACACCCCCTGCTGGAAAGTCGGCTCGAGAGGCCACACACTAGTTCTAGCTCTGGGGCTGCAGCCATTTGCAGGCGGGCAATAATATTTATATTATTCAGGGCTGTGATGAGCTATTTTTAATCTGACTTTGTATTTGGCCATGTTATAAGCCACTCAGAATCACTGAGAGGCTAGGGTACTATCCCACAGCACCTAAAGGCAAGGATTTGAGCCCTAATCCCTCCCCATGCTAGCTGCCTGAGTTTGTGTGAATCCCTTTACCTCCCCTCTTCTCAGTTTGTTTTTCATCTGAAAATGAGAATAATAACATCTACCTCATAGGCTATGGGAGATAAGAAAAGCCATAATATAAGTAAATCATGTATCAGGTAAGATATCAATTGTAAATTTTAAAAAAAGCCATAGTTTACATAATGGCAAATTCAGTGTGACGGGGTATATGGAACGGTGGGCTCTTTGCTTGGAAAACAGAGCCCGTGGGACCCTAACAGAAGATAAGGCTGATGAGGTTACCTGCAGTGCACGATCATGGGGCCCTTGCTCTTGGTAGCTTGCTGTCGAACCACGTGTACAAACTGCAGGATGCTCTCCGCAGCATTTGCCGTGGGCACCCCGTGATCAGGCCACGCCGTGTAGTTGAAATGCATCACATCCTGCATCTCATCAGCCTTTAGGGGAAAAAGCCAACACAAGCATGAATGTCTCAGTGCGCCGGCCCGATGGCCTAGGCCTCCATGGCAGCTCACAGGTTAATGGCTTCTAAAGTTCAAGCCACGTTCCCCTCCTGGCCAGTCCTCTTCCCTTCCCAGCTCTGAGGATGGTGTCTGGCCCAAAGCAGGCCCTGAAAGAAAAATACTAATTGTGTAAAACTTCGAAGAGTAGGATAAATAGGCGAATCTATGCCTTTGTAGAGATAAGAGCTCAAGCCGATCAGGGTGTGCCTCCTGGCTCGGCCACTCGGCAGTTACATCAGCGTTGGTCCAGGAATCCCATGGAAGGTGCTGTTGGTTCCTGCCTGCCCCCGGGTCCCCTTTGCCAGGCTGATGCACCCCCTTTCCAGCGGCTGCTAACAGCATATGGCTGTGTCCTCCTCATAGCTGTCCTCCACAGAGGGAACTGCCTGCCTTTCTGGAGTGTGCCCGAGGGGATGTGTTCTCCTGATGAGGGCAGTGCGTAGCTAAGGAATGACGGATACTGGGGTACAAATGCCTGCCCCCTTACGTCAGGGGGCACAGCTAACAGCACAGTGCCATTCACTGCCCCGGCCATCTCCGTGGGACCCAGCCGAGGCCAGAATTCAGCGGAACCCACAGCTGCGTGTAGCTCCTTCCCTGCCCTGGCCTATCCTGATTCCCTTGTTCCCTTAGAGATTTGACCCAAGACTGTACTTTCAAAAAGTCACCAATATGACAATCCCTGTCTTGTGCTCTGACCCAAGACAGACTTGCTGAACATGTTTTCTCATGCTTAAAATGAGCCCTTTTAGATGTTATAGGATAAAATAACCCATCACAAGGGTGGTTGTGAGGATTCAGTGTGCTCATGTCTGTGAAGGATGGGACCTGGTAGATATGGTCATCACTACTACCTAATTACCACCACTCTCTCCCAGCTCAGTGCAGGCTTATGGTTGGTTCTGGGAATCCCCGTGGGTCGGTATGTTTTGTATATTTATCTCATTCATATTGACGCATATGTCAAATGTGTTCTTGTCCCCTCTGAACTGAGAATTATCAGTTAGGGTGTGGGCCTTCAAGATTCACTCTTTTTTTCTTTCTTCTTTCTTTCTTTCTTTTTTTTTTTTTAAGATTTATTTATTTGAGAGAATGTAAGGGAGAGGGGCAGGGAGAAGGAGAGTCTCAAGCAGACGCCACACGTCAAGCAGCCCATGCGGGGCTCGATCTCACTGCCCTGAGGTCATGACCTGAGCCAAAACCAAGAGTCGGATGCTTAACCAACTGCACCACCCAGGCGCCCCAAGACTCACTCTTTTTAGTCTCTACTAATTTGTAAGCATAAAGATTTATTCTGTTCTTATTATCAACTATCAGAAATAGTCCAAATCCAGGCCTCACAAAGATCTAATTCATCCCCTTCCCTCAAACTTGCTAAGAACCTAGAATGCGCTCGGTGAATGGAATACTGTATCATAATTTGGAAGAATTTGGCCTGGTAATGAAACTAAAGCCAGGTTCAGGTATTGAAGAGAAATGAATTCCAAAGAGTCATTGGCCTTGGGTGGAGTAAAATTTGTATAAATATAAGTAAATGCATAAACAAAGCATATACGTAAATACGTGATAAGATACATAATAAGATCTGTGTAAACATAAGTAAATCAGCACTTCGACTGGACCCCCTGTCCCCTAGGCACTCAAGGCTATCCACTCCCAGCCACATGCAGTGCCTCCCTCACTGCCTTCAAGGGCTCTTTCTTAGACACATGGAGCATGGGTGCAAAAGTCTGCAAAGATGCTGGCGAATCTCACTGCTGTTTTCAGGAGGTACGGCAAGGAAGTAACCCAAGCATAATAAATTGTGCAGAATGATTCCATTACTCAGCACCATGAGGATTTAAGCATACTCAATCACTAGATAACTTTGGTTGCCCAGAAAAGCTCACAAAAAATGTTAACTCTTTTCCAAGGCTGATTACAGGCTTTGCTCAAAGACTTGTACATGGTAGGCAATACATATGTGTGTATAGATATATATACATATATATAATTGATCTGAAAATGTATCCAGCTAAAATATGCAAAGTGGTTCAAAACTGGGAAACACTTAAATTGTCATTAGTCTCTATCAGGGTGATCCCTGTCAGCTGAATAGCAAGGCACGCGTCGATGGGAACAAACATATTTTTGCTGGTTTCAGTCTCCAGTTCCTACGCAGTTCAGGCCAAGTTTTCAAGCCCTGGAAGGCGGCAAATTATGTGTTACGGTCATTTTCCTCCTTTCTTATTAAATGAGAAAACCATCCTTGTTCATCTTAGCCATTTCAAAATTTCTCTTACCCCGATGTCCTCATTCATGTACTTTTATCTGGTTGTACTCTGAAAGCTCCCATATATCAATATGGAAGGAATAAAGAAGAGTGTGAGCAAAAATTGAAACAAATAGAAAAACATGCGCATGAGCACAGCACAATATTCTTTCGCAATACAACCTTCATCCAGGAAGCATAAAACTTAGATTCGGTTTATGGCCAAAAGGGGGCACTCTAGGACCGAATGCTTGTGACTACTGAATAGGCATCTTACCAGAACATACTATTATTCAATGTTTTATTTCAGTGTTTCGAGCCCTTGACACGATTATCATTGAAAGATAGGTCACGGGCGCCTGGGTGGCTCAGTTGGTTAAGCGACTGCCTTCGGCTCAGGTCATGATCCCGGAGTCCCGGGATCGAGTCCCGCATCAGGCTCCCTGCTCAGCAGGGGGGGGGGGGGGTCCTGCTTCTCCCTCTGACCCTCCCCCACTCATGTGCTCTCTCTCTCTCTCTCTCTCTCTCTCTCATTCTCGCTCTCTCAAATAAATAAATAAATCTTTAAAAAAAGAAAGAAAGAAAGATAGGTCAGCATTTAAGACCAAGGACGAGAAGCATAGGACTGACCAGACACTGCTCTATGTGACTCTTCTCTGTCAAGGAAACAGGCGTGGAACAGACCCTATTTTGTGCTCTGCAGTCTCTTTTCTCCTGAATGCAAACTCAGGGAATTATTTGTTCTACGTTTACCCAGCAGTTTACACTGGCTTTCCGGCTGAAACAGCCAAGAAACAAAGCTGGATTCAAACGGCATTCGGGCTGTCAAATATTTTCCCTGAGGAACGTCTGTGAGATTTCCAAGTGTTTTATTATTTTTGAAATCGTTCATTCATTCACTCATTTATTCATCCCACAAAGATTTTATAAATGGCAAAGGGTTGCGATTACAAAGCTTATTACAACAGGGTACGTGCTTCCCAAACTCACAGCACGCTGGGGGAAGAGGACATGAAGAGAGACAGTTATAAGCATCTCTGGTGTCCTGTGATAGAATAATCTAGATGAGACTAGAGCAGAGGGGGAAGGAATAAAGCTGTCTGGAGACTAGGGAAAAAAGCTTAACAAAGGAGGTGACCTTTGAATTGAAACTCTGAGGGGGAAGTGTTTAGGGAACAGGCAGACATGGCCATTTCAAAAGTATGGAACAGCGCAAAGCAACAGTCTGCTAAGGATTTGCCTAAATTCCCCTGTAGCAAAAACCGTTTTGTTAACTACCAGTGATTAAGAAGTGATTAAACTTGCAAATATCAATAAATGACGAATTAATGAGTACTTCTGCTGTATTGATACGGACAATCTTTGTTTCCATTGTCCACATTAAGGGTCAGCAGATGTTTTCTGTGAAGGGCAGACAGTAAATATTTTAGGTGTTATGGGTCATAGGGTCTCTGTTGCAACTACTAGAGCTTGATGTAGCACAAAAATGCTCATCGGTGACATGTAAGCAAATGTGTGTGTGGCTCTGTCTCAATAAAATGGTATTTGTGGACACTGAAATGTGAATTTCATATGATTTCCATATTTTGTGAGAAATATTATTTTTCTTTTTTTTTTTCCACCCACTTAAAAATTAAAACTCATTCTTGGCTCACAGGCTTTACAAAACAAGCAGTGGTCCATCGGTCCACAGCCCAGTCTACCATCCCCTGACGTATACGTTTAGGAAGTGCTGTTTCTAAGCAGAGAACATTACAATGAGAATGTTCCTATTCAATGTTGTCCTCAACAGAGAGCATGTTCAAGTGACTACTAGTAAAAATGCCCTCCCCTCTTCTGGGACTGCCATGTGTGAAGAAGGCAACAGGGTGACTGGTTGTTGTCGGCCCCTAAGCAGCACATAAACATTCAGCATAAGCTCAAAGGTTAATCATCAGAGAGGTAGCAGGTCCGGGAAAAGGAGACTTTTCCTGGACATGCTAATATTCAGAAATCAATGGCATTTTAAAAGAGGTATGGAACCATGGTTAAAAAGGCCTGAAGTAGCTTTGACATAGTAAAAACCAAACCAGAACAAAAATAAGGAAAAAAGCCAAACAAAACCAAACCCAAACTACTAAGTTATGGTCTAAGTGTTTAAAGTTTAAGTGTGTCTTATATATCCTAATTATTCGCACATGGAATTTAGTATAAGTACTGAGAACTTCTCTCCTCAGTCATAACTGGTGAGCGGGTGATTCCCCGAGTCTCCTCTTGCCCTGGGCTAAACTGAGATGGAACCATGAGGACTTTTCATCCCATCTCTTCGGGCTCTCCAGGCCAACCATTTCATCCACACCATTGTGGATGAAATGGGAAACCAATACATTCAGAAAGTGGGATTTATCTCTTTATCTCTTGAAGAAAGCACTGTTGCAAAGCCTGAAGAGCTCACAGTCTGAGGTGACGGTGGGTTGGCCTCTGACACGTGGGTGTCCCCTCAGCATGAGGACCTGAAAATGTGCTTCGTGACTTACATAGTTGATCCGGAAGTGTCTGCAGGCCCAGTCATCCCTCTCTTCCTCCGAGATCATCTCCACGGTGATGTCTCCGTAAGCTATGGGTTCTTCCGTGAACGGCCAGTAATGGTCACATTTCACCTGAGGGGACAATGGCACAACCTTTTAAAACAAACAGGCTATGGAAGAAAGAGTCTGTGCTCACTTAGGGAAAACAGAAGTCCTTGCCTCTGAAGGACTGTATTGTACTATTGTGAGGAGGAAAAATGGAGCAAGTGGAAGTTTCTGGTATACAGTAAGCACTCAAGCCATGACCACGGCTAGTACGGGTTGTGCTGCCAGTGGGGACAGCCCTCTTGGGCACTTACCCTTCTTTTCTCGTTACACTGCGTGAGCATGACAATGATCTGGGACTTCTGTTGTAGAACCATCTTCCAAAAGTCATTTCTGGTCTCAGGCAGTGGTCCCTGTGTGGCAATATACTCCTGGGATGAGTTGTATCCCTGAAAGATGAAGTCACCAAGTTGTCACCTAAGGAGCCCCAGTCAACACCAAATGCTGGTCCACATGAAAGAGGAAAACCTGAGAATTTACTGGGGGATGAGCCTGGCAAAGGATCACATACCTGGGTCGTATTCTTTCCCTTTTACATCAAAGAGGTAGTCAGAGTAACAGACCCGTGTAGGTCAGCGTGATTGTAAGCCTTGTTCTCACACCTTTTTAATGAGAACAGCCACTATTTTTGAAGAACAGGGGCTCAGGTGGAGCCCTTTGAGTTGAGTTGCTGAAACCGAAAGCTAAACCCAACACAGATGATCTTTAGTGTAATTATTTACTTTCACTTTCACCAGCTTTTACAAAGAAATCCAAACATTACTCATCTAGGGGCTTTTCCCCCCATTCCTTATTCTGAAGAGGAATAATGGGAAGTGTTCCTGAGAGTCGGGTGGCTAGGTGGAGAATGGCTCTCTTTACAACTGTTGGATGCATCCCCGGAGCCTGCATTGTCCTCCTCTGGCTGAGCTAGAATTTGGATGCCTGGTTAAAAAAAAATTTTTTTTTTACTGTGTTTTACTCACAGGAATGTAGTTGGCATTGATATAGTCCGTGCCTTCCTCTTCATTCATGGAGACTAATCTTACTCGGCTAAAGTCATCTGTAAAGAACGAGAAGAAAAGAAATATTAAAAATGTGAGCAGAAAGAATTGTCTTGACCTTCTCTAACCAAACAGCAAGTCAGATCAGCCCGTGACAGAGTAGGTCGAGTTTATTTTAGCCTGATATTTCAGCCACACCTCAATCTTTGTTTCTTGTTTAAACAAATATAGAAACACATCTCAATCACCGTTTCCTCTCCATCAGCTCCCCTGTGCTTGTCTCAAGCTTGTGGGGTCATTGTCCAGGACATTTAGAGGAACTAAAGTATCTGGTGGGTTGTATGGAAGGCTAGAAGATATAGCCTAAATCCATGAATTCCATGTCACCTAGCACATCCAGAAAATCCACTACCTTTGGGAAATCTAGAGAAGATGGAGTTGCACAGACTTTGTGTAAACAGATTTCAGATGAGAAAAGTACATTCTGGAATGTGTACAGATGAAAAGTGTTATAATGATGACACTATGCAGTTTTATTAAGAAGGCCGATCAAGGAGAAAGTTCTCCTTCTAGAGCTTTTTCAGCTCCCCTCCTCCCCCTTCTCCATTTCTCCCAGCACTACCCGCCCCCCCGACCTCTATCCACTGTGGCAGAGAAGAAAGTTAAATTTATATTGGAATGTATTTTATTTGTCCGTTAAATGCTTCATATTACTTTTTTCTCGAATGTTGCTTTTATTACAAAATGCTAAGCAACAAGAGAACCTACCAGAAGTAAGAAAGAGGAGGCATTTTAGTACATTGCACTCCTTCCCTTGTCAGGGAGTTGACTGAAAATAGTTTATGAGAGCTCAGATTATCTTATCCTAATTTGGCTAAGATTTCTGATCTCTGAAGAGCCAAATGGCCAGTCTTTCCTGATCACCAGACACAATTCAGTTGAAAGCAAAGAAGTTCAGTATTCCTACATAGGATGGTACCCTATGTTATTTAATAACATCAAAGCATGAATGGGACCAATGCAATAGCAGAGATGGCCTTGAGGATCCAGACCGCAGCTGGGCTTGGCCAGAGATTGGGGAAAATGATGAATCTGCAGTAACAGTCTGTCAGCCTTTGAGAGACGTGAACAGGATAGGCTCTAGTGAGAATCTTACACGGTAGGATGTTTGTGTAACGATTTTTACATCGGTTCAGTGGAAGGTCTGCCGCAAAGTGGGGGATGTCCAGTCCAATCAATTTCAACTCCTGTAAATGACAAGAGAATAGAGTTGAGATTTCAGTAGTTGGTGTGGATTGGATTATTGTTCACACTGTATTTTTCCTCACTCCCTGCCTGTAATAGAATTATCACACCCCATCTTCCACACGATGTTCCCGTTGCTCCCTTTTGGGACAGAGTGCACTTCTCCACTCCACTCTTCTCAACTTTCTTTGGCCAATGAACTTGGGTAGCAATCATTCTGATCAGAAGCTTTAAGTGTGCTTGCTCAGTTTGGTTTTCCTTTCATCTGCCATGAAAAGAACATGCTCAGGGAGGCTGCTGGCTCCAGAATGAGGAGATGCTTAGAACAGACCTGACTCTGTCCTACAGACCCTTGAAGGAGGAAAATAAATAAATGTTGTCGCTGCTCATTGAGATTTTGAGATTAACCCTATAGGATGCTTCTATAGCATTATTGCAGGAATAGGGCTAATATAATACATAAATACCCTGGATAGCTTAGTGATCACATGGAGAAGGTAAGAATTATGTGTATCACCCAAGGTATGGAAAATTTGAAAACAGAGACACATTTCAGGTTTTTGGAGGTCTATGTTAACTGAAATGTACACAATATGTGTAAACATTTCTATTCTATGGGGAAATGTAGGTGTTTGTCCTACAGGCAATAGGCCTTAGAGAAAGTAGTAAGAGAGTGAAAACAAGTGGGGAATATTCCCCATGTTACAAGAAGTAAGATCCACAGGCACTAAGTATCTGGTAATAAATTGGAGAGTGAAGATGAATCAGTAGTGGGCAGGCAAACCTTTCAGTGAAAATAGGAACAACCAAATATCTGCCTGTATGTACATATCAGTACTGCTATAAAACCTATAATCCAATTGCATTGGTAGGGCAATTTTTATATAAACAGACAACCATCACACTTCAACAAGATTATGTGATGGGCTAGGGGGGCTTCTAAGTGTTCATCTCATGTGTCTTCTAGGAAACAAGCTGGTATGGTCAGGCCACCTGGATTTCCCAGGAGGTATCATTGATGGTGTGGTCGGTGTGAATAGCTCCCTGGAGTTGGGCAGTGCACAACCAGTGCAGCAGATCTGGTTATGTTCCTGTACAAAGTTCAGGGAAATACTAGTAAACAGCATATACAGCCATCTACAGATGGAATGATCTATAGAGTACGCACTTCTCTGTGAGACTACTAGCTGAGGCTGTAATTGTTTTTACTCAGATAGGACATTAATGTTGTGCTCACATTTCACTCTTCATAATTCCTCCCAATTTTTACTCCATCGAATCATAATCGAGAGGAATACATAGCTGGGGTTAGGGTTTGGGAGCATCTTTGAAAGACTTTTTTTTTTTTTTTTTTTAAGATTTTATTTATTTGACAGAGAGAAAGACAGCCAGAGAGGGAACACAAGCAGGGGGAGTGGGAGAGGGAGAAGCAGGCTCCTGGCCGAGCAGGGAGCCCAATGCGGGGCTCGATCCCAGGACCCTGGGATCATGACCGGAGCCGAAGGCAGACGCTTAACGACTGAGCCACCCAGGTGCCCCTCTTTGAAAGACTTTTGAAGGGGGCTGGAGACATTGGTGATGTTTTGAGAGACCAAACAGGCACATCTCTTTCATGGCCTTTCTAACTTGATATAAGCATTCTTTGCAAAGCATATGTTTTAAAGAGACCAAGTTCTTGAGTCTTCTCTTGTTTCCACATAGAAGTTCCTTGACAACTAACTGGGATGCAACGCTGTGGTCCACACGGATGGACTCACTCGAATCACTCAGATCTCTCTCCTCCTTCCATTCTGCAACACTTTGGGCTTTTTAAGATCATGAAATCCCAAGCTCTGGGGCCCAAGTGGAAGCCAACCTTAAAGACAAGCTATGCTGACTTTGATCCTCAATTCACAAAGGGAGTTTTTCTGTTTCAGGCAAAATCCTTGCTTGCTAAATGCCTTTAACCAGAAGCATGTCACTGTCACTTTATAAGTGGTTTTTTCGTTTGAAAGGGTTTTCAAAGACTGACTACATTGTTCTTATAAGTAACAAAGTTTATTTTTAGCAAACTTCAACCAAATCAGTGTTATTTTTAGGTTAGTTCCTCTTGGAAGCTAGACGCTAATTTAAATGATGCTCCCATTGCTTAAAATATTTTGGAAGTCTACCTCCTTTAGAGAGTGTCTCTAGAGATAGTTGGTCAAAACATCTGGCTTCTTTTGGTGTACCACTCCTTAACTGTAGGGTCTTGGAAAAGTAGTTCAACTCTTGGTAACATCAGTTTAGTTATCTGTAAGATAAGGCTAACAACATTTCCATCCCTCAGTCACGTATAGTGACCCTCCAAGGGAACGATTAAACTCAACAAATATGAATACAGCACTATTGATGATGGCGATGAAATGCTTCTGTTCGGATTCTTTGTTTTGCTTTGCCTGGATGCATAACTTCTCCCTCCTCTGCCATTGGCACTAACAGACCGACAACTTTCCCCACAAATGCCCCGCTTTGAGGACAGACTGAGGAGCCACAGGAAGAGGCCTCGGTGATGAAAGAAAAGTGTGGAAACAGATTGGAGCTGGGAGCTGGAGCACATATGGAAGCTGACTAACTGACAGAACTTTAATTGTGTGTTGCCTCCCTGCTGTAAATGCCCTAAGCTGATAAGAGAGGTTTAACTGGCTGAACACTGTAAACATAAATTGCCAAGGCTGAACCACGGCAGAGCGGGAACGGCGGATGTACACAAAATGCTCTGCAATCTTTTGTAATTTAGCCTGTCGCTCAGTGGAAAATCAAATACTAAGTTTCCGGATCAGTAGTTTTGCAGTTGTTCTCTTTCCAGCCATATGGAAACTCCAGAGGCTTAAATCTTCATAAAGGCAAAGGACGAGGTGATGGCCTGAAACTGACATAAATCATTTTTGAATTTTCAGTTTTGTTTCTATTATGATTTATCACTCTGTGTGTTTTTCCCTGGGCCACGGAGTCATCCACAGCGGGATGAGTGGTGGCTCCCCCAAAGATGTGTCCACATGCTAACCCGCAGAACCTGTGAATGTGGCCTTATTAAAAAAGAGGCTTTGCAGATGTAATTAAGTTAAGGATCATAAGATGAGATTATTCTGTATTATCTGGGTGGGTCCTGTATCTAAGAACACGTGTCTTTCTAAGAGAGAGAAGAGAAGGCCATATAAAGACAGAGAAATAGATTGGAGTCATGCAGCTGTAAGCCAGGAGCACCTGGAGCCTCCAGAAGCTGGAGGAAGCAAAGAAGCATTCTCCCCTAGAGCCTTCAAAGGAAACATGGCCCTGATAACATTGATTTTGGACTTCCGGGCTCTAGAATTCTGCGAGAATAAATTTCTGTTGTTTTAAGTGACCAAGACTGTGGTAATTTGTTTCGGCAGCCCTAGAAATCTAATACAGTCCCCAAAGCCCAGTGGCAGTCTACGTTGGGTTGGCTGAGTTTGAAGCATGCAAGTCGGGGAAAGCAAAGCACAAACATATGCACTGCGTCAGTCTGTTCAGGCTGCCATTGCAAAACTCCATAGACTGGGTGGTTTAAACAATGGAAATGTATTCCTCACAGCTGTGGAGGCTGGGCAGGCTAAGATCAACGTGCCGACAAGGTAGACGTCATTCTGGGGCTTCTCTTGGCCTGCCTGTGACCATCGTCTTGCTGTGTGCTCACGTGACCTTTCTTGTCTAGCCCTACTTACCTTCCCAAGCCTCCATCTCATCAGCATACCAATTTTGGGAGGACACAGGCAGCCCATAACATGCACAGTCATCTTTTGAGAAGAGTGCAAACTCTAGTCTGGCTCTAGAGTCTGTAACAATGTCAGCAGGGGCTAAGTATTTGGGACAGGTTGGACATCAGAGTCAGGCGGGTTCGATTACTAGACTATGGAACAAGTGAGGAGACACGACGTCACCAGCGGTGTTGACAGTAGAGGTGCCAAGTGTGGCAGGGTACAAGGCTCGGTGGAATTGGGCCAGGTCTGGCTCGTTTTCAGGAAAACCCTAAAGGAGGTGGGATTTAGAAGAGGTGTTTAGTGAGGCTCTGTATTCATTTCTGAGGGCTGCCGTAACAAAGCACCACAAGCTGGGGGGCTTCGAGCAACAGAAATTCATTGTCTTACAGTTCTGGAGGCTATATGTCTGAAATTGAGGTGCTAGCAGGGACTTCTGACGTCTGTCACTTATAGAGGAATATCAGGGCATCCTTCCCGCCTCTTCCTAGCGTCTGTGGTTTGCTGGCAACCTTTGGTATTCCGTCACTTGCAGCTCTATAACTCCGATCTCTGCCTTTGTCACCACATGGTGTTCTCCCTGTTCGTCTCTGTGTCTTCGCACAGCTGTGTTTCCATAGGGACACCAGTCAGACTCAGAGCCCACGCCACTCCAGTATGACCTCATCTTAACTAATTACATCTGCAATGACCCTGTTTCCAAATAAGGTCATATTCTGAGGTACTGAGTGCTTAGGGCTTCAACATATCTTTTGAGGGATACAATTCAACCCAGGACAGGTACTCTAAAGGAAGAATGGGGTGCAGTAATAATGGGCATCTTGGGGAGGTGATGGAGGACTGGAGGAGAAGGGCACCAACCTCAGGGGAGTCTAGCAGGGGCTGGCAGGGCCCTGGCCCACTAGGACGGGATTGAGGGGCCACACTCCAGCTGCTGGACAGATCGCTAGTATAGACACCTAGAAACAGAGACCCAAACTAGAAGAGGAGGGAAAACTCAGGTCTGGGAACCAAGCAAGACCCCCGGAGTAAGCACTGTTGGAGAGAGTTCAAGGTGACTTCTTTCAACAAAGGCTGCAGGCAGGTCTCCAGCGAACTGGACTGGAACACGAGTAAAAGGAGCTGCCAATGGGAGCTACTAGCAGAAATCAAGGCTCATCTCTCATGAACTACGTGGCAAGGAATACAGTCCCTTTTGGCATCTGCAGCCACGTTTCTGAACAAAGATGGTGAGAGCTTTCATTAGCCTCCTGATCAAACTAATACAAAACATAGAGATTAATGGCAGAATGAGCAATATATGGTATATCTCGTGGGCTCTCCAATTTCAAGCTCTAAAGTCTGGCTCTTCAAAACCTTTCCATATGAGACATACAAAATGAGGAACTGAATCTAATCCCTGAGTCCCAAACCTCCTTAAGAAAAGATGCACATTTTCATCAGAAGGATAATCAATCTTTCCAGCAGATCCAAAATCAGATGCAGAGTGAAAAAGGGATGTATTTAGTGAGTGCAAATTAGCAAATCATAGAGCTTCATGTATGACTTACAGCTGTATCGGTAATATATGTAAATCCAGACATTAGTTTCAATTTGCATAATGCTTATAAATGATGTAATGTCTCAGTATGAGTGTGATCTTTCAATGTCAGTATCAAAATGAAGACAAGTATTAAGCATTCATATAAACAGAACAAATAACTGTTCAGCTACTGAATTTAGCTAGACCAGCTGATTGGGCCATTTTGATACCCTCTTGGGTTCTTATTAGAGCAGGAAACCTTTTTTTTTTTTCCCTTAAGTTTCGATTAATTACCAACTTCAGGAAAATTTGATGGCTGCCATGTGAAAGGTCTGACATACATCATAAAATCAGGTATGAGTGTGAGTCTTTGAAAACAGATGAGGGTACCGGGACATGGAACCTGAGGGAGTGGAGGCAGGGGGTCGGGGGTGTTGTTGGAGGCTGGTGGTGCCTGAGGGCTGGTGAACAAAAAGGGAAGTGAGTCACACCCATGGGTCACTGCTTGGGCAAATGTTAAAAAGTACAGTCTGAGCCTATGACTTAAAGCAGACTTCTGGAGAATAATTTATATTTTCTCACCAGAGCAGGGATACAATATCAGGACTCGGCACCAAATAAATTACATATAGGATCAACAACGTTCTAAGAACAAAGAAAGATGAAGAAAAGCTTCAGAATAAATAAAGATACTAAATGCTCCTTCAAATCATGGTGTGACGGGTAATTTTATGTGTCAGCTTGGTGAGCCTAGATAGTGCTTAGTCAAACATCAATCTAGATGTTGCAAGAAGGGTTTTTTTTTAGATGTGATTAACAAAGCAGATTACTCTCCATAATGTTGGTGGGCCTGATCCATCAGGTGAAGACCCTAAGAGAAATGACTGAGGTGCCCTGAGGAGGAAGACATTCTGCTTCCTGGTTGCTTTTGGATTGAGCAGCAACATCAATTTTTCCCTGGGTCCAGAGTCTGCCCTGCAGTTTTCAGACTTGTGAGCTCTCACGACTGTGTGAGCTCGTTCCTTCAAATAAGACTGTCTCTTGGGTGCCTGGGTGGCTCAGTCGTTAAGCGTCTGCCTTCGGCTCAGGTCATGATCCCAGGGTCCTGGGATCGAGTCTTGCATCGGGCTCCCTGCTCGGCAGGAAGCCCGCTTCTCCCTCTCCTACTCCCCCTGCTTGTGTTCCTGCTCTCGCTATCTCTCTGTCAAATAAATAAATAAAATCTAAAAAAAAAAAATAATAAATAAGACTGTCTCTTTATATATATATTTCTTCAATTATATTATAGTATATAGGCTATGCATCTTATAATAATTACATAAGAATTTTATAATTATATAAGAAATATATAATGTAATGAACTTATGGATGAATTATATGATTACATTATATTGTATTAGTGTTTATACATGTATATATTTCCTATTGGTCTGTTTCTCTGGAGAATTCTAATACACGTGAGTTAGAAAGCTTGGATGTACCCTCGTCCCACATTTAGTCCAGGGTCTCTCAATGGAACACTATTGGCCTGGAACAATTCTTTATTGTGCAGGACTGTCCTACTCATCACAGAACATTTCTCATCCCTGTCCCTTTCTCCGTTGAATATCACTAGTAGCTTCTTCCCAAGGCATTATGAGAACCAAAAATACTCCCACATACTCCCAAACTTTCCCTAGGGGACTTCCTGGTCCTGGCCCCGTTGAGAACTACTGATTTAGTTCAGCCTACTCATTGGATGAACAAATTGAGGGGATGAGAAATTGTGGCTTTTTTCCAATATTGATTAAAGGCAAAATGGTCATGATAACTAAGGGTTTGGGATATGTTTTCAAAGACTCATACCCATACCTGATTTTAGGATGTATGTCAGACCTTTAGTACAATCCTACCTCCTTTATAATTCTTTTGGAATAAGCCTGAATGTGTTCATTTATATATTGAATGTACAAAAGCTTTCAACATGCTATAAATTAAACATTTAGCACATAGAATTTATTACCCTACATTTCATATTTTTGAAGCATCTGAAGCTTCAAATCATTTATTGATTTGGTTCTCCAGTATCCTTCCTTTTTTGGGGAATAGTGCTCCCCATTGATTTAGCCAAGCGGTTCTAGTAAGAACTGTCCTGTTCCTATGTGAGTCTGCTCTCTCGGGCTGCAGTTGGCTTGAGAGGATGTCACAACGCAGGCCTGCAATCAGTATCCTCTCCTGTTAATTTTTAAACTCTGATTAAGAAAGAGAGTCAACAGTTCCCTTTGGAAACTGTGGAAACTCTCAGATGTGATGCTTGGGGGTTGTGGGTGGTAGTGTTTTCCACTGTGAGAATGAGGTTGGTTTGCAGCGAAAGAGAGAGAGAGGCCAAGACAGAGAGAGAAGCAGAAATGAGAAAAAAAAAAAAAAAAAAAAAAAAGAGCGGGTCTCTGCAGGGGTGTGGCCCCTGGTTCCAATCATTCCTGACACTGAGCTGCTCCCTTTCCTTCCTCTGGTTTAGCTCTGATTATAAGATTCCTTTGGTTAGATGAGATATCTCAGCATCCTTTGAACAAATGCCCTCTCTCTTTGGTCTAAACTAGTCTGAATGGTGTGTCATTGACAACTAAAATCATCTTCTCTTTTTACCAAAAAATGGCTCACTGAATTTTCTTTATGATGATGCACTTCAGAAGCACAGTAATAATCACACTGGGGCTTGATGGAATAAGCTGGGAGGTACTCCTAACCTTCCCAGCGAGGGCAATGATGCTAACTGTGTCACCAAGGTGACATCATCACGTAGGGATGAAGAGCTGGAGGCTTCAATGAATTTGAAAGTGTATGTACATCATAATTTTCATCACCATTATCAGAGTTATCCAGACATTTATTTTCTGCCTGAGTTTTGGTTTATGTGTTCTTAAAGAAAATCTCCTTTGTTTTTTTCTTCCTGAAATGCCATCCTTGTCAGAGATCTCCAGTTCACACCAAAGTTCTATTCTTTGAGGTATAGTATTTGGTGTCACATCTACAACTTCTTGCACACTTGCATGTAATGGATAACAGAGCCGGCTCTGTGTGGAATTTCTGATGACCACAGGTGGGTAGTATTAGGGGGCCTTGTATTTGATCATGAGTAAAGTTCTTCTCATCCTTAAATTCCCTCTTAGGTATCCACACCAGGACTCCTGCTGCTTCTTGCAGACCTAAGATATCCTCAGCTGATGAGGGGAAAGAAGAAATGAATATGAATAATGAGGGCAAAGCGGCTACATTCGACAACCTGGTGTTTCACACGGAAGAGCTCCTAAGACCTTTAAGAAAACATTGCCGTATTTAGAAGAGTCACTTGATCTCTTTCTTTTCCCTGGTTTCCTTGAATCATGGACCACCTGAGCCTTGCTGTAGGAACCTCAAAGATGAGGCCACCCAGACTGTCTGAGCTGTGAAATATATGGGAAGAAAACCTGAGGACCAGTTACACTGCTGAGATCTGAGGCTGACTCATTTCCACCTACTCTGACACATGGTCTTGGACTCAAAGGATATGCGTATTTCAGAGAAAGGAGGTGTTGCCATTTTTTTTTTCCTCCTTCCACATGAACCAGGTATAACTCTCTCCCTAATTTCCCCCCAAAAAAGTAAAGGAAATTGCACAAGGAGATATGAAGCAGAATGCCAGGAGTCCTACAGCTGTGAGAGCCCACCCCCACCCCACCCAGGCTCTTCTCTGTCCAGAAGAGAAAGGGGACCTGTTTCATCCACCACCCCCTTATTGTGGCCTCAGTGACATAAGAGACACACTAAAAATTCCCTGAAAGTGAAATTCTTTTCCGACCTAAATCCTCACCTTGCTTTCCTCCCCGCACACTCGATTGCATTGATGTTCAGTGATGATTTCTCCTGGGATTGTGGTTGTTCACCCCACTACCCGCATTTGTTCTCTCTTTTCCTCCAGTGGAGCCACCCTAGTCCTGACCTGCAAAGGGTGCACGTCCTCACTCTGCATCAGCTGATGAGACATGCCCATCACAGTTACCACACTGCCCATTATGAACCGTATCGCAAGCCCTGCCCAGTGAGCAGGGAAATGACACCAGTCCCAATCTGGCAAGTCCCATGCCTCATCTACCACAGAAGGTAGGAAATACTTGATCTACTCACCTCAAATTGAAGAGAAAATTTATAGTCAGAGTCTTTGGCCATATCCTTGATGTAGGCGTCAAAGTCATCCAGTTGAACTGGGCTTTACCAAACACAAAGAAATGTATGTTTCAGAAATCTGGTTGACAGGTATCTATACTGTTTAATGTCATAGTTTTCAAACATGAATGATTTTCTTGGAGAAAAAAGCAAGCTTTACTGCTCCAGGGTCAGCATTCATCTTTTTGTTGTTGCTGTTAAAGTTATCAGTCCCTAATATGTTGTGATTAAAAAGAGGGCCTTATGTATTATACTTCCTTGAGATGGGAGAGAGCTCTAGGTTTTCAGTCAGCTCTTACTCTAGCAATAAAATATTATATACATGGGACGCCTGAGTGGCTCAGTCGGTCCAGCGTCTGCCTTCGGCTCAGGCCATGATCTCAGGGTCCTGGGATCAAGTCCCACATCAGGCTCCTTGCTCAGTGGGGAGCCTGCTTCTCCCTCTGCCTGCCGCTCCCCCTGCTTGTGCTCACTCTCTTTGACAAATAAATAAAATCTTAAAAAATATTATATATATATATGCATGCTTACATACATACATGTATATATGTTGTTTCTGGAAAATTCTGATTTATGGGAAAGAACAAAGGATTAGAGTCTGAAGAACTGTTTGAGATATGGTTTTATTTTATTTACTGTGTGACCATGGGAAATTGCTCTAACTCTTGTGAGATTCAACATTGTCATCTATAAAATATTATGGTCATACTAGCCTACATACATACATGCTAGCTACACTGTCTCCTCAGAGCAGAGGCAGGGTCGGTGTGATGAAGCACATATCCAGAAAGCTTCTAGAGCCTCACTCTTAAAGAGCCATGTTTGTGTATCTATAAAAGTATCAAAAAGTTTCAAAGGTACAATCAAGTAACGCATCTGAGCTTATGTTTCTGTATCTATACCTGAAGTTCTCACCTCTTTCCTTCTTCTTTTCATGAATAAGAATTATATTTTAGGGTGCCCGGGTGGCCAGTTGGTTAAGCGTCTGCCTTCAGCTCAGTATCATGATCCCAGGGTCCTGGGATCGAGTCCCAAGTCAGACTTCCTGCTCAGTGGGGAGTCTGTTTCCCCCTCCATCCCTCCCCCCTGCTCATGATCTCCCTCCCTCCTTCCCTCCCTCCCTCTCTCTCTCTCTCTCTCTCGGATAAATAAATAAAATCTTAAAAAAATTATATTTTATTTCCTACAGTTTTCTGTAGCTGCTTATCCTTCCCAGAGTTTACCTATACCAACCTGCTCCCTAAGCTTCTACAAGATGCTCTGCTCTGGCATCTAATCCAAGCCTTTCCACTTTGGCAGGATCCACACAGTGACCTTTCCCTTAGTCTTGCTACAAATTACTCAGCTTATATCATCTACCTGTGGCCTTATGTCCTATTAGCAAATACATAGTATTATTAATAGTTACTTGTTTAAAGTTGTTGATTAGCCAATCCCATAGATTCTGTTAAGATTTTAGTAGAATTTAAAGGGCATTATACCTCCCAGAGGTACACTTGAATTCCAGTGGTTTCACTTAATAGCATTAATGACTCGTATCCATAAAACACACTGCAGTGCATACATATTCGCATATGTTATATTGCTCGGTTGATCCCTGAAGGAGACCCGGGCAACATCAACCCCATGCTTCAAGTGAGACAGCCAAGGCTAAGAGTCCGTTGAATAGTCCAAGATTACGTGGCTACTCAGCAGTAGAATGATGACGAGCACCTGGGAGAATGATTTCTGGTTAAAAGCTATTCCCTGGGCACCTGGGTGGCTCAGTTGGTTAAGCGACTGCCTTCAGCTCAGGTCATGATCCCAGAGTCCTGGGATCGAGTCCCGCATCGGGCTCCCAGCTCGGTGGGGAGCCTGCTTCTCCCTCTGACCCTATCCCCTCTCATGCTGTTTCTCTCTCTTTCTCTCTCTCAAATAAATAAATAAAATCTTTAAAAAAAAATAAAAGCTATTCCCACATCAAACTTGCCATCCTTCCAAAAGAATGGCTAAACGTGGGGCTCCTATCCTAGAAGGAACTCTGTTAGACCTGCCCTCTCCGACTGTTGTCTCTGAGCAGGGCTTTGACCTTAACGTTGGATTGAATGATTCCAGTTTTCATCCCATTACCAGAAGAAAGGAAGCACGAATAGGAAAGGCAATCTGAGAAAATATTTATGGGTTAGAAAAAGCAAAAGGAAAAGAGAGACAGAGGAAGGGCCAGGAAACAGAAGAATGAACATCAGGGAGAGGAGGAGGATGGTAAGGAGTAGCAAAAGCAAGCTGGGAGGGAGTAAAGATCGAGAGGATAAAGGTTTAGAGGGAAAAGGGAGAAGAGAAGGTGGAGCAAACGAGGGGTGAAATGAGAATAGGTACAGATAGGAAAGGGGAGCCACGGGGACACGGTGTGGAGTGGGAGGGGGCGGCTTTGGGAGGTAAAGAGAAAGAGTAAAGAGAAAGCAAATGGAAATGTGGGCAGGGGAGCCCCCTCAAGAACTGGCTTTTAGAGAAGGAAGGAGAATTAGAAAGAAAACGAGAAGGGAAGAGGAAGCTGGTTTCTTAGTGGTCTCTGCCACCCATATGCGTAAACACACCCACACATAATAGTTTAGCTGTTGAAATATACACCTGCCCTCTTTTTTTAAGTTTTATTTATTTATTTATTTATTTATTTATTTATTTATTTATTTATTTATTTATTTATAAATATTTTACTTATTTATTTGACAGAGAGCGAGAGAGGGAACACAAGCTGGGGGAGTGGGAGAGGGAGAAGCAGGTTTCCTGCTGAGCAGGGAGCCCGATGTGGGACTTGATCCCAGGACCCAGGGATCATGACCTGAGCCGAAGGCAGACGCTTAACGACTGAGCCACCCAGGCGCCCCTAAGTTTTATTTATTTAAGTAATCTCTACACCCAACGTGGGGCTTGAACTCATGACCCTGAGATCAAGAGTCTCATGCTCCTCCGACTGAGCCAGCCAGGTGCCCCTACATTTGCCTCTTTCTTAAGCATCCCTTCCATTTGAAAATAAGCAATCTTTTTTTTTTTAAGATTATTCATTTATTTATTTGAGAGAGAGAGAATGAGAGAGAGCACATGAGAGGGGGGAGGATCAGAGGGAGAAGCAGACTCCCTGCCGAGCAGGGAGCCCGATGCGGGACTCGATCCAGGGACTCCAGGATCATGACCTGAGCCGAAGGCAGTCGCTTAACCAACTGAGCCACCCAGGCGCCCAACAAGCAATCATTTTAATAGGCAAAGTGAAGATCATTATGAAGAACTTTTTTTAAATTAAACATTTTAAAAAGAAATATAAGAAAAACTTTCTGTATTATATACTTCAAAGTTTCTAAGACTAATCTTTAATATTTTCACCACAAAAAGAAACAATAATTATGTGACAGGATAGAGTTGTTGCCTAAATTTTATGGTGGGAATCATACTGCATTATATCAGTGTATTAAATCAACACATTGCACACCTTAAACTTACACAATGTTATAGGTCAGTTATATCTCAACAATAAAAAACAACTTACTTAGTCAGTTTCCTCTTCTTTAAACCATTTTTACTCCTGAGAATTAAAAAAAAAAAAAAGACAGCTTTATCTGGGCAGAAGAATCGATTGACATAATGATGAAACTTGAAGAGCTTTAAATAATTACATCAGGCACCTCAATTTTATTTAATTTTCATTAAACATACCTCCAGTTTGTTTAATTACTTTTCCTTAAATGAGAAGATAATGGTAATAATTTCAGATTCACTTCTTAAAAAGTCTATTAGATTACAAGAACATACTTGTACTTTACATTTTGGATTTGCCAAATACTAAATTCTAGAAATATAATCTCTTGCTACTAGTGGTTAAGCTGCTGAAGTATTTTATAAATATACAGAAATATCTGTTGCCTGAAAACTCTAGGATCTATAGGCAAGAAGAAAAGATTTGGGGAATAAAAGGGGAGAACGAAGTATCTGGGAGGGTGGATATGTTGGTTGTCAAAGACTCGAAGACTCAAAGCATCTTCCCTGGGAATGTGAGTTTGTGCTAAGAGTGTTGGCATGTATCTTTTTTTTTAAGATTTTATTTATTTATTTGACAGAGAGAGAGCCAGAGTGCACAAGCATGGGAAACAGTAAAGGGAGCGGGAGAAGCACGATCCCTAATGAGCAGGGAGCCCGGATGCCGGACTTGATCCCAGGACCCTGGGATCATGACCCGAGCCGAAGGCAGATGCTGAACCAATTGAGCCACCCAGGTGCCCCTCTTTTTTTTTTTTTTTTTAAGATTTATTTATTTATTTGAGAGAGAGAGAGTATTGCAAGCAGGAGGGGCAGAGGGAGAGGCAGAGAAAATCTCAAGCAGACTCTGTGCTGAGCACAGAGCCCAATGCGGGGCTCGATCTCATAATCCTAAGATCATGACCTGAGTTGAAACGAAGAGTTGGATGCTTAACTGACGGTGCCACCCAGGTGCCCTGGAGTGTGTCTTATAGAATTCTATTATGGCATTGTTCTTATTCAATTTTGAACTAGTTTTTTAAGCTATCTGAAGAATTGTACCTATTACTAGTTCTTAATTCATTACTATTCTGTAAGCTCAAACACATGTAATGCTAATATATGTTACAGTTAATTACATTTTTAGGGGGTATTTAGGGTAATTGTTTTCAACCAACAAATAAGGTAACTGACCTAAGTTAGTGAATGAGATTATGGTCTCTGCTGAAACACTTCATTACTGTATTTTTATTGTTTTATATAAATGATAAATATTGATACGATTGTGAGTGACAATTTTTACAAATAGTTTCCCAAAGTCTTTAAATATTGATGGAAGCACACAAACTTTCAGAAAATAAACCATCTGTAGTAAATAACCAGTGTGATCTGAGTGCTCTCATGTGCCAGAATATTTATTTATATTAAAAATTGTGGAGGCGACTGGGTGGCTCAGTCGCTTAAGGCACTCAACTCTTGCTTTCGGCTCAGGTCGTGATCTCAGGGTCGTAGGATCAAGCCCCCATTTGGGCTCCGTGCTCAGCTCAGTCTGCTTGAGAGTGTCTCCCCCCAACCCCCGCTTGCGCTCGTTCTCTCTAAATAAATAAATAAAATCTTAAAAAAAATAAAAATTAGAATTGTGAATATCCGGGTACCTTCATTTCTAGAAAGGCTGTAGCAGAATGAAGCACTGCTTCCTCTGTGCTCTCATAGCACTTTGTTCATGGAATGTTTCTCCTGGTATATCCATCAGTTGCTTCTGTGCTCCTTGCTACACAGTCCTTCCCACCCCCTGCCCACCCCCCCCAGAGCTGAGCATAGTTAATAGGACACATGGTGGTGCTCAATAAATGCTTAGTGAATTGGGTTGAAACAAAACACGTTTGCCATGTTGCCCCCACAATTTTACTTAATGATTCAATGAGGAGTTTGATAACAGACTCAGGAAGTGGAACTGGTGGATGGACAGGAAGTTACGAGGGCAGGGAATACAGGGAAATATCCATTAAGGCAAGAGGTGTTTCGGTTTTCATTTCCTGGTTTCAGTTTTTACTTCAGTTTTACTTCTTCCTACTTCTGAGTGATGACAGTCCACTCAATAGCTCCCTTCTTATTTGTTCTCCCTCATCCTCTGTCCTCCATGTTTGAGATTTAGAGGGAATAGACATTCCGGTTTTTACTTTGCTTCTCCCTCACCCCCTCAAAACACCACTGTAATGTTGGACAGGGCTGTATCATCTAGGCATTTGGGAACCTAAAAGAACATCTCTTGAATAATTTTTACTCAGCTCTTGTGGGGGTAATGTAGTTAACTTTAGGAATGCCACATTCACTTTGCATCGTGGGAGCTGATGATGGTGCTTTTTGACAGAGGAATGTTCGCTAAGATAACAGTTTGGTGAAGTCAGGAGGCTGCCAACATATTTTGTGATTGGGAGTGGGAAAAAAAAACAAAACAAAAAACACCAAACCAAATCTTTCCTATCCAAACAGACTTTAAGGGAAACTGGGAAGAAACAAATGTATGTGGGAGAGTAACACTGAATAAATTCAGTGCTGAAATATTAAGCTGCTACTATTCAACAGCTGTGTAGAAACCTGATTACTGGAAGACAGGCACTTTTTTTCTTTCATTCTCATTCATTGATTGAATGAACTTTACATAGAATGTAAAATTCCACCACATGTTTTCAATGACTTATTGCCAAAAGTGTATGTTTAAGTGTATGTCTTCATGATTTGTATACAACCTTTATGTTCTGCTTAGATTTTGCAGAATTGATTCCAAGGAGTTCTCACATCTGTAGGCTGTGGGACAAGGACAGGACTGAATTATGAGACTCCACAGCCACACGGATGGAATTTTCCTACGTTTTCAATTGCTGTACTAATTCTAAGACGAAAATCAGGGGACATTTCACTTTTAAACATGTAAGTGGAGGTTCCGCCAGCCCTTTGGTTGTCAGTGCATTATGGAAAGAGCTAATGTGTGCGCCTGTTACCATGAACATTTGAGGTGATGTGTAGGGTGTCATCTTGTCATTGCAAAAGATTTTTTGAGTAACTGATAACACTCAACAGACAAACAGTATATATGCATACATGACCATGCACATCTTCCAATTTTCTCTTTTACTTATATCAGTTAGGTAAGGTTCAAAATCCTATTGACTTCAAGAAGTTAAGATGCATAAGTTCTTCATGGTTATGAGATCTTGGGAAGCCAGCCAGACTGGAATTCATTGTGAAAAGGAATATGAAAAGAGGCAATGGCAGAAGCATGGGATTTACAAAGACTAAAAACAAACAAAACCCCCCTGAAACAACCCCCAATACTCTAAATGTCCCCAATTTCATAAGCGCCACTTACTCTTTCATGAGCTAGCTGGAGATCATCCCCAAATCTTAAAAAGGCATTTAGAGTTATATCATCCTCTGAATAAAATATGCAATAACCAGGAGGAAAGCTGAGCAGTTTAAACTAAATGTTGCTTCACGCTTAAAATGACAACTCTTGCAGATTTCGAGCAGGCAGATGAATACTTGAGCAGAGCATGAGGTGAGTACGGTGTTAATAAAAAGAGTAGTAACAATGAATCCAGATAGAGCTGGTCCGAATGAAATGGTTTTCTCTGATTAGGAAACCTGATCTGAGATGATGGTAACCAGAAATCCTGGCAGAATACCATCTTGAGACTAAGCCACCTGGGCACTGGTGATCGGCTCTGGTTTTGCTATCGTCCTGGGAGAAGATTCGAGCAACACTATGAGAGAGAAAGAGTCTCCTGGTTTCCACACGAACCACTCACCAGGAAGATTTTACAAAATTAACGGGAACATCTATTCCCCTGAACTTGGCAATTCAGAGAAGAAACCAGGCCGTGTGTGAGGAAGGAGGTAGGGTGGGCGGCTCTGTTATTTCTAGTGGTTGTTAACAGACTAGGTGAGCTATGAAGACAAACACATCTGGAGGAGGATTAAAAATGGCTATCTGCAAATGAAAGCAGGGGAAAACATCCACGAGTTACTAGATGAAGAGAAAAGTAGCAAACAGTAGGGACCTCGGGTGGCTTTGTGAGTGCTAAGCTAGCTGTACCTGAAAAAAAGCAAGGATCATGTATTTCACTTCTGTTATATCTGACCTAGCACAAGCCTAGGGCGGAAAACAGAGTTTATGTTCAGTCTATTCTCATTGGTTGATAAGCGTATGGTTTACCGAAAGTGACAGAAACCCTGGGGCTCTATGTTTTGCCTTCTCTTCGCAGCTGGAGATAACCATTTACATCTCAAGACAATTCTTCTAAAAAAGACTGAAGCGTTTTTTAAAAACAAACAAACAAACAAAACCCCAAAACAAAAAACAAACAAACACAACTACTGAAGGGTTTTTTCCCCCCTGACTTGGGTCTCATGCTATTTGATCAATACTATAAATAGCAGACCTTGAAGGAGTTGTTGGAATTTGAAGATGTGATTCATCAGGGGGACCCAGTAAGAAATACATGCAAAAAAAGCACAGCCCTGATATGAGCTTAGAAACCAAACTGTGGGAAAGTCAGAGAATTAAGCAGAAAAATTAATACGATACTATATGTATCTTTCTTTCTTCTGTTTGAATTGAGATCTATGGCGGGTACTTTAAGGGTATTGGGTACAAGTATTCTGATGATAGGTAGAATACTTGAGAATGATTAGTAGATGTTGAGTGAAAAGTGATGCATATTTTGAAGGTCAAAATGGAATATATATGCACTACTCATACCTGAATACTATCTGATGTTAAATACTTAAAATATTGTGTTGGCTATGGTGAAGCCCTATACTCAAAACTGTTATTAAAACCAACTTGGAATAACAGCGAATGGGTCCTTATCATCCGAGACATTCTTGTGGGTTCATTACTTAACACCTCAGTGTCTACCATGTTTCAACAGTTTTCCTCTAGTCTTTCTTTAAAACAAACAAACAAAAAACCCCAAAACAACCCCATTGCTGGTATTAATCTCTACTGGTATTAATCTCTACTGTGAGAAAGTCCTTTCTGGTATTTCTTCCATTGCAACCTGAAGTCCTAACCTTGCCAACTGTATTTATTCTGTCCTTGGAGGAGCTGAAGAACATTTGATCAACTGTCTTTTTGAATAAATAACTCTACAGATTGCTTTTCGTCTTTCACTCTTCCCCTCACTCTCCCCACTCAAGTGCCATTTTTCCAGTTCATGAACTATCTTTATTGTTTTTTCTGAGTTCTGAAGTTGTCCATATATCTGAATCTGTCTGTACATAATTTAGTACCTAAGCACCTTGGATTTTTCAGGACAATGATGTTTTGTTTTTGGTCAGGAAACCACTACCTTTTTTCCTGCTGCTCAGGAAAGGAAATAGTCCTTCTAGATATGTTAGTCCCAGATTTCAAAATTATTGTTATTAGATTTTATACAAGCTGAAAAGGATACTCTCTGAGATTTGGTTATTAAAATGATTTAAAAGTTAAGAAAAGGAGAATTTAAAGGAAGCTGCTTTTTACAGAGGAAAGAATAGATTTTGGAGACACCTGGGGTTGGAACCTGGATTTTCTATAGAGTAGTATGATGTTAATATAATCTCCTTAAGCCTCTATTTCCATGTTTCTAGGATGGGGCTCTGCAGAGTTGTGGGGACAATTAAATAAGATAATTATACAAAGAGGCTTGCACTTAGTTGTTCAATATTCATTGAGTTAGCACTACTGTGAAAACACTAACACCTCAAACACAGCGTACAGTATTCTGGGCTTCTCTACCTGAAAGCATTTCTTCCTTCTTGGAAATATGGAGCTCTCTAATGGATGGAGATAGTAAGGAAAATGGGAAGCATCATTTACAAAGATGAGAAGCCAATGCATTGACTGAATGAAGAAACAAATGACTAGTAATTCATGGAAGAAAAGCTTGCCAAGAACATCCCAAGAAGAAAATTTTAATTGGAAAAACATTATACTTAGTTAGCATCTTGGTACCATGAACTATTTTAATCCATTTCAATACCTGATCAATAATTTTAGAGGTTGCCCAAACACATCAGATAATTAAAGAGAATTTTTCCTTTTGGTTTTACTTCTGGAGAGCTAACCTTATAGACTTTTTGTTAGGTAAACAGTAAAAAAAAAAAAAAAATCACTTACCAAGGATTAATATAAAATGCCAAAAGATAATCAGTCCAAAGACATGAGGGTAGCAGGGTTAAGAAAGCAAATATACTCCTACGCCTGTGAGCATTAATAGATATAACAGATGTAAAGATGAAAAAGTGGCAAGAGTTAGTAACATAAACTGTGAACAGATATCAGTAAATTACCTACTGGGATCAATTAAAATGACAAGCATCTTAATTACAATTACATATTATTCCATTCTGTGAAATTGAAACGCGAAGGCTTACGTGCTATCATATTGCCAACACCAGTTTTATTCGCACACATACATATTGTAATCAGATATATTCCTTTCAACTTATTTTGTGTCGATTAGTCTGCTATTAAGTGATTACATTTTACATTCAGTTAAATGAGGCTCCTAAATGCCTCATTAGTTGTCTCTTATTCTTGGATATTATTACCTTTGCCACGCTTGAACCTATTTTAAGGAACCATTATAACATCATTCGATCGCCAACAGCGGCTTGTGTGAGGAAATATCAACCAACGGTCAATTTCTGCCTATACCAATTCTGGTAGAGACCCCAAGCTTCTGGGATGCATTCTTACAAAGCTGCACTCCTAGGTGTGACTTTCTATATTACTTCTAGTTTAAGTTCATACACCATCGCTGAAAAATAACCCTTAAAACAGAGCTACGGAAGGACGCTCAGGTATCAATGATTCAAGACAAGTAGCTCATGAAACTGCCTGGTCCATAATCTGATTAATACTGACCTGAATGGGAGCAAAATTATTGAATTGTACTTTACTTCTAATTCAGTCTGCTGATTTAAAAAGCGTGGTGTGAATGCAATTTCAGGTATTTAAACCACGTGCAAAATAGAACGTTCATTAACGAAGATTTTAACATGTCCTATGGCTGTGTCTGTAGCTACACTGAGAACTAGGAGGGGAAATGCTGTCGCCTTGTCACTTTAATTACTACAGTTTCCCAGGGATATATCTGTTCTGTCAGCCAGTACATGCCGGTACTGGCAAAACCATCTTTGCCAAGAGCAGGAGGAGAATTTTCTAGATTTTTCTAGAAAATTCCTGAAGTGAATTCTCTTTTGCCTTAGCTCTCCCATAACTGACGTCCCATATTCTATCAGTTGTGACTGATTGTGCAGTTAGTCAATACATAGCTGCCCTGAGTCCCAGGTATAATTGGATCAATTCCTAGATGGGCTATTCTTCACTGTTTTGTGACTGGGCCTTTTTAAAGGGTGAGCCAGACAAGAAACAAAGATCAGTGAATTAGTCTCTTAATCTTGGCAAGAGTGTTAATATATCTGAACAAACCTAGAAATGCTTACTAACTTTCCACCGTCGAGGGGTTATGGGTTTTCTTTCTTCACAGTTGGATTAATTGTAGTTTAATAGCAAAATTCCATTCAGGCTAAAATTTAAAAATAGTACAACATACTGTCTTATTGAAAAGAATCCTATTTCAACTAGACTTCCCGCTGCTGGATGCCCACTCAGGGAAGCCGAAGTTATATTCCAATTAAAGCCCTCCCACCCTCACTGATTCTGTAAAGTTTCTAGTCTCACCTATCTATTTCTTGAAGATCACCATTTTGGGGGATTAGGAAAACAAAAAGAAGAAAAAAAGACCATTTACCAAGGATTAACATGAAATGTATACATTTAAATAAATGTGCTTTGCATTGAGGCTCGCAAAAGAAACAAACCTGATCATGTAAGCAGTACCAGCTTTGTATTAAATGGTTACTTCATTAGCAATTTTGTTGGGTCTCCATTGTAGCTGATAGCATTGTTAATTCTCATGTATCAGTGTTAAGGTATAATGTCAAACAATTTAATCTCCTGACAATGCTTTCTCAATTCTCCAAATATCTCCTCCCTTTAGGTCCTTAAGATTCAAGCATGGGGAAAAAAATAAGGCCAGGTTTTCCCATGGGACCTCATTGCCTTTGATATTTATTTACCCATAAGTGTAAGAGCTGAGAGGCCTGGGCTGAATACGTCTCCTCGATTCTGACCAGAAGTGGGGCTCATATTCTCAGGCACTGAAATGTCAGTTTGAAATAGAGATGCTTCTCTCTCTCCTGTTGCTTCGCTGGGGTCTGTCCTGTGCCTTCGCCACCACTTGCGCGTTCAGTGTGACTCCTGCACTGAAGCCCTTCTTCAGCACGGTTTGGGGCTACATCCCTGCCTGTGTTAGTCCTTCGTTTAATATAGTAACAACTCAGCCGACTACGACATTTTCTCTACTTCGTAACTGCAGTAAACCTATATAAACTAATACATTCAGGGAAGAAAATCTAACCTTGGAAAGTCCACTCTCACCAAAATTGTGAAAGGACAATCAGACAAAACCATGTATCCCCCAAAAAGAGTAAAATAAAGTTCGGAGCACACACACAGCATAGATAAGCTCTCTAGAGCCTTGTTGCAAAGTAATGCTCACCAGTTGTATGGAAGCTTTCCATCCCTCTCCAAAGAAGCAAAATTGACAAAAGTTCCTGCTCCGCATTCCCTGTTTGAAAGGAACCACAAAATCAAGGTTACTGCTTGGTGGAGCACTCTTTTACCTTGATATAAAAGAAAGCCTTTACTGGCTTATCATCACAGCATTAAATTAAAAAAAAAAAAAAGCTAATATAAGTTCCACGTGTTCCTCTTTCACATGCAATACAAAATAGAAAAATAAAAAAGTTTTTCATAGGTTGCACATGCTCTAATCAAGTTATGTGAAGCCAAGAGGATTTGGCTTACAATCCTTTCCGAAGGGCACTCGTGATCCTAACATAAATCTTTGAACTATTTGGGATATAGTATTTTTCACAAAGCCTCCTAGCCTGAGGGTTTTCTGTTTTTAGCACCTATTCTTTGTGGGGTTGTTTTTAAAGCATTTTGATTTCCTCTCTAAAATGATGGTGGATCAATTTAGATTATTTTCTTCCTCCAAAGTTTTCCCCTCATGTCGGGATGCCCATGTGATTTATCACTTGAGATAAGAGTAAAAAGAGTGAGACATATGGAAACAGATTGGCTTAGCAGTGCCTCTTATCCAAAAGGTTGCCTATTAATCTGTCAGTGGAAAATATTGTTGAAGTTTTTTTTTTTCCAGAAGTGGAAGACAAAGGTAAACATATTCCCATGCCTTCTCCACCTTTACCTAATGTCATGGATAAACAACACAGCTCATGGGGGTTCATGCATCTCATTTCCCCCCTAGATGAAATTGATGGACTTACTCAGAATTGAAGCAGAGATTTTGACATTAATTGGCACATCTGCTAATAACTTTGGTGATCTCCCTGTTCTTATTACTGTGTTCTAAGAACAGTTTTCTTCTTTCAAAAATGCACTAAAACATTGTTATGTCACGCTGTGTTATAAATTACACATCATCAATTAATTTTCCTCTGTCAATTTCCCATATATAGGATTTATTTTATCCTGTAATTCAAGGGTTCTTACCTGGGGCTCAAGGATAGAATTTAGAGCTCCGTGAACACAGTGGGGGGAAAGTACTCTTGTTTTCACAACCTCTAACTGAAATTTAGCAATTTTTAAAATTATTAAAGTAGGCAACAAGCCAAAATAATATCATCATTACTGGCAAGATTGCTAACCACAGAAACTGCAGATGTTTCTCTATAATGAACCTGCTGCAGATATGGAAGTATTGTTCATATTCATCACTCTGATGAAATTATGAGAGTTATTAGACACCCTACTAAATATTATCTAAATATATTAATAAAGGAGGATGTAATGCATTTGTTTTTTAAATACTCTGATTACCATGTTTTCATATAATTCGTTTCTTTTTAATCTTATGTATTTTATTTTTTGCACTTAAAAAGAAAGCATTATTCTTGGAAGAGATCCACAGGCTTAATCAGATTGCCAGAAAGGATCATGGCACAAAAAATGTGAAGAATCTCTGCTCTAATGGTCAGCTGGCTGAAGTAGAACCACTTCTCCTAAGCATCTTGCTGTATGCACCACAGAGAATGCTCCTGGAATTGTACCCATTACCACACCTGCTACCACCCCCTCCACTATTACTATTATGAGCTAACATTTATTGCATGCTTCCCAATTATGGCATTATTGCTCCTAACCATCCACTAATGTAGGGGCTAGTCTCATCTCTTCTCGATATACATTCTTTCCCTTGCTTCCAGGCTACACACTTTCTTAGTTTTTCTTGCACTCCACTGGATGCCTCTGGCCAGTTTCCTTTGCTCTTATCTTTTTTTTCCTCCCTGAAAATCTTAATATTAGATTGTTCTGGTGCTTAGTGCAGGGCCCTCTTCTCTCATTTACTCACACTCCCTCCGGTAAAGGAGAATTTCATCCAGTCTATTGCTTTAATCCCACGTATATGCTAACAACTCCCAAACTTATATCTTCAGTCCAGACTTCGCTCCTGAACATCAGACTTTTATATTCAATTGCCTACTCCACACCTGCGCTTGCAGTCATCTCAAACATAACATTTCCAAGACTGAAGTCTTGACGCTCCCCCAACTCTGAAATCTTCATCTGGAATCCTATTTCTGTTGATGGCAACTCCATCCTTTCAGTTGCTAGGACCAAAACCCTTGGAGTCATCTGTGACCCTTATTCATTTCCATTTCAAGTGCGATCTGTTAGCAAATCCCCTCAGCAAATGCCTCTATTTTCAAAATATATCCAGAATCTGATCATTTCTCCCCACCTTTATTGCTGTGACCTTGGACTAAACCACTACCATCTCTAGCCTGGGTTACTGTAATGGCTGCCTGCATTAATATGCCTGCTTCGCCTCAATACATACTGTTTTCTAGTGTAAGTCGGCTCTTTTGCCCCAAGTCCTGCAATGGCTTGACTTAGAATAAAAGCAAGAAGTCTTTACAATGGCTTACAAAGCTCTATGTGATCTGACATCATCTCCTGCTGCTCCTCCCCTCATTTCCTCTGTGTTAGCTGCACTAACCTTCCTGCTACTGTTTGAACATGTTCCTGCCTCAGGGCCTTTGCACTGGCTCTTCCCTCTACTGGGCATACTCTTCTGCCAGAAAACAAATGGCTAACTCCATCATATCCTTCACATCTTTTCTCAAGTATTATCCTTTCAGTGAGATCTATCCACCTCCCAGAGCTCCTGTCCGTATAATCCGCACACCTGTACTGCTAATTTCCCTTACTCTGCTCTATTGTTTTTCTCTTACTGTCTGCTCACATAGAACACGGTTTTTATTGTCTATCTCCTCTGCTAGAATACGAGCTCCATGAAGGCAGAAATTCTTGTCTATTTTATATACTATCATATCTCAAGCATCTGGAAGAGTCTGACACATAGCAGGTGTCTATTAATATTTTCAAAATATCCACTAATATTTATTCAAACTACTGAATGAAGTTTCAGTAAACTGCACAAAGTTACATAGATTACAAGTTAGGATTTGATCCCAAGGAGTGTAATTTCAGAGATCTCTATGCTAGCCACAATGTGGTGCCACCTTCCTCCCTATCCTTCTAAGATTTGTTTAAATGCCAACAGTCATAAAGCTTGATTTTTATATTCAGAACTAATCTCTTTTCTCTACATTCATGGATTCTCATTTTTATCTCCTTTCCGGGGCAGGTCAGTTTATACCTTTAAATATATTTCTTTATGTGCATATCTCCAGCTACGTTCTAATTTCCTAGTGGACAGCTTGGGTATCTGATTTTTATTTAATTGTGCCGGATAAGACACTGATTAGATCACTATTGGATGGATAAATTTATTTATGACTAGGCAACTGAGAGAACTCTGAGAAAGAAGAAGGATGTTGATTGACAATTCAGCAGGCTAACGTTGGGTAAATATAATTTGAGCCAAATTTCCCAAACCCAGCAGTATTCAACGAGGCAACAATTTTAAAGAGAATTGATGGATTGTTCTGATAATATAGGGGACCACTGAAAGTACTTGAGAATGTGCTTTGATAAAAAATGCATCAGTGGTCAAAGGAATAGGGAATCACCAAAATCATAAATCAAAAGTCTTTTCTAGCTGCAAGAAAAATGAAAACTGCCTGAACTCTGAGTAGTAGAAACAAAACTAATATGAGACTTCAAATGGACCTAATCATAAACTCTTCAAATGTTTTCTGATAAAACAGCTTTGGCAGAACTGATGAGGAGAGGGACTTTTTTTCTTTCTTGTGGTCTCTCCATACATTCACTCCTTTCATTAATCATACTGAGTAGCCAGAAATCTTTATTTTACTCCAAAGTATGTTTGAAAGTATCCAAATGTCATTAATGGATTCCTTTGTGTGGGTTTCTTAAAATGACAAGACTGATAGTAAGAGGTCTGGATTTGTGTAAACCATCCTTTGCTTTGTCATTTCAATGGTCATGTTTTCTAAAATAACATTTAGAAGTCTACTTAGAAAACACACAAAACAGACACTGAAAACCGAAATCAAACTTACGGCTATACAATTTAGATATTAAATTTAAACATTTTAATATTATTAAAATAATTATAAATTACATTTACAAATTAAAGTATAAGTTAAAATACTTTAAAAGCCCTGCTATACTATTTCGATCTGCAAAAGCAGACCTATAGGATAAATTAAAATATTTTAAAGCCCTTGGGTAAAAGGTCAACCAAACTGAACTTACCTTGCCATCTGGAGGTGCTTTTTCCTCAGAATGATAAGGGTCACGAGCAGCAGTCCAATTAACAGTGTACTGAGGATGGCCAGTACCGAGATGACTACCACATTGGGGTTCATCTCTGTAACTGAAGAGAAAAGCCATGCATTTTCATTATAACTTCCATTACACAAAACTAACAGAACCACTCATCATTTTCCATTGATTTTTAACAGCACTGAACGTATAATGATGACAATAACAGCAACAGTGATGTTTCTCCTAGCCGACAATGACCTCCTGCTGGTCAAATACAACCTAGTAAAGCAGATTGATAAATGGCGTTCAGGTACCTAGCAGAGTTGTGTCCATCACGAGGGCTTACATTCAGAATGCTCTTAGCCAGGAGAACTATACACTGAATAAATCAAAGCCTGGACCATGGTTTAAATTCCTTTGAAAATTAAAAAAATCTAGAGGTCATCTTATTACTGTTTAAGGTTTTCAGAAGTTTAGAGAGAGAGTGGCAGGTTTTCATTTTATGCCCATGACTTTAAAGTCAGAAACCACAACTGTGTATTTTGCTCACAACTAATATCGTATATGAAAAAGGCATTAGCAAGCTACCATCTGCTGCAGCACTTAACACGTCTCTAGAAGCAGGCGTTCTGATGATCTGTAACCATATGTCGAGTGGTTTTCCATCTGCACAACTCAAGAGATTAAACCTATTAATAAGTCGTGGGCCCTTTAAGAACAGCGGCTGTGTCCCTTCCCTATACTTTATATGGGGACTGCTCTGGCACATGCACACTATAAGTGGGAATACATATATCAAATGTTTTTATGAAACTCTTAACCAGAGACCGACTAGAGCAGGGGAGAATGACACACCATCCTCTGCTTTGATCATAAAATCACAGAACTGGCCGGCGCGTTCCATCCCTAAGACGCTGTGAGTTTGCCACTTCCCACTGGGGCCAGCATGACTCCTACTCATGGGCAGACTGACTGAACAGAAAGAACATTAGACTTAGGGTCAGGAGACCTTCAGGTTCATTTGACTACTAACTGCCATTCGGAGAAGCTATTTTATCTGTCTCTCTGGGCTTCATTTTCCTCACTTTTAAATAAGTTGAATGCTATACCTGTTTTCACCAGGTTGCCGTAGCTATGACAAGGAATAGTGAACAGGAAAGGCTGCTTGGAATGGTGTACAGGCCATAGAACTGAGAGACCATTAATATACTTTGTGGGTCCATCTTTGGTGCCCTCTTCCGGAAAAATAAAAATTTAAAACAGAAAACAAACAAAAGGCCACTCTAGTCAACACCGAATAGAGCGGCTGCATATACGATGAATGCAACAGAAATGAAAATGCCCCCAGTAAAGGGATCATGTGACACTGCGAGCGCTGTATTACAGGTGGCTTCGTGGCGGGTCTCAGACCGCAGGATCAGCCTCCAACAAACAGGGCAGTAACACATAAAACTCAGAAGGAAAAAAAAAAAAAAAAGGAAGCACCATTATTCTAGAGCTTCCATTAATTTCTAATTTCCCCCCTTATAGTTTGGCTTCATTGGGAACTTCCCCGCTTTGACCCAGGAATTTAGTGTTGTCATTGCTTGACCAGGGACGGCTAAGGGCCAAGGCGACAACAGATGAGCCCGAGTGGATCAGGGTACTGTGGCCACCGCTGGGGAGGAGGATGAGGCCTGTGGCGTGGACAGGAGCCGCTATGACTCACACGGCGTGTGTTAGGGCTTTAGGCACTTCATTTCCATGCCTCATTACAGCTCAGCAGGGGACATATATTACGATTCCAGTTTTGCAGATAACAGAGGTTCAGAGATGGTAAATGTCTTTCCCTCAATCACACAGCTAGTAAGCGCAGTGAAGGGCCCCTTTCCCCCAGAGCCTGGAATGTTTCCGCGGAACATGGTTCTATTAAAAGGATAGAGTACCTATATTTGAAAGGAAAACAGAAGGAGAATCGAGAGTGCTAAAACCTCCAAAGACAGCGGATTCCACGAACGCAAGTAATTACCCATTGTTGAGACGGCTATGAACGCGGGGACGCTGGGGCTGTCGTGGCTGAAGCTGGTGACGCTACAGTTGTAGGCAGTGGCGGGAAGGAGGCTGGAGATGGTCACAACGTGAGAGGAAACAGAAATCGGCTCCTGGAGACGCAGAACATAAGACAGGCGTCATAGTATCTTCATCTGTTTTGTGTTTTTTTTAGGCTGTTTTTCAGAGTTGAGTGGGGAATACACAAACAGAGTAAAACATTTAAAAGATGCGAGAGGATAACAGTGAAAAATAAGTTTCCTTCTTTCCCTACTTTCTATCTACCCAGTTCTCTTCCACGGAAGGAGCCGTTGTTGTCAGGGATTTTTCTTTTTTTCCTTCTGATCTGTATTTTATGGATGTGAAAACGTAAGATACAGCTAAGCGAAACTTAAGTGATAATGTGGCTTACACATCATGCTGCTTATGTTTTACTTGGTTATCAGTATATTTTGGTGCTCTTCTTATATCAGCACAGAAAAAGCTGATTTATTCTTCCTAAGGGCTGTGTAGAAATTCACTGAAAGGACCTACTTTTTTTTTTTTTTAAGATTTTTATTTATTTATTTGACAGAGAGAGAGACAGCGAGAGAGGGAACGCAAGCAGGGGGAGTGGGAGAGGGAGAAGCAGGCTCTCCGCGGAGCAGGGAGCCCGATGCGGGGCTCGATCCCAGGACCCTGGGATCGTGACCTGAGCCGAAGGCAGACGCTTAATGACCGAGCCACCCAGGCGCCCCTGTTGCCTCTGATTTTTTGCTATTGCAAACAGTGCTACAGTGAACAAAATTTTAAATTATGGGAACAAACATATATGGACAGACACTCACTTAATACATGGATGTGTGTATGCATGTATACACATACGTACTTATACACAAAACCTGTGTGTGTGTATTCATATGTGTGAATGTACATGCATATATGGATACTCATATTTCCAGCAGCTGAATGGTGGGTCCAAAAGTTGAATATTTTTCAAAATTTTGAAAGTGACTGACAAATTGTCTTCTTTTAAATTTTTCATTTTTTAAAGATTTTATTTGTTTATTTGAGAGAGAGAAAGAGAGCATGACTGGTGGGGGGAGAGGCAGAGGGAGAGGGAGAGGCAGGCTCCCCACTGAGCAGGGACCCCGAAGTGGGGCTCAATCCCAGGAACCCGGGATCATGACTTGAGCCAAAAGCAGACACTTAATCCACTGAGTCACCCAGGTCCCCCAACAAATTGTCTTCTATAGACATTTTCCAAGTTATCCTGTTGCCCTCAGTTGTGACAACATCTCTTCTCCCACACTCCTTCCAATCCAATATATTTGTAAACTCTTTGAGTTTTTCCAGTCTTATTAATGGAAATTGCACCTCATTGTAGATTCATTTTGCATTTCTTTTACTGTGAGTGAACTTGATCATCTTTTCATATGTTTAAGTGTCTTTTGTGTATATTTTTATTTATTTATTTTTAAAGATTTTATTTATTTACTTGCCAGAGAGATTGAGAGTATAAGCAGGGGGAGTGGCAAGGAGAGGGAGAAGTAGACTCCCTGCTGAAGAAGGAGCCTGATGCGGGACTCGATCCCAGGATCCTGGGGGTGTGACCTGAGCCAAAGGCAGACACTTAAGTATCTGAGCCACCCAGGTGTCCCTTGTGTTTATTTTCTATGAAATATTTGTTTTGGGCTATTGGTCTTCATTCTTTTCTATTTGTAGTTGTTCTTTGTATATTAAGGACACTACCCCCTTTGTCTGCATTCTCAGCTTTTAAATCACATCCACCCAAGGCACAGCAACTTTGTGTTCTCACAAACATTTAACATTAACCTATCCTTGAGTAGAACAAATTGTTAATTTGGTGGGCCAGTGGTTAGACCAGTGGCAAGTACCACAGTACAATATAAAAATATGAGCCAGCATAACATTCTTTTTCAAAACAGGTATCTGAAACACTCCTGCCTAAAGAGATGAGAGCCGTCAGCACTTATTTGCAATTCCACCTCTTTCACTGTTCTATGAAAGAATGGTTCTAAGGAAAGACTTCTGCTAGCAAGACTGTTACAGTAAGTGGCTGCATAACCATTGTTTTCTTAAGGGGGGGTTTACTATAGGTGCAGAGAAGAAAATCCGCTACCTGCAAAATAGTTATTTCCAAAAAGGATTCTTAGAAGAGAAAAAGAAAAAAGATGAGCTCTTCAGTATAAATCAAAAAGAGATATGTTTGTACGAGAGAATATCAAAAGGAGAAAGAAATCAAAGCAAATTATCTTAACACTCGTATGAAAAGATTCCTACTCCCAGAAATCCTTTCTTCTTTTCAATCTCATGAACTGCATTATTTAAAAAGCATCAATTATTCATGTGCATAGAATTAGTCTGTACACTGCATTTTGTGACATCCCTCACAAACTTGACCTTTCCCTTCCATGTCTGGCTGTAATATATTTCTTTTCTTGTGGTTTTGTTACCCTTGGAGCTACTGGTTCATCTCCCTCCTTCCCTTCGGTTTGACCCGGTGAATAACTAAGCAGTCACTCTATCTGCTATTTGCGATTCTAAAGCTTTAATAATCTCCTCTCTCAACCTTCATTTTCCCAAGCAAAATTGTCCTCCTTACTAACTAGAAATAGTCCCTTCTTTAAATTCTCTTAGTAGAATGGATCTCTCTATGGCACCTGCGTTTCACCTTAGTTATCTCTAGACGGATGCAATATCCATAACTACATGAAAACAATTTTAAAGGCAAGTATTGATTCTAACATTTGTATTACACACAGAACCTTCCACATAGCTGGCAATCAGTTCATATTTGTTAAGTTATATTTTATATGACAGTGTCTATCCCTTTGATCGATCTAATGGCAATAGGAAAAATGAACCCCTTCCAGTCCTCAGTATGACCCAGGGTGATTAAGGATTAGGGACAAAAGATACATGCAAAGATGAAAATCAACTTGGCAATTTGGCAAATTGGTTCTTATATTTACGGCTTGCCCTAAGCCGATTGCTAATTTCTATCCTTGAAACACAAAAGTGCAAGTGAACTTTTGTTTTCATTTTCTGTAGTTTAAACAAATAAAGGACTTTAATTTACTTAGATTATTAGCCTTAATCAAAATGAACTCAGACAAGGACAATCAAAAAGCAAAGTACCTGGAGTTTTGTTTCTTGACTCGAGCCAACTGGTTGACAGAAGACTTCAAAGAAATCAGCTACTCCCTCTTCCACCCACAGCAAAGTCACCGAAGTCTGGGTTTTATTCACGGCAAACAGTGATTTTGGGGGAGCTGGTTCTGAGCAAAGGCAGAGTTTTAAAAAATTTCATTTAATTTAATACATTCTTTCTTCTTCCCCCGATTGGCAGGATAAGACAGGCAAAAAAAAAAAAAAAAAAAAAAAAAATTCCCAAATACAGGTAGTTAAGAGCACCATCGAAATGTTACATTATTGCTTTTGAAATATGTCCCAACATAGTTGTCATCTAACTTGGGAGGCAGACTATTTTGCCTTTTTCTCCCCCTTCCATTTTATACCTCCCTCTTTGGATCACTTCTGTTTTCTACTTCAGCTTTATTATAGCCATAATCTATTAATAGCTTTTGTGTCATCTGCACTGGAACTAGCCCTGCCCTGATAATACAGAACTTTCTGCAGGAGAAACAAAAATCTGTGCTTAGAGGGCTGAGAAAATGAAAGTAGTTTGCTCCCATCTAATGGAGACATTCAGTCTGGTACTTAGCCAAAAACCCGTCTTCCTTTTCTGGAGACTATTTGGCATAGTTTAGTCCGAGGAATGGCTTCTTGAAAATTCAGTCGAAATTAGGAGGGGTAAAGCTAAACAGATAGGATTTTTTTTTTTAAGAAAAGGATTAATGGGGGGCGCCTGGGTGGCTTAGTCGTTAAGCGTCTGCCTTCGGCTCAGGTCATGATCCCAGGGTCCTGGGATCGAGCCCCACGTCGGGCTCCCTGCTCGGCGGGGAGCCTGCTTCTCCCTCTGCCACTCCCCCTGCTTGTGTTCCCTCTCTCGCTGTGACTCTCTCTGTCAAATAAATAAATAAAATCTTTAAAAAAAAAAAAAGAAAAGGATTAATGGAAGGGGACTGGATGGTTAACAAAATATTAGAGGACTGATTTCTTTATCTTCTTCTTTTAGACATTTAATCTAGATCAATAAATTAATCCATTAGTCAAGTAAACTGTGCCCCTTCGTACTCATTTCCAGTAAATGAGTCACGGGATTTGTTAGCTTCAGACCAAACCCCTGTCTGTTCCCCAGTTTTAGGAAGTGGTCTTGTGTCTTGTTCCCCCATTCCTGAATCTCTCCTACCCTCCTCCCTGTCGTTTGGGTGTTGTCTTTCCCTTGAATTCCTCCAATACACAAAGCCCTATGCCTGAACCCCGGTGCTTCAGCCAGAGTCCCTGCTACCCTGTGTCAGACGTCTTTAACCTTGCTTATTTGAACATACTATAGCTAGCTATCAGGTTCACGGAACATCAGACTCTGCCCACGTGTGGGTCCCTGTCGGACAACATGCTGTGTGCTTGTTACTTGGATTTCTTTTTATTATTTGTCCCATGCTCCAAAGTCTGTTCTCTAGCTCCTGGATTTTAGCAGTGCTTGAAGAAGCCCCTGAAGCCTTTGACATGTCCATGATCCTTGCGTGGGAAGGTTTGGATCTTCTTTCTAGAATATCATCATCACGGCCCTATTCAGAACCAGGCAGTATGTCAGAACCGCCCTTCATGTGATTTATCACAGGCAACTTAAATTTGTGTCCAAATAAAAAGAAAGCCGTTTTCTTTCCAGAGACAACTCGACGAGGTTGGGCAGAAGAGTTGAAGGAGGAAAGGGGGGTGGGGTTCAACTTGCGCAGGCGTAATTCACAACAGATGTCAGGATCCCTTTCTCATTTGCACTGGATCGTCCATTCCCCCAAACGTTGTACTGTTGTACTGTCTCACTTCCCCTCTGATGAAAACTGTTGATGAAACATGGGGGCAGCTTCCACTGCCCACATCCTTTATAACTGTCACTGCGAATAGGTATGAGTCAGAGGGTAGGTCCTCCAGTGATTCTGACTGGTGCAGAGCTTGAACCTTTGAAGGCAAGTATGAGGTTGTCTGGGGCAGAGATGGATGATTTTTAGGCTGAACCTTGGTTTTTTCTCTTTACAAAACACACATGAGAGAATTGCCCTTCACAGTGAGTCTCCTGCACTGATTAGATTCCTTAGGACAGCTTTGTATTTTTTTTTTTTCTCCTGATGGGTAGGTAAACTCAGGTTAGCTATCCAACATGAACATTGCCCAAGTCCTGATCTCCAGCTCCAACTTTTTACACATGCCTTTCCAATCACCTACCCTCCATGTTTCCTAATGAGCACCTCCATTCGTTCCCTTGTCTGGGCTGACAAGCTTGAGGCTCTTCTCTGGCTTCTCAAGTGCCAGAGAGCGTATCTTTAAAGAATTCTTGTCATCTCTTCATTGTGTCTATTCCTTTTATTATATTGCATGTTCAGGCTTTTGTCATCACACTTTATCAGTCATTACAACAGCCTCTTCATTCTTTTTTCCTGCTCTTAATCAGTTCTTTCTTCATTCGTCAATGAGGGCTTAAATCATCTTGAAACACTACTTTGCTCACGTTAAGTCCTATCTGTGTAATCATCTATTGTGATCAACGACTATTGCATCAAATCCAAATATGCCAAGTGTTAAAGATCCTACTTACATAGGCCACATATTACCCATCCAGCTTCACCACCATCCCTCCCGCACAGAAATGCTTCCCCTGGTAAAGCCAGTTTTCTCACTGACTATCATACAAGCAGTACTCTTTCTTTCTTTCTTTTTTTTTTAAAGATTTTATTTATTTATTTGACAGAGAGAGTCACAGCGAGAGAGGGAACACAAGCAGGGGAGTGGCAGAGGGAGAAGCAGGCTCCCCGCCGAGCAGGGAGCCCGATGCGGGGCTCGATCCCAGGACCCTGGGATCATGACCTGAGCCGAAGGCAGACGCTTAACGACTGAGCCACCCAGGCGCCCCCAAGCAGTACTCTTTCTTAACTCAGTGTACTTTTTCTTCTACTTGGATCATCCTAAGATCAGGAAAAAGTCTTCTTCTCCCTGAAGCCTTGTCTGTTAACTCAATCTCGATGATCTATCCCTTCTCTGACCTTCTATTACCTTATTTGATCTATGTGAGTAAAGTCCTGATTCTTCTAGGTCCTACTAAATGCTTTAAGAACAGGGGCCATGTGTTATAAATTATTTTGTTTTCACCTTGAACTAGCCACCTGCAATTGTTCAATAAATCTTCTCTACTGGCTGATTTAAACCATAAGTCAAGATTCATTAATCAGAGGTATTAGGATTTAAGCATCAGGCAAGACCAGACACATTGGGGCTACATTTTGATGCTCTCTGTCTTTTTAAAGTGATCATATTGGTAAAATTATCAGCTTTGGTGGCTGAGTCAAAGACCGTCATGAATTACAAGTGTTTTCAGTGGTCCAAAGAGTATGACTTGAATACTGGAGTAGTGGTTTCTTTGGGTCTCACTAAAAATGTGGATCTAGGTGATAAGTAGGATCCTCAGGAAAACCTCCAAAGGGCCTGGGACCTTTGAGCAGCCACGTAATAAAATTTTCTTTTCAGGTGGTATATAGGGGCAATAGATTATTCCAAGGTCACTGTACCCATTATCACTGTATCCTTTTCTGGAAGACATATGCATATTAGCTCTCTAGGTCAATGAGTAACATACACAGATCGCCTGCTTGAGGACTGTTTAGGATCTCTGTGACAGGTATATTTCCTTAGATGTACTGGAGAGAAATTTCACCTGTTATTCCAAAGGAAACAAAGAAAGTCATTGCAATATTTCATAAGTGGAGGTGTAATTGGATTGGAAAGGGCTTCTTTTTTTTTTTAAGATTTTATTTATTTATTTGAGAGAGAGAATGAAATAGAGAGAGCATGAGAGGGGGGAGGATCAGAGGGAGAAGCAGACCCCGTGCTGAGCAGGGAGCCCGATGCGGGACTCGATCCCGGGACTCCGGGATCATGACCTGAGCCGAAGGCAGTCGCTTAACCAACTGAGCCACCCAGGCGCCCTTCATTTAGAATTCTTTATATCAATTCCATGTTAGGATGATACTACGTTGATAGATTTGGTTAAATAAGGTATATTAAACTCAATGTCACCTATCTCTTCTTAGTATTTTGTAATGTGGCTATTAGAAAATTTAAAATTACATCTTTGGCTCTCATTATATTTCAGTTATACAGTACAGGGCTGGAACATTCTTTCCTGTTTGGTAGAGCAGAAGTGTGGAAATTCTTGGCAGAAGCTGGTTGGAGGTTTCCCCATTCTGTTATCTAGCTCCTCTCATAAGAAGGCAAAGTCAGCTAAACTCCATAGCCTAACATGACTTAGATGATTCCTCTTTCTCATCCTCAGGCACAAAACCAAAAGGGAGTAGTGGCTAAATATATTTTTTTAAGATTTTATTTATTTATTTGACAGAGAGAGAGAGAGAACACAAGCAGGGTGTGCAGCAGAGGGAGAGGGAGAAGCAGACTCTCCGCTGTGCAGGGAGCCTGATGTGGGGCTCGATCCCAGGACCCTGGGATCCTGACCTAAGCCGAAGGCAGACGCTTAATGACTGAGCCACCCAGGTGCCCCAGTAGTGTCTAAATATTGTTCAGGCAATTTCGCATGATTATGAATACAATGACATGGAAAAGCCTTTTTATTGGTCTCTCATCTCTGTTGTGGGCTGAATTCTGTTCACCCAAATTCCTAGGTTGAAGTCCTAAGCCCCAGCACCTCAAAAATGTGAATGTGGTTGGAGATAGGGCCTTTAGGGAGGTAAGTTAAAATGAGGCCCTTAGGGTGGACCTCAATCCAATCTGACTGGTGTTCTTATAAGAACAGGAAATTTGGGCAGACAAGGAGAAACCAAAGACAAATGGGAAGAGAGACGAACCATGTGAGGACACAGATGGAAGGTGAGGTCACCTGTAAGCCCGGGAGAAAGGCCTCAGAGAAAGCAAACCTGCTGATACCTGCATCTTGGACTTCTCGCCTCCAGAACTCTGAGAAAATAAGTTTCTGTTGATTAAGCCACCCAATCTGTGATATTTTGTCATGGCAGCTCTAGCAAACTAATGTAGTTCTCTTACTCTTCAAAACATCAAATCCAGTCCAGTTCATAAAAGGGAGAGAGAGGAAGGCCTTAATGATGTTTTGAAGAGCAAACGAGCTTTAAGATAACACACACAAAAACAC